GACCTGACCATCGCTGCTTCGGGCTTCTCCGAGGAGGCTGTGTTCGCCGTGGCGCGCGGCACGGATTTCTTCGTGGGCATGTTCGAGCGCTGCCTGAAGCTCACGGTATCGACCACGAAGTCGTTCGCGGTCGCCTCGAAGCCAAGCCTGGCGGTCAAGCTGTCCCGCCTGGCTCGGCAGCGGCTTCTGGTGCCGAAGCGCAGCGTCAAGCTGCTAGGCACTCCTTTCGCCGCCGGTCGCGCTCGGACAGTGGGGGTCTTGAAGAGCCGCCTCAAGGAGTTCCGGACACGAATTCCCAGGGCGCACGCTCTGCGACGCCAACGGGTTGACGTGACGCGAGTCGTCAAGGCGATGGGGGGCCCCAGCATGCTATGCGGCATTGACATCGTCGGTGCCTCCAGCACGCACCTCCACAGGGTCAGGGTCGCCGCCCTCTGCGCCGCCCTGCCGCCTGGCGCGAGCCGCCAGGTCGATGTCGCCTTTGCAGTGCTGGACGCTGGAGGCGCCGCCTTGGACCCAGCTTGCGCCGCGCACGCCACCCCGTTGCGCCATTGGGGATAGGCTTATTGGCAAGACTGGGCGCCCGCAGTGGACCTGGATTGCGCTTTCGAGACGTCGCGGCATCGTCTGGCCGCAATCGCGGCGAGCGGCAGGTCTCCGTGGACTGCCGTTGCTGGCCCGGTGGATGCTGTCATCGCCACGGCCTGGCGTCTCGGGTGGCAGCGCGTTTCCCCGAGGCGGTTTTTGGACGACCTGGGAGAACCTGTGGACTTCATCCTGATGTCGCCCGCCACGGTGGCGGCCGCTGTGCACAGATCGGTCGACAGGTGGCGCATGAAGCGCGTCGCCTCCGAGCTCCCAACCATCGTCGACGGCCCGCCTGACTTGGCGAATGCCCAGGGCACCAAATACTTCACTGTCCTAGTGGGGCGCCCCATTACGCGTCTGCTGAAGGGCCAGCCGCACCGCTCCGCAATGGTCTCGGAAATGTCAGTCGATGCTGCTATCCGCCGCCACCGGCGGCCAGTGGCCCCAGGTCCGCCTGGCCTCGCTGCGGGGCGCCGACGGCGTCCAGGACAGGAACTGCCAGCTGTGCGGCGCAGCCGTGGGCACGCTCCTGCACCGCCGTGTCTGCCAGGAGACTTTGCCGCCGGAGTCCGGTGGCCGCAGCCGCCGGCTGCCTGCCAGGCCTTCTCCTCCTCGCTCTCGGAGGCCCGGGCCGCGCTCCTGCGCACGCACGGCTTCCTCGCGCTTCGGATGCCGCGCCCTCTGGCGCAGGAGGTGTTCGCCGTCCGCTGGTTCACGGAGCCGCCGGACGAAACCCGCGAAGACCTCACCTGGTACACGGACGGGTCCATGAGGTTCGGCCCGCTCTGGGAGCTTCGTCGGACTGGATGTGGCATTGTGGTCGTGTCTGACTGCGGGGACCTGGTGGCTTTCGGCGCTGCTTGCCCTCCTCCCCGGATTCGCACAGCGGCGGCAGCGGAGTTGTGGGCAGCGACGCTCGTGCTCACCATCGCCCTCGCGCCGCCCCGCATCCGCACTGCCTGCCAGTCCATCCTCGCAGTAGCTGCAGCCGGCACGCCGCAGGCGACCCAGCCCACGCGCATGCTTGCGCAGCTATGGTCACGCGTGGCCACGCTGGTGGACGGCGACGTCTCGGTGCTCGTCGCGTCCGGCAGACTCACATGGATGCCAGCGCACGGCAGTTTGGCCAGCATCGGCATTGCCATGCGCTCCGACGGTGGCTTCGTGACCACCGTGGACTGGCGGGCGAATCGGTTGGCGGACGCTGTCGCCAAGGCCGCTGCGGGCTGCCCGCCGCAGTGTGCTGCGGGCGCGCGGCTCCTGCAGGAGGCTGAGCTCCTGGTGGCGCACGAGGGCGCGGTCCTTGGGGCGGTCACTTACGCCGCCAACATGCGCGAGTTGATCGGGCCAGGCGGCGCCGTCCGGCGTGTGACGGTGCGCGACGCGGCCGCCGCGCGGCGCCCGCGGGCGCGGCCCCGCACCGGCGCCCCGCCGCAGCGTGCGCCGCCGGCGCCGCAGCTGCCCGCGGCGGCGCCGCCCCCGCCCGCCGCGCTGGCGCCTGCCGGGGCCGCGACTGCTGCCCGCCCGCGCGCGCTGGGTGCGCATCGTGCGGCGCGCCGCTGCAGCCCGGGCGGCCTCGGCTGCGCGCGCAGCCGCTGCCGACGCGGCCACGCTGGCCATTTGCGAGGCGCGGGCGGCCGCGGCGCGGCCGTCCTCGGCGCCGCCTGCGGCCGAGCGGCTGGCCGCCCTCCGGGCGCGCGTCCTCGCCCGCGTCGGCCAGGGCGCGGCGGCCCCCGCGCTGGGCTTCCCCGTGGAGGGCCCCCTGGGGAATTGTGGGCGCGCCTGCCAGGCGGTCAGAATGGGCGCGGGCCGCCGCCGGGGCCGCCTGGCAGCCCCCGGGGGAATTCTGAGCGCCCCCTGCCAGGCGCTCAGAATGGGCGCGGGCCGAGGGCGGCTGCCGCGCTGAGGCCCCGGGAGCCTGCATAGCGTGGCTGTGTAGGCGGCGGCGGGCTGTGCCGGCCGCCCTCCTCCTCCTCCTCCTCCTCCTCCTCCTCCTCCTCCTCCTCCTCCTCCTCCTCCTCCTCCTCCTCCTCCTCCTCCTCCTCCTCCTCCTCCTCCTCCTCCTCCTCCTCCTCCTCCTCCTCCTCCTCTAATTGGTTGCACCGCGCTTTCGCGGGCACGCGCGGGGGAGCGTTGTCGCCTCGTTCGCCGCTGGACGTGAAAAAAACACACCACACGCAACACACCACACGCAACACACACACACGACACGTAGCATACCGCGCGCAACACACCACACACAACACACCACACGCATCACACCACACGTCACACACGACACGCAACACACCACACGCAACACAGCACACACCACACACATACACACTTCACGCAACATACCACACGCAACACGCCACATACCACACACCACACGCAACACACCACACGCACACACGGCACGCAACATACCGCACGCAACACTCCACACGCAACACACCACACGCAACACTCCACACGCAACACACAACCCGCAATACACCACACGCAACACACGACACACAACACACCACACGCCACACACCACACACCACACACCACACACAACACACCACACCGCACACCGCACGCCTCCCACACCACACACACCACCCACCACCACCCACCACAGACCACCCACCACGCACCACACAGCACCCACCGTGCATCACACTCCACACACCACACACCATACACCACACCGCACACCGCACACCGCACACCGCACGCCGCACACCGCACAACACCCACCACGCACATACGCGCCACCACCACCCCAACACAATCACCGCCACCACCACTCCCACCACCACCACACACAAACGCACGCACACACACACACACACCGCAGAGGAAATCACTCTCGGACCGCGCGGAGAATTCCAGCGCGTAAGCAATTCGAGATTGCGTCGGGCCCACAGCGTGCACACACAGCGTGCGCTCACGGTCTTTCTCACCAGGTGGCGCGCAGCGTGCGCTCACAGCGTGCACTCACAACGTGCACCACTCACAGCGGTACTCACAGCGTGATTGGCCCACGCTGCTGTGCGTGCCCGCTGTGGTGAGCCCACGCTGTGAGCCCACGCTGTGAGCCCACGCTCTGAGTCCACGCTGTGAGCTCACGCTGTGAGCCCACGCAGTGAGCCCACGCTGTGAGCCACGCTGTGATCCCACGCTGCGAGCCCACGCTGTGAGCCCAGGCTGTGAGCCCACGCTGTGAGCCCACGCTGTGAGCCCACGCTGTGAGTGCACTCTGTGAGCGCACGCTGCAAGCGCAGACTGTGCGAGCGCGCTCATCAGCTCAGCGAGCCCTCGACGCCGCGTGTACTCACAGCGTGCACTCGCAGCGTGCACTCACAGCGTGCGCTCACCGCAGCGTGCACTCACAGCGTGCACTCACCACAGCGTGCACTCACAGGGTGCGCTCATAGCGTGTATTCACCACTGCGTGGGCTCACAGCGTGCACTCACAGCGTGCGCTCACCACAGCGTGCACTCACAGCGTGCACTCACAACGTGCACTCAATCACTCACGGTTAAGCGTAAAGCTCCTCACGGTTAGGATCTATTCTCCCCCCCGCTTTCTGTCTGAGGACGGAGAAAGTTGCCAGCGGGGTTGTGGCAATGCTTCCCAAACCTGATTTTCACCGTGGCGGTACAGCGGATATGTCGAAATAGCCCCTCAGGATGCCAATTTATGTCGTTTGCTCAAGGGTCGGAGCATACACATCGGAGGAGGGTCTACACACCCCATTTACAGCATGTTATATGATTCGGAGTTAGTCATGTGTTATCTGCAGTCAGTGTGATTGCTACAGGAGTATACACTTGAAGGATCTGTCTAATTGTTGCGATTCTCGGTGCACTTTCGAGGGTCATCTGAAGGAGTCCGTCATCCCTCACACCCCCACACGACAAACCTATATCAGCAGAGTTCTAGAGGGCAAATGGCCCAAGTATATGTACCTTCCAGGGCTGGGTCGGACACCCAGCTCGGGGGCGGTAGCCTACCTTCCCTTCGCGATCTGTTCTATCCTACCTATCCGGACCCCTTCTTTGATCTGCCACCCGAAGGGCGCGCGGGCCAGGGGTAGGAAGAGGATGAAAGGGGGAGGACTGGAAGGAGAAGGAGGGGGGCAAGTGGCAAGGAGCAGGAGGAGGGGCGAGGAGGAGGGAGGAGGCGGCCGGGAATGAGGAGGAGGAGAGGGGAGGCGCAGGGGAAGGAACAGGAACAGGAGGTTGAGGAGGAGGAGGAGGAGGAGGAGGAGGAGGAGGAGGAGGAGGAAGAGGGGGGGGACGAGGAGAAGGAGGTGGAGGAAAGAGGAAGTAACGAGTGTGAAGGAGGAGGTAGAGGAAGAGGAGGACGACGACGAGGACCTTCCCTCCTCCTTCTTTACCAGAGGCGCGCGGGCGGAGGGGGTGACCGCCCTTGCCAGGTGGCGTCGGGCGGTGCTGGCGCTGGGGCCGCCGCCGACCAGCTGCCTGACCAGGAGATGTGCCGCGGCCCCGCCCTTGGAGACCAAGAGCCCAGGGCGCGTCTTCGTTGTCTCGCCGTCGGGGAGGAGGAGGTTGGACGAGGAGGGAGAAGGGTGGAGAAGGACGATGGGAGCCAGCTGGCCCTTGCAGGAGGAGAAAAAGGAGGAAGAGGAGGAGGAGGAGGAGAGGAGGAGGAGGAGGAGGAGGAGGAAAAGAAGGAGGCGGAGGAAAGTAGAAATGAGGAACTGGGAATGATGAGGAGGTTGCGTCCCCCCAGGGGGGATTCTCTTCTTGCTTTTACTCCCTCTTCCTCCTCCTTTTTCCTCTTGCTCTCCGACCTCATCCTGGAGGAGGAGGAGCAGCAGCATCCGCAGCGACAGGAGGAAGAGTGATGAGGTGGAAGAAGTGGAGGAGGTCGTCCTCCTCAATCTCCTCCCTCCTGCCGCTGATGCTGCTCCTCCTGCTCCGCACACTCAATGGGGAGATAGTCGCGCCTGCTCTGGCTCGGCCAGGGCGACCGCCACGACTCCGTCGGACGCTCCAGCGATGCCGCCCCGAAGGCATTGCTAGGAGCAGTGGACCTTCGCGGAGCGGCCCCTCCGCCACGGCCCCTCCGCCACCCCAGCGGAGTCACGGCCTGTCCGTGGGGCCAAAAACTGCGTTGGTCCTTCTCACTCAGGAGAGGGATCGGGAGGCGGAGCAGAGGCAGGACGAGGGCTGCGAGAGCGAAGCGAAGTATCACGAGAAGGCCCCCTGCCGTGCCGTGCAACAGAATCGTCAATGGAGTTTGTTTGCTGTTCTGGGCGCCAGGGAATTCTTCTTCGGAAAGCAACAATCCGTGCGCTGTTCTCCTCAATCAGGTTTGGCTGATGAGTTTCCACCTCGCTTTGCGCAAGACGGTCGGTGCGTGATGTGTCATTCTCGCTGGACCCCAGCACGGGGTCCCCAGGGGGGCGGGTCTCGTGCGCTTCCCAATGGATCACCGTGGTCTCTGGGGCGCGCAGGACACCAGCGAGGCGCCAGGCATGCTCCGCGGAAGAGGGAGGAAGGTGCGAGACCGCGAGAGAAGCCGCTCGCAACGAGGTGGCGGAACCAGCTGGGGAAGTGGTTGCCTAGACTCCCGGAGCAGGGGTGGCACAAGCTCAGCGAAGAGGGCGTGAAGGAAGGTATGCGGAGTTAGGCTCAGAGGGGGAAAAGGTACCCATGCCGCTACCCTCCGCCCGTTTTCCCCTTTTGGGGCGTCCTGGGAGGCCCTCGTCGCCACCGTTGGAGTCGCCTCGAAATTCTGGTCACACCGCACCCCGGGAGAGGCCACGTGGAGCAGCGGTATCGGTACCTCTCGGTTTCCCACAGGCGGGCTCCAGCGCCGGGCCCGACGGATGGGCAGGAGACGAGCTCGTGGACGCCATGTCCCGGGCGAAAACCATTACCGACCTGCTGAACGAGATGAGCAGGCCGCCTGCGTGCCAGACGGGTGGGAGCAGGACAGGCGGGCACGCCTGCGGAAAGCCGTGCCTGAGGGAGGCAGCAAAGCGCTGCGTGCAGGAGACTATCGGCCCATTTGCGTGGCGAGCGCCTGGCACGGGTTCTGGGCCACCACGCGGGCGCGCTCGGAGGCCAGCCGCAGGTGGCAAGACACCTTCTGGGACCCAGGCATGGTCGGCGCGAAGAAGAATGGGTTCGAGGCGCACCAGGTAGCAGCGTCCGCGATTGTGGCGGCGAGCGTGGGCATGTTCGTCACCTCCTAGAATTTCAGCCTCGATTTCGACATGCCAGACCCCGTCATCGTGAGCCGCGTGCTGTCCGAACTGGGCCTCCCTCCGAACATCGGCAACATGCTGGCGAGCACGTGGGGACAACAGCGCCGATGGATGCAGTTCGCGGGCTGCGCCTTGCAGGAACCGCAGAGGGTCAGCAGCACCCCCCCCCAGGGCGACCCGTGGTCGCCATTGACCCCCTGCGCGATGTTTCTCGCGCCGCTCAGGCAGATCAAGCACAGATGCGAGGGCATCCACGTGCGATTGTACATCGGCGACCGCACGCGGGAGAGCCCCGGACTGCTGGACTCAGTCGTCAGATGCGCTGGGCTCAAGGAAATGAGAGGAATAAGCAGTGGCTGCACTGGCGTCCTCGCCAACGGCGGCAAGTTGCCGGTGCGGGGGTCGACCCGGCCACGATTCACGATGCAATCGACGTGCTGGGGATCAGGATCACCGAAGCGCGCAGCAGGGCGCTCCCGAAGAAGGAGGAGAAGCGATTCGAGGCAGCAGAGGCGCAGCTTGCCAGGGCGCGCGAGCTCCCGCACCAGCGGAAGGAACAGAGAGCGATCTGCTCCGCGGGGGGCCGTTTCCAGGGCGGCGTCCGGATGGATCGGGCAGCCGATGCCGACGGGAGCGGCGGACTGGCTCGGGCAGGGCGTCGCAGGAGCGCTGCGTCCTCCTCGACAGCGCTCCGCCGACGCCGACGGGGGGCACGGAGCTGACGCCCAGCACCGCACGCAGCAGGGCGCGATCACGGCCCTGGCCATGGTCGTGTCCCGGTGGGCGCACACTCTCAGCGACTTCGCGCGGGACTCGCCCTGGACCCAGAAGGGAAGTTCCGCGGCCAAGGCCAGTAGCCACACATGGACAGGCTAGGGGCCCACCGCTGACTGTTGGATTTGGCAGCACACAGGGTTGGACGAGGAAGACACGGTCATAGCGCTGGACCACGCCAGCCGGGAATGGCGGAGACCCAGAATTCCAGGGCGAGCATTGCGTAGAGCAAGACGCTACACCCTGCGCGACAGCGTCATCAAGTCCAAACGCCGCGACGCGGCCATCATTGGGCAGAAAGGCGTCGGTTGCAACCCCCTTTGGGTCAAGGTCGCACTCAGGTGCTACGACGACAACCCTGGGAGGCGATGAGGGCGCCGGCTGTCGCCGTGGCGTCGCCCATGTGCAGCGCTATCGCCAGGGGGAGGCCTGGCCCGGAGGGCCTGCCCCTGGCGCGGCGCGGCGCAGGGAACACTGGGCCACCCAGCGCGGGAGTGCGCCGACGCGCCTTATCCTTATGGAGGTGGCGACTAGATCTGCTAAGCTGCCGCCGAAATATGGAAGGTTGAAGCAAGAGCCTGGCTCACCAGGCTCCGCTACCAATATGAAATTATCAAAGCCCCCGAAGTCTCTGATGGCAATATCAATGATGAGTAGGAAGAACACCCGAGATGCTTTCACACCGGTGCTGCGCTGATTCAAGGGCCCTGAAAGGTTTGGGCCACAGTGCCGAAGGTACGCTCGCTATGCTACAGTCATGCTCTGCTCTCTTTCACACGAGGTACAGCGTATATCTCGCAGGAGGGGGTGTTCACGATTCGAAAATCTTGGAGGGGTCGGCGGAAAGGGGCCTCTCGGGAGCCTCTCGGGGTCTTCTTGGGGTTTCAGTTTAGCCTCCAGTCCTTTATGGGACGCACGGTGGCGGTTTCGGGGGTCATTTTTGGGCGGAGGGCTCGAAGTATCGGTTCGTTCTCCCCTTCTGGACTCTCTTGAGGACCTCTTGAAACCGGCTTGGGCTGCCTCGGGCTTTCTTGGGCTCGTCTTGGGGCCCTTTTGGGGCTGGGGCCCTCTTGGGCCGTCTGGGGCCCCTCGTAGGGGCCATTGGGCCGTCTTGGGGCGATCTTGGGGGGCTTTTGGGCCGTCTTGACGCGTCGGGAGCCCGAAAAGGCGATAACGCTGAAATCTTTGAATGACCTAGAGGGATGCCTCTTTCCTCCTCGTCACTCTCACTGCCCCTCCCTTCCTCCTTGCTCTCACGCCTCCCCCACCCCTCTGCTCATTTATCCCCCCTTGCCCTCCGTATCACCCACCACCGCTTCCTCCTTCTCCCTCGGTCTCTCCGTCCTCCTTGGCTCCTCCCCCTTCATTCCGTCCTTCTTCTCCTCTTCCTCTAACTCCTTCTCCTCCTCCTCCTCCTCCTCCTCCTCCTCCTCCTCCTCCGCCTCCTCCTCCTCCTCCTCCATCCCTTCTCGTCCTCGGTTGCCCTCCTCGCCGCCTCCCCCTCGCTGCCCCCCCCCTCGCCCTCCCCTCCCCCCTCCGAGGCCTCGCCTGCGTGGGCATGCCGCTCTCGCCGAGTTCGGCGCGCCGGTGGCCCCGCTGACTGGACGCCGGGGGCCGCGCTCCGGTCCCAGTGGGATGGTCGTCGCCACGGCGCGACGCTGGCTGCTAGTGCACGGAGTGGGGGGGGGGATGCGAGAGAGGAGGGGCGAGGGAGGAGGAGGAGGGAGGAGGAGGAGAAGGTAGAGGGGCGAGGAGTAGAGACGAGGGCGGAGGGCGGGGGGGGATGAACGATTCGTCGCTCGCGTAACTTTCGCAAATATAGTTGGGAATCTGGCCCAAATGAAACTCAAACCTTCCATTCCTCCAGGTCCCCCCCGGGCACACGGAATACGAATTACGTTACCGAGGATTCCCAAATACGTATTTTCATTCTTATGTGACGACGTGGCATGTACCGAACGAACAATTGCGTGATTTTTGTTTTTTCCTCTCCATCATCTAGCGGGGCAGGATGCGAGGTGGTTGCGGAGGTCCGTTCCCTGGAGTGGCACTTAACAATAAGGCCACATCGCGGTTAGCCAGGGTATGAACTTTATACAAATCGAGCCCCTGGTGCCGCGATAGTTTCGGCACCAGTGTGAGGACCTGTCAGAGTATCACTTCCTACGCTGACCATCAAGATTTCGCCCAGCTGCACAAGTCCCCGCGCGGGAAGGAGTGATCCTTTCATCCTCCCCTCCTGCTGTTTTCTCCGTCGCCCCTCCCTCCTCCATCCCTGTCTTCGCCAGGTCGGCCTATTTTTCTCCCTTCCCGCGTACATACGTTCCTACATCTCTTCGACGGAAAGTCTTTGAGCTGCGCGCGCGAGCAAGCGACAGGCAAACATAGACCGTCTGCGTGCCGATGGAACATGTATGGGGTACGGCCGGCACGAAGGCATGAGTTGGGTGGGCGTCAAGGAACGGCGCGGGTAACGCACGGCCGATGCGGCTGGACGTCGCTGCACTGGTCTGAAGGACTCCGGCGCCGTGGGCGCGGGCCCCGGTCGCCCCCGCGGCCATTGCAGGCGCGTGCGGGCTCCGGCGCCTCAGCGACCTCACGCCACCGGCGGGATCCGCTGGCGTTCCAAGGCAAGGTCCGCGATCTCTCGAGACTCCGTGGTCATCCCCTGCCAACATTTCGGCTGACCCACACGCCGACGGCCCCCTCTGCTCCGCCTCGGCCCCTCGCTCCCTCCTTGGCCCCCTCTGCTCCGCCTCTCCTGGTTTTGTTTTCCCACCTGTCGGGGTACTTCCAGGCGCAGCCGGCCATCCTGGGTGGAGGCTGGCGTGTCACGCATTTGCTGGCAGACCCGCGGCGCCGCCCGCACTGAGGCTGAGCGCAGCACAAAAAATCTTTGGTCATCCCCTCATCGAACTGCTTGAGGGCTTTCCGGCGCGGACGGAAGTGGGCCTTTCTGCAAGACCTCAATTGGCGGCGGTCGGTGCAAAGGCATTTCGTTCCTGCAAGCGGCTTTGCTGAGCATCGCGTGCACATGCAGCCACCAGTTGTTCGCTTTGTCCTCCGTTCTGCCAATGCTCGCATCTTGCGCGCAATCGATGGTCACCCTTGTGCGGGCCCCTGTGATGCGGCGGGCGCACGGAAACGCCTGCGCGTGAACGCGAATTTTAGCATGCGAATCCTATCATGCGAACAATGTGTTTTTGTTTCCGCCGCTGCGCCAGTTGAAGTTCGCCTTCGTCGGCGGGAAGCAGAAGAAGACGTTCGCCTTCTGTTCCTGGCTTCTGCATGATTGAGTGAGGGAGCCGACCGCGCGCAGCGCCGGCTTGCGGAACTTGCCCAGTAGCATTCAAATGCCGACAGGCGGCATGCGTGAGCGGGGGATCCCTCAAGGAGCGCACGCGTCGTGCTTGTCCTGGTCCTCCCCGTGCATCGCGAAGCTCGCGACGGTGGCCTTCTGGTCTTGGGCGAAACCTTCGCGCCTGGACAACTTGACAGGGAATCTCACCTGCGTGCGTGCCCACGCGCGCAGGAACAATTCCGCGCGCCCCGTGTCGCAAGGGTTCGGCACGCTGAGCAGCCCCGTCGCAGTTTTTTCATTGTCCTGCGGTGCGTCGCCGGGGGCGCGCCCGCCACTCGACTGCAGGAGGAGGGCCAGGGGCACGCCCGCGCGCGCGAGTCAACGATGCTCTTCCGAGAGTCCATCGGCACAGAGCGGTCCGGTACAAGGCCATGCCGAATCCGGTCGCAGACCTTGCCTTGTCGCGCTTCGGGCCTTTCGCTCTGGTCGCGCAATCGGCGGCGGCCCGAGCCTCGAAGGCTGCCAAGACCTCATCAGGAATCAGTCGTGCGCAGCGCATGCAGGCGATAAGTTCGATCAGCGGGTCGACGAGTCTGAAGCGCTCGGTGCCCATGAGGTCGCTCGCGTGAGGCAGCTTTCCGAGCGCGTGCACTGCGTCCCGCGCTTCCACGCTCGGAGGTGCATCCAACTTGCGGTTGTCGCACCCGTCTTCCTCGTTGACGCCCACGGGAGTCCACGGCGAGCCTTGCGGCGCTCGCCGGGGTGAGCTGGTGGAAATCACCCAAGTGAATGAAGACCTCGGGCGCGTCCATAACGGTGGTCGTCATTCTTGTAGCTCGACTCGCCCACGCAGGGGCCCCCCGCCCCTGCCGAGCGCGCATCTGCAGTCCATCATGTTGTAGAGGGGGGCAGATATTATGCTGATCCCCTCCATCGTGAGCACGCGCGTTCGTCGCTGGCGCTGCTCCAGCTCCACGAGCCTCGCTCGGCTGGGCCGCATTTTGACGTTCGTCAGCACTTGCGCGGACATGCTTCCAGCCCCGTGGATCGCCGTGGCTTCCACGTCCGCCGTCGAGGCGTTCTCGGCTTGAGCGTTGGAGAACGCCGCCGCTGCGGGAGTCCGGCTGGCCCTGCTCTTGTCTGGCCAGATGTGGTTCGCCGCCTTGAAAACGAGGTTCTGAACCACGTGCGTCATGCCGCATTCGCCCTGGCCAGGTAAAAGGATGTGGCGAGCCTCGCGCACGTGGCAGGGGGCGCCTTTCTTCTCGTCGCGTCAGACTGGGCCGCAGGCATCAGCAAAGCGCATAACGAAAATGGTCGGATCTCGAGTGAGCCGCTGGTCTTCTGGCATTCTATCCAGCCGGGAGATCCGCGGCGCAAGCGCTCGGAGTAGTGCGCGCGCCAGCATTGTCGAATGGTGCAGGCTCGGGGTCCTTCCTATCTTCCGCAGCGCGCGGCTCGCCCTCGTCGTCGGAATAACATTCGTCTGCCTCCTTATTTTGGAATGCAAGGCCCTGCTGACCTAGCATGCGGAGATGCTAGGCCACATGACCAATGCCACTCCTCGCGTTAGGGATGCATTCGCGCAGGCCTCAGCGATGCAGTCTCCGCACGTCCCCGCGGCCCTGGTCGAAGAAATGACTTGCGGGCCATTTCAGTCCATGCGCGGAAGGGCCAGGTGTCCTTTGCGAGCGTTTTAGGCCGCGTCTCACGGCCGCGGGCGAGCGCCTGTCCCCGAGGTCTTCGAAGTTGCCCATCCCCCAGGGAGGCGGCTCCTGGAAAGTGCCGGCCTTGAACTGCGGTTCGGCGGGCGGGTCGTCCGCCGCGTCGCTTGCCCCCTCGCAGTCATCGGGCCCGCTCCCGCCAGCGGTCGCGCGGAGGCGCGCCCGATGAACTTGCAACCCCGCCATGGCGGCGCGCTGCTTCACCGCGGCGCGCTCCGTTCCCGCGTCGTGGCCTCCAGTCCACGCAAGATGCGAAGAAGGGAAAACGCATCAAGATGCAAGAGGGAATCATCGGACACAGGGGCGCGCGCCTGGGCCCGAGCGCATGATGGGCCTGGCGAGTGGGCTCGGCGTTCTGACCATCCCTCCGGAGGGAGGAGCCGCCGAGGGCCGCTTCCTGGAAACATCGCGCCCCTCGGGCCCCCCTGCAATTTGGAGGTCGTGCGCGCGGGCGACAAGGCAGACGACGATCTCGGCGATCTCCTGGGAACGATGAGCCACCGACGCATACTTCGATCTGAAGCGAGGCATCGGGCGACGCCGTGGATCGGCGCAACTGGGCGTGCGGTCATGATTTGGATCAACTTCCCCAGCGTCACCGCGCTCCGCCCAGGCTCCGCGTTGCGTTGCTGCCACCTCGTCCGTCTCCCACATCGAGTGGTGCTCGAATCTGTTTAGGAGCCGCCGCCGTCCCTCTGCTGCGCCCACCTCCGTCTCGTCGCTCTCGTGGAAGTCGTCGGGTGCCTGCGGGGCCGCCGCCGCCTCGGACCGGCGCAGCCGCCGCGGCAAGGGGGCCAGGGCAAATCGCCCGACCGCTGGCCGCCTGTCCCTTGAGCCAGGGGGGTAGAGAGTGGGGCGAGAGAGAGAGAGGGAGTAGAGATATGGGGCGAGAGAGAGAGAGAGTGGAGATAGGCAGAGAGAGAGAGAGAGAGCGAGAGAGAGCAGAGAGCAGACGGACAGAGAGACAGCAGACATATAGACAGACAGGCCGAGACAGACAGAGGGACACAGACAGACGCACACAGAGAGAAAGTGAGAGAGAGAGGAAACAAAAAAAGAGCCGACGCGCGCCTTTATCAACCGCTCTGGTGCTATAGTCTTGCAAGTTGTTTGTGCGGGTTGTAGTGAAGGCAGTAGCGGGGCGGCCAGCGCTTTCGAAAGTCGGCGTTCGAAAAGCGAGAAGTCGTTTTTGGTTCTTTCTCGACAGCGGGAGGGTAAGGATTGCGCTCGGTCTCTCTGGCGCGCCTTCTTGTGAGCGCTGAGGGCCACGGGTGCTTCAGCTTTCCCGTGGTGGTTCTTGGTGCGGCCGCGCGGCCAAAATAATTACGCATGCTCTGCAAGAGTATCTGTCTCTCTCGCCGTGGGTTGTGGCATCGCAGTGTCTTTCTCCACGGCTGATCGCACCTTGAAGTTTACTTTGTCTCTTCGCTATCTGGTTGGCGCTGCAAGTGCAGATGTACCGAACAGAAGCCTCCTCTTGTCTCTTTGGCCCAGCGTTTCAGTGCCTTCAGACGTGCCGGCCCAGTGTCTGACCCCATCCCTGCACAAGGATCAGGCTGTGCGTTCAAGCATGGCCATCAGTATAAACAGGATGTGGTTTGATATTTGGCCCAGGTTTCTCAGGCTAGTGTTTTCTGAATCGCAGCGTCTGCGGCAGATGTTGACCAGGGATTTCCGTGAAGCGGGCCATACAGTACACGTTTGGGGTAAGCAGCCACCGTTCCGGAACTACCGCGATACTTGTGTCGACAGTGTTGTCCTGACAGGTCCGTGCCGTCTCCTCTCGTAATCTCGGTGTGTCCGCAAATTTCCCCAAGGCACATTTTCAGCGTCCAAGGTCTTCCATGCACGCCCAAGGTTCTGGCATTCTCACCTTGCATAAGCAAGTCGAAGATCGTTTGAGGCTTGGGTTTTCCATAGTCCTGGCGATTACGAGCAGAGAACGGAGGAGCAGAAGCCCAAGCGAGAGGCTATCCGCACCGACTTGCCCGAACCCGACGCCAAGCCGAAGCAATGCAGGGCTGGACATGCAGAGAGGTCGAGAGAGAGGGAGAGAGGGAGAGCGAGCGAGAGAGAGGTGCGTTGCTGCGCTTGTGCCCCGTCCTCCTGCTCGAAGAGCGCTGCAGCCATGGCCGGCGGCAGCAGCACTGCGGGGCCAGGCGGCTCGACGGCGGCCCACCGCGGCCCGAAGTCGAAGCCCGCCCGCCCCGACAGGGCTTCGCCCGGCCCCGCGGCGGCCCCGAAGCGGAGGCGCCCCGGCGGCATCCCGCTGTCCGAGGTTCAAAGAAGAACAAAACGCCATAAGCATAAACGTCTGGCGCTCCGCGCGGATTTCTTGGATCCGCGCCGGGACCCCTGGCGGCGCCTCTGGCGCCGCCCTGGCGCGCTCCGCGCGCCAGGGAGGGGGGGTGGTCCAGCGCAGATCCAAAAAATCCGCGCGGAGCGCCAAACGTTTGTGCTGACGGCGTTTTTCCTTCTTCCCGAGGTGGAGGTCGGAGAGTGGTACTCCTCAGTGGCAGCGATGCGGGGGGGGCGGGGGGATAGTCTCAGGGGGGAGGGACGCATCGCCCCCCAAACTGCGCATTCATCGCCTCGCTGGCAGGGGCCCCGTAGCCAGCCCCGCCCAGGCACGTGCGGATTCGCTGGCGGGGGCCTGTCGCCGATCCCAGCTCTCGAGGTTCCCCCCTGAGCTGGCCCCCCCCCCCCCAGCGTTGCCCCTCGACTCAGAGGAGGGCAGGTTGACGGAGCGGCAGTTGGCCTTCGGAGGCCACCCCGTCGCCACGGCTGGACGCAGCTCGGCAAGCTGGCGCGTTCGGACCACCCCGGGAGGGGTCCAGGGACCGATTTGGACCTGCCGCTGTCTCAGGTCGCCCTGCTCCCAGGTACGACGGCACCGTCACAAACTCCGTCCCCTTCGGAGTATTCGTCGACTTCGGGGCCGTCAAGGACCTGGGGGACTGATCAGAATCGCTCCCCCTGACACGTCGGTCAGCGAGTCCGCTCGCACAGCCCCTAGTTTGGCCCCTGGAGGTGGTGATGCAGCCGCCGTTTTTGCTGTGGGCTTGTGCCCGAGGGATCTTGGCCCCAGGCCGTGTCCACCAAATGATGTTCTGCCAGAGGGCCATTTCGCACGACTCCTGCTGGAGCCCGAGGCCGCTGTCCTCCTTTCCCGGACGGCGGCTCTCCTCCTTCCCCTGCTGGCGTTCGTGCGCACCTGGCCCTGCCACGCCCCGGCCGCCGCTGCCCGATGCCTCGTGACCCACGTCGCCGCGGACCAAGAGGTTCTCTGCCAAAGGGAGGGAGGGAGGAGGAGGAGGAGGAGGAGGAGGAGGAGGAGGAGGAGGAGGAGGAGGAGATGGGGGAGGAGGAGGAGGAGGAGGAGGAGGAGGAGGAGGAGGAGGAGGAGGAGGAGGAGGAGGAGGAGGAGGTCGACGAGGAGGAGGAGGAGGAGAATGAGGAGGAGGAGAAGGAGGAGCATGACCCCACCCCCGCAGGATGGCCTGGTGTACATGGACATGGGGCGGAAGCGTGGCCTCAAGCGCGGCGACGTGCTCGCCCGCCTCCGCGTGGTGTCGGTCGACGAGGAGCGCGAGCGCGCCGTCCTGCGCCTGGACGAAGGCTCGGCGCAGGGCGAGCCGAGACAGCGGCGCCCCCCCCCCCCCGCCCGGCCCCAGAACTAACTTCGCGCAGAGTCGGCCCAGAGCTCTCCAGAGGCCCCTCCTGGCCCGTTGTTTTCGAGAGTGACCAGGCCGTGCCGCCGAGAAGCCCCCCACCAGGAGGCCCGACCACATGGGTCGTTTGCGCCGAGATTGGCGCATAAGCTGCCCGCGTAAGCTCGCGCGTAAGCGCCCTCGTCTCCAACCTGGCGTGTCGCGCTTGTTGCCCGCGTAAGCCACCGCGTAAGGTCGCCGTGCCGTGCCATCTCGCGTAACACTCGTTTTTTGATCGGCGCTCATATGGCGAGGAATCCGGCTTTGGGAGGGCGCCCCTTTTGACCCGTCTTTTTCGAGAATGGCCAGGGCGTGCCGCCGAGAAGACACCCTCCCGGGGGAGAGGAGGAGGAGGAGGAGGAGGAGGAGGAGGAGGAGGAGGAGGAGGAGGAGGAGGAGGACGAGGAGGAGGAGGAGGAGGAGGAGGAGGAGAGGCGGAGGCGGAGCGGGAGGCGGAGGAGGAGGAGGAGGAGGAGGAGGAGGAGGAAGAGGGAGGAGAGGAAGGAGGAGGAGGGAGGAGGGAGGAGGGGGGGAGGGGGAGGAGGGGAGGGGGGGGGGGAGGGGGAGGGGGAGGGGGGGGGGAGGAGGAGGGGAGGAGAGGGAGGAGAGGAGGAGGAGGAGGAGGAAGGAGCGAGGAGGGGAGAGGAGGAGGAGGAGGGAGGAGTGCGCGGCCAGCTGGACGACGCCTGGCAAGAGGCGGTGCACCAGTGTGGACTGACGAGCTCCGACGGCTCGTACTGAATTTTTGGGGGGGGGGCCCTGTTGCTGGCCCCTGCCAGGGCCCGTCAAACCCTGGCAGGGTGACAAAAAGGTCCTCTCCGATGGGCCCCCCCACCAGTTTGCTTGAGACAGAGGGACCTCGCTCCCTTTCTCTCTACTGCGTGCGCAGGAGGGAGGAGGGAGGAGGGAGGAGGGAGGCGGGAGGAGGGAGGAGGGAGGAGGGAGGAGGGAGTCGCCCCTGGGAGGGCGCCCCCGCCGTTTCGCGTTTCGCTTGGCCCTCCTCGCCGACAGGCCCGCGCGCCGGCGAGGGGCCGAGCCTGCCGCGGCGGGCGGTGCGGCGGGGCCCCGGCGCGGCGGGGCCCAGCGCACGCGACTGGAGCGAGCCGCCGCCGCTGCAGGGCGGCGAGGATCAGGAGGGAGAAAAGACACGCAGACACGATGAATCGTCGATCCCCCTGAAAGTGTGGGAAGATATGGGAGGCGGGGGGAAGACGAAAGCCCCGAAAATGTGGCAAAAAGGATAGGGGGTCCTGGGAATTGCGTGTCTTTCTTGGCGTGTCCCTGGGCCCCTTGCAGAGGAGGAGGAGGCGTCCGGCAGCGCCTCGAGCCGCCGCTCCGCGCGGCGCGGCGAGGGCGCGCGCGTGCCCCTGGAGCGGCTGAAGGAGGGCGCCGTCGTGGAGGGCAGGGTCAGGAGCGAGCGCTCGATCAGAGCCCCGAGTCATCCGGGGTAACTCGGGTCAGGGCTGACTCGGGTTCGTTGTTGTCGGGAGTCCGAATCCGAGTTGCCCCGGGCCCGAGGTACCCTGGACAGCTCGGGCGCCCAACTCGAGGGAAGAAGCGCGGGGACCAGATGGCCTAGATGAGGCGGGATCTTGTCGGTGCCGATCTTGGTCATGGTCCATGTCGGCCGTCGCCGATGCGCGAGGCTGATCTACGAGTGGACGCTGACCAAGATCGACAGTGGCCAAGATCGGCACGACATTTCCGGGCGGCCCAACCGTCCCCAGACCTCCAGCGCCTCGAGGAGCTTCTGGCGGCTCTTCTGTCGCAGTGTTCTGCCTCTGGGGGCCCCCGCCCGGCCCCAGGATCGTCCACGAACGACAGCTACTCGGGATGGCGAACCGGCCTGGCGGAAAAGGTCCAGGCTTGCGGGGTCCCGTGCTGGGAAATTCAAGACGTCGGATGCCTGGGGGGGGGGGTGCAGTCGAGACAACGGTGGCCCCCTCCCTGGCTGGCGTGCTTCGTCCTCCCGTTGGGCCTCCTGGAGGCTTCCCTGGGCCTGGTGGGGGAGCCGCAGTTGTCTCACTTGATGCTCCTCCGAATCATGGGCCCTTGACTAGCTTTAGGTCAGGCATGTCCCCCTACAGGCGGATCTGGCGCGAAAAATTGGCAGCATTTAGAAAGGCCCCCAAATAATCAACAAATGCTCAAAACATCGTCCCCGCACTATTTTGTTACTACCATTGCAAATTCCTCCTGTAGAGTGACATGCGCGACTTGTGACTAGCTTGCTTGTGCAGCTTTCGTGCGGAAGGCCGCCAGAGGCCAGCGGAACACCGCCAGAGCCGCCGAGTGCCGCCACCGCCGATGGCCGCCGAAGGAGCGCCGATGACCGCCGAATGCGGATGGGTAGCAAGGAGTCCATAATATATAGTCTTAAGTCGGGCCTGCCCCTCTACAGGAGGAGTCTCCAAAAATAGGCAAACAGAAAAAGTAAGGGGACGATGTCCTGACCGTGTTTACGTATGTTTGAGCATTTGGGCGGTATTTCTTATCTTTCGTAGGAAATCCGCCTGTAGGGGGACACGCCCGACCTAAGTATAGTCCCGCGCGCAAGCGCAAGGAACGTGTGCCCCTTCGGGGTGTTCATGGACATCTCAGGGGAAGAGATGCCGGCACGAGCACAAACTCTCGGAGGTCTGCGCGGATTTCTCCGATCGGCGCTGCCCTTCCCCTGGCGGCGCCGCCCCTTGGCGCGCGCCGCGCGCCAGAGAGGGGCGGCGCCAAGCGCCACTCCAAGAATGCCGCGCGGACCTCCGCAGGCTCGCGCCCGTGCCGATCTCTCCTCTCCCAGCGTCGGCGCGGCCGGGGACGCTCGCCTGCAGGCCTCGGGGCGCGTGCGGCGCGGGCTGCGGCGGGGCGACGTGCTGAGTGGGTGCCACATCGACTGGGTGGACGCCGCCGCGCGCCGCATCCAGGTGTCGCTGCTGGACGAGGGCGCGGACGCCGCCCCGAGGCCGAGCGCTCCGCGCGAGCCCGGCGCCCAGCCGCGCGGCCGCGGGGCCGACGGAGGCTTGCCGCAGGCACCGGGCCAGCCGCGCGTGGGGGAGCTGGTGGACGGCCGCGTGACCAGCGCCAGCCCGTCCGGCATCCTCGTGGACATTGGTGGCAGGGCCCCCGAAACAGTGGCACGGCGGACAGGGGACTCGAGCATTCCACCCGGAGGGGACGACGAGGGGAACATGTTTCGGCCCGCGGTTGGAGCTTTCTCGGGTGCGCCAGCGTCCTGGTTTACCAGTGCCCCCGTTTCGCGGGCCCTCCAGGCGGCCCCGAGGACGCACGGCTGAGCGTGCCGCGGAGCGCGGCGCGGCAGTTCCAGTGCGGCGACCGCGTGGTGGGCATGCGGGTGGACGCGGTGGACCAGGAGAGGGGCTGGGTCACCGTGTCGCTGGACGAGCCCGAGCTCAGCACCGGAGATCGAAGAAGAAAAAAATATGCACAAACATAAACTGGCTGTCGGAGGTCCGCTCGCGTGGATTTCTCCGATCGGCGCTGTGCCCAGGCGGGAGATATTTTGCATCCACCCAAGGGATCACACATGTGACCCCCCCTTCGACCCCCAGTGCGCGATCCTGGGCAGCCTATGGCCTGTGGTGCACGCGGGCACTACTGGTGCCGCGGTGCACGCGGGCGGTCACTATGGTGTACGCAGGCACTGCGGTATACACCAGCGCTGTGGCGCGAACAACTGCCGTTGCAGCAGAAGTTGTCGTGTACACAGGCATAGTGGGTATACGCAAGCATTGCGGTGTACACATCACAAGCCCTGCGGTGTACACAGGCGCCGTGATGTACACAGTCTCTGTAGTGCGCAAAGTCGCTATGATGTGCACGTGCATTGTGGGCTATGGTGCACCCACGCATCTCTTCCTACTTCTTCATCTTTCCTCCCTCTTCATATAGTCCTCCAAGTCGTCGTCCTCCTTGCGCATACAGGACGCGGGCATTGTGGTGTACACAAGCATTGTGGTGCGCACAGGCCCTGTGGTGCACACAGGCGTTGTGTTTTAGATTCGCTGTGGGCTCAAAACGTCAGAGCGTTCCTCGGGCCAAAAAAAACAATAATCACAATCAGATCACTTATTGAATATGATTCACTCGGGCTCCCAGCGATTTTCCGGGCTTTGGCTCCGTCGGTGCCGTAGAGGTGTAAACAAGCGTTGTGGTAAACGCAAGCGCTGTGGTGCTCACGGGGGGCGTGCTGAAACAAGAGTTGAGGTGTCAATAATCACAGGCGTTGCAGTGCAGACGGCTGCTGTGGTGTACACAGACAGTGCAGTGTATATAGGCGTTCTCATGCAGACACGTATTGCGATGGCTCCCAGAGTGGGGGCCGGCGGGAATTGACGAGTCGATTGCGAGCTATGTTTAATCATGGGGTGCATTTTGGCAGTGCTCTTGGAAGAAGAGCGCGGGCCCCGAGCTGTCGACCCCATCGTGTGGTTCCTTTTACTTCTCCTGCTCCTCCTGCTGGTGCTTCTGGTCCTCCTGCTTCTCCTCCGTGTACTCCCTCGGCTGACGCCGTTCCGCGCGCCCCCAAGCCGCGTGGTGTTCACGGGCGCCGTGGTGCGCGTAGTCGCCATGACGTGCACATTCGCTATGGCGTGCACAGGTGTTGTGGGCCAGAAATATCCGAGCGTTCCTTGGGCCAGAGAAACAAATTATCCGGGCGAAGGACCCAACCATATGCAGTTGTGGGTACCGCACTTGTGAATATCTTCTTGGGTGAAGCTCCATATGGGGCCACGAAGCGCTGCACTGGGTGGGGGGATCGCATGTGGGCGGTAGCACTGGGGCCGTCGGTGGAGCTCCCTATGAGGCCACGAAGCGCTGTATTGGGTAGGCGAAAGTGCCGAATTGGGTGTGTGCGACGCATGCGGGCGGTCCCATTGGGGACTTCGCTGGAGCTCCCTATGGGGCCACGAAGCGCTGTACTGGGGGGGTGAACATGCCAAATTGGGTGTATGTGTGTATGTGTGTGTGTGGGTGTGCGTGTGTGCGTGTATGCTCGTGTGTGTGTGTGTGCGCGCGTGTGTCTTCTTACTGTTTGTTATATCGTGCGCGCTTCAGTTCAATGTTTCATCGGTGCCGCGCGCAGGTGCGCCGACGCCGACACCAGCACCCTCGCCAATACCGCCCACTCGCCGCCACCTGCTCCGCTCTGGTTCTGTGTATGCATATGTTCTTATCAGTGTGTCTGTTCATAATGTTTGGCTCTCGTTTCTCGTGCGCGTGCCCTCGCAGAGCACGGGCCGTCTCGCTCCGCGCGCCACGCTCATGGAGCGAGCTAGCTTGATTCGGATCTTCGACGTGTACGATACCTGCAGGAACTTCGCTCCCAGCATTGTCCTGGACTGCGGGGGAGGCCTGGGCTCTGCGCAAACAGCGCGTTCGAATTAACGAACCTCGTTCATAACACTTCAGAGAGAAAGAGAGAGAGAGAGAGAGAGAGAGAGAGAGAGAGAGAGAGAGAGCGAGTGTGTGTGTGTGTGTGTGCGTGCGTGCGTGCGTGCGTGCGTGCGTGCGTGCGTGCGTGCGTGCGTGCGTGCGTGTGTTTGTGTGTGTGCGTGCGTGCGTGTGTGTGTGTGTGTGTTGTGTGTGTGTGTGTGTGTGTTGTGTGTGTGTGTGTGTGTGTGTGTGTGTGTGTTTGTGGTATGTGTGTATGTGCGCGTGCGTGCGTGCGTGCGTGCGTTGTGCGTGCGTGCGTGGTGTGTGTGTGTGTGTGTGTGTGTCTGTGTGTCTGTGTGTGTGTCTGTGTCTGTGTGTCTCTGTGTATGTGTGTGTGTGCGTGTGTGTGTGTGTGTGTGTGTGTATGTGTGTGTGTGCGTGCGTGCGTGCGTGCGTGCGTGCGTGCGTGCGTGCGTGCGTGAGTGCGTGCGTGCGCGTGTGCGTGTGCGTGTGCGTGTGCGTGTGCGTGTGCGTGTGCGTGTGCGTGTGTGTGGGGGGGGCATGCGGGCGGTCCGGCGGCCCCACCGGGTGCTTCGGTGGGGCTCCCTATTGGGCAACGAAATGATGTGTTGGGTGGGTGATGATGCCAAATTGGGTGTGTAAAACGCACGCGGGCGGCCCCACTGGGGCCTTCGGTGGAGTTCCCGATGGGGGCCGCCAAACGCTGTACTGCGTGGGCGAAAATGCCACATTGGGCGTGTAGGACGCATGCGGGCGGCCCCACTGGGGGTCTGGAGCTCCCTATGGGGCAACGAAGCGCTGTACTGGGTGGGCGAAAATGCCGAACTGGGTGTGTACAACGCACGCGGGCGGTCCCGTTGGTGACTTCGGTGGAGCTCCCTCTGGGGGCACGAAGCGTTGTATTGGGTTGGCAAAGATGCCAAATTTAGTTTACAGGGCGCATGCGGGCGGTCCCACTGAAGGTTTCGGAAAAGCTCTCCCTATGGGGTCACGAAGCGTTGTGTCGGGTGGCTGAAAATGCCAAATTAGGTGTGTGGGACGCATGCGGGCGGTCCCACTGGGGGCTTCGGTGGAGCTCCTTATGGGGCAACGAAGCGCTGTGTTGGGCGGGTGCAAATTCAGAGTTTGGCTTTCGGGGCGCATGCGGGCGGTCCCACTGGGGGCTTCGGTGGAGCTCCTCATGGGGCCACGAAGCGTTGTACTGGGTGGGTGGAACGTGCCAAATTGCGCTTCCGCGACGCACGCGGATGGTCCCAGCTGGGGGTTTCGGTGGAGCTCCCCATGGGGCCACGAAGCGCTGTAATGGATGGGCAAAAATGCAAAATTTAGTTTTCGGGGCGCACGCGGACCGTCCCATTGAAGGTTTTGGTGGAGTTCCTTATGGGGCCACGAAGTGCCGTATTGGGTAAGTGAAAATACCAAATTGCGTTTCCGGGGCGCACGCGGGCGGTCCCACTGGGGGTTTCGGCGGAATTTTTTGTGGGGCCACGAAGCGTGTGAGGGGGGTGCCAAATTGAGTTCCCGGCTTCGGTGGAGCTCCCTACGGGGCCACGAAACATTGTATTGGGTGGGTGAAACGCAGGGGGGAAAGACGAGGAGGGAGGAGGGGAGGGAGGAGCAAGGAAGGAAGGAGGAACGCGGGGTTATCGTCTCTTCAAAACGATGACCCAGCACCACAGGATTGTTGGGAATAACCAATCAACTCGCACATTGAATTTGATACGTTCGGCCCCCCAGCGATTTTCCTGAGTTTGGCTCCGTCGGTACCTTCAGGTGTGCACAAGTTTTGTGGTGTACGCAGGCACTGTGGTGCACAGGGGGTGCTGAAACAGCAGTTGTGGACCACGCAGGCGCCGTGGCGTGCACAAACAGCGTGATGTACAAAGACGTTGTGGTGCACACGGTTGTTATGGCGCATACAGTCGCCGTGGTGCACACACGTACCATTTACGCAGAAGTTCTGGTGCACAGGCACTGTTGGCGTGGACGACGACGAGGACGACGACGACGACGACGACGACGACGACGACGACGACGACGACGACGACGACGTGGGCGGCGCGCCTCGGGGGGTGCGCGCCGCGGCCCCCGTTGCCGTTACCTCTCCCGCCCCCCCCCCCCCCAGGGTAACATGTGTTATCCCCCAGGAATTACCCTCGGGACGCACGCGGACGGTGGCATTGAGGCCTTCGGTGGAGTTCCCTATGGGGCCACGAAGCGCTGCACTCGGTGGGTGAAAAAACCAAATTGGATTTCGGGACGCACGCAGACGGTCCCACTGGGGGCTTCGGTCGAGTTCCCTATGGGGCCACGAAGCGCTGTACTGCGTGGGCGAGAATGCCAAATTTGGTTTCCGGGACGCATGCGGACGGTCCCACTGGAGGTTTCGGTGGAGCTCTCTATGGGGACACGAAACGCTGTATTGGGTGGGTGAAAATGCTAAATTCGGTTTTCGGGACGCACGCGGACGGTCCCACTGGTGGCTTCGGTGGTTCCCTATGGGGCCACGAAGCGCTGTACCGGGCGGGGGAAGATGCCACATTTGGTCTTCGGGGCGCATGCGGACGGTCCCATTGGGGCCGTCGGTGGGGCTCCATATGGGGCCACGAAGCGCTGTACTGGGTGCGCGGGACGCATGCGGGCGGTCCCACTGGGACTTTGGGTGTGGCTCCCCATGGGGCCACGAAGTGTTGTAGTGGGTGTGCGGGACGCATGCGGACGGTACCACTGGGACCTTCAGTGGAGCTCCCCATGGGGCCACGGAGCGCTGTACTGGGTGGATGAAACGCAGGGAGGAGGGAGGAGGGGGTCACGAAACGCTGTACTGGGTGTGCGGGACGCATATGGACGGTTGCACTGGGACCTCAAGCGCTGTATTGGGTGGGTGAAACGCAGGGAGGAGGGAGGAAGGGGCCACGAAACGCTGTATTGGGCGTGCGGGACGCATACGGACGGTAGCACTGGGACCTTCGGTGGGGCTCCCTATGGAGCCACGAAGCGCTGTACTGGGTGGGTGAACCGGAGGGAGGAGGGAGGAGGGGGAGGGAGGAGGAGAGGAGGAGTGAGGAGAGGAACGCGGGGTTCCGTTTCTTCAAAACGAGGACCCAGCACAGGACGGTTGGGAATAAAAGAAATTGTCTCGGGCGCCCTCCCTGGCGCGCGGGGGTCCAGCGCCGCTCCAAGAAGTCCGCGCGGGCCTCCGAAAGCTGACGTTCGTGCAGTTATTTCTGTTGTTCTCCCAGGGGAGGCGGAGGACGAGGACGATCCCGCCGAGCCCAGGCCTGTGGCGTCGAGGGAGTGCGCGCTCGGGTGGGACGTTGCTCGGCGCGGCGCCGCCGGCCGCGCGCGGGGCGTCAAGGGGCTCTGCGCCGGGGACTTCGTCGACGGGGTCGTGGATCGGTCCAGCGCGGAGGGCGTCTTCGTCCAGGCCGCGGCCGTGCCTCACCGAGCGCGTTGCACTACTCGCAAAGTGGCTATTCGCAACTCGCAACATGTCTGCATCGATGTAATGCATCGTAAATTCCCCATGGCGTATCTATCCAGGCCATCTGCGAGTAGTTACTGTGCGAGTAGTGGAACGCGCTTGTGCAGTGCCAGACGCAGTGGTCACACCAGGTAAGAAGTTGGCCCGCCAGCGGGTGCCCCGCGAGAAGTTCCTGTTGGGCCCGCAGGGCCCCCAGGGCACCCTCGGACGTTCGGGGTCGACGACGGATGTGCCCCCAGATGATACTTTGCATAGCAAGAGTAGCAAGAGTTCTCCTCCTCCTCCACCTCCTCCTCCTGGAGGCGTCACGGGGAGAAGGACCAGCATGATCAGCAGGATGAGGAGGAGGAGGAGGAGGAGGAAATAGAGGACTAGAAGGAGGGGGTCGGTCCGATCGCGCCACCTGATCCCTGTCGTGCCATAAGATGGATCGGCGTGCGCGCTGTCGCACTCTTGCGACCCGCGCTGTCAAACTGTTAGATGGGCGCCCCAACAAGTGGCCCCCAAAGGGGGCACCAAGGCAAGCTGGATCGGAATGCCAGCAATTTGCGACCGCTCACTGATCGACGGGCGGCGATCCACAGACCTCCTCGTGCCACCACTGCGAATGGAACGGAGAAGGAGGAGGGGGAGTGGGCAAAGCTGTTGAACAGCTCCCAACTGGCCCAGTGACGAGGGAACCGGGAATCCTGGGTGGCAGGGTACCGTCCCCAGTGAGGCAGGAGAGAGAGAGAGATAGAGAGAGAGAGAGAGAGCCGAGAACCCCACGCAGCCCCCCCAGGAGGGACCGTCCCCCGTGAGGAAGGAAAGAGAGGCACCGCCCCCCCCCCGAGGCAGGAGAGAGAGAGAGAAAGAGAGAGAGAGAGAGAGGTCGCCGAGAACCCCACGCAGCCCCCCACGGGAGGCGGGAGCGGTCCCGAGCGAACCCGGGGGGAGCGCGACGCCCTCGGGGGGCACGGGTGGGCGGCCACGCCCACCCGTGCCGGGCTCGCGGCGTGCCGGCCGCGCGGGGCCTGCGCGACGAGAGGTTCGAGACGCCTCGACTTCGAATGTCTTTTGTCGCTCAAGCGTCTCCTTCAGAAGAAGGAGAAAATGCCAATCAACGTAAACGTGTGGCGCTCCGCGCGGATTCCTTGGGTCCGCGCCGGCCCCCCCCACCGCGGCGCCTCTGGCGCCGCCCCTGGCGCGCTCCGCGCGCCAGGGAGGGGCGTCCAGCGCAGATCCAAGGAATCCGCGCGGAGCGCCAAACGTTTACGTTGATTGGCATTTTCTCCTTCTTCTGAAGGAGATGCTTGAGCGACAAAAGACATTCGAAGTCGAAGCCCGGAAGAGGAGGAAAAACGAGGAAATTGTGATCTCTAAAAGTAGCACTATCCCCGCCCGCACCCCCGCCGTGTACGCTTCCTCGGAGCGCCTTGGCTGTCTGCGGGGCCCAAATACCTTTAAACTATGTATGGTTTCTCTCGCTGACGCTCATCTTAGGTGCTGTCGGCCTCATTCCATTTTGGCTCGCAGCATTTTCTCAGCGGAGTTCTGGATGCGCCGCTCCCCCCCTTCTGCGCAGGAGTGGGCCGAAGGAGTAGGAGGAGGAGAAGGAGGAGGAGGAGGAAGAGGAGGAGGAGGACGAGGACGAGGAGGAGGAGGAGGAGGAGGAGGAGGAGTCCATGGCAATGGTGGCCGGCCACGCTTTGCAGAGGTGCCCCTCCCCGCTCGTCTGCCTCTTATCTGCCTTCTTCCCGCCTCCCTCTCTCTTTTTTTTTTTTTTTTTCTCTCTCTCTCTCTCTCTCTCTCGGAGCAGGAGGAGAAGGAGGAGCATTGCAGGAGGAGAGAAGACTTTGCATGATGAAGGAGGGGGAAGGGGAAGGAGGAGAGGGGAGGACAAACAGGGGAGGGGTATAGGGAGAGGTCGGGCCCTGGCATCTGGCTCCCCTGCCGCCAGCCTCGCCTCCACGTGTGTCTTCGCTCCTTCTTTCCTCCTGGCTCGGCAAACACCCAACGCTCCTGAGCTTCAGGAGCGACGGCCGGACCTGCCAGACGGACTTGCGGTTCAGTGTTTAGGCTTTGGGAGGGTGAGATTCGGCTTCCTTAGCGAGTCTAGACACTGAAATAAGGAGCAGTTCGGGTCCAGAAGGGACTCGCTGTTCCTCAGGTCCTTGCATGGCTGCTCCTCTAGCGCCCTTCGTGCACCCAGGCGCTATCGGTATCAAAGAGGGGCCCTGTTCTCTGTTCAGCGTCCCCCATGGTAGCACGATGACTGCAGGCCACCCGCAGGGCGAGCGAAGACAGCCGCGCCCCGCGGCCTGTCTGCAGAGGCACCTTCATCCACAGGGGGCTCTAGGCCTCCCAGATGGGGTCTGAGTAGATGGGTTCCGAGGATCGCGCCGTATCGCCGATGCATCGGCGATGCAGCTCGATGAGGAGCCCGATTTTCTCCACGCCGGCGTCGCCGATGCATCGCCGACGTCGCTGGTGCACCGCCGGTGCATCGCCGGTGCATCGCCGATGTATCCGTGATGCATCGGCGATCCGGCGCGATCCTCTGACCTCAGCAGCTCCGACCCTAGGAGTGCGGCACGAGGGCGCGACGACGACCGCGATTCACGCGGCGCGCGTTGCGAGGTTCCGGCAGCCATGAAACCTCGAGGATCGAGGTTCGAGGTCGACGTCGACGTTCCAGCGACACCTCGATCCTTGGGTTTTTTCTGGGAGGTCCTTGCCACCACGGCCAGTTGCGCTTCGAAAATCAGGCCAAGGAGGAGGAGGGGTCCCAGGAGGGGGCGGAGTCCACGGTGCGCCTTCCAGGCAGGACTCAAGTCGTTCTGGAGCGCTCCACAACGGCCGCCGCGCCCGATGCATGCTGTAGACACCTGGGGTCCCGCCAGCTCTCGGAGACTCCCGATTCATCCTTGTCAGGACTTGTCGCGATGCTGCCTCCGCCTTAGAGGTGGCCTGGCCTCGTCTCCCTCCTCGCTCCTCCTCCTCGCTGCTCCTCCTCGCTCCTCCTCGCTCCTCCTCGCTCCTCCTCCTCGCTCCTCCTCCTCGCTCCTCCTCCTCCTCCTCCTCCTCCTCCTCCTCCTCCTCCTCCTCCTCCTGGCGACCGCCAGGCAGTGCGGTATCCTCCTCCTCCTCCTCCTCCTCCTCCTCCTCCATTCCGTTCCTGATGAAGATCTTCTCCCTGTCGCACCCCGAGGCCAGTTTTTAGGGTGGGCTGGGTGTTTCGCCAGAGACTTCCTCACCGTTTATGATCCTGAAGCTTAAACATTGGCAACAGTTTCGCCTGTTTTCAAAATGTGGTTCTCGTTTTAGCGCCGCGCACATTTGTTTTTTTAATGTGCAAGAGCTTCACGGATTGAGGATCACCCGTTTTCAAAATGTGGTTCTCGTTTTAGCGCCGCGCACATTCGTATTAAAAGCGTGCGCTTCACGGATTGAGGATCACCCGTTTTCAGATGCAGATCTCGCTGTAGCGCCGCGCACATCTTTTCTACAACATTGCAAGAGTTTCGCGGCTTGAAGGCGGTTCCTTCTCAAAATATAGTTCTCGCCTTAGCGTTGCGCACATCCGTTCTAACAAATTGCAAGGGTTTCACGGGTTTCCACGATCAGCATACCAGAAATGGTGTTTGGGTCGGATTCATGATTTTGCGGGTGCAACAGTTACGTTGATTGACGGTGTTGAAATCCCAAGAATGGCGTTCTGGCACGATCCAGGATCGTCAAGACGCAACAGTCAGGTTGATCCGTGGCGTTGGAACCCCGAGAATTGTGCTTTGGCATGCTTCCGAGTCTTCAAACGGTTGTGTTCCAACGAGGCAGATCCCTCAATGGAAATGAACCGTTGTAGCGGCCTGTGAAGAGGGAGTTTGGAGGGAGGGTGTATTATAACATCTGTGATGGCTCTTGGGTTTACACTGGTCCTCCTCCTCCTCCTCCTCCGCACCTTCCTCCACCTCCTCCTCCTCCTCCTCCTCCTCCTCCATCTCCTCCCCTTCCTCCATCTCCTCCCCTTTCTCTACCTCCTCATCCTCCTCCTCTTCCTCCTCCTCCTCCTCCTCCTCCTCCTCCTCCTCCTCCATCTCCTCCCCTTCCTCCCCCTCCTCCTCCTCCTCCTCCTCCTCCTCCTCCTCCTCCTCTTTTTTTGGGATCGGCCAGGTGGACGGCGCTGGCGAGGGCCGCCTGGAGGTGCCGAGGAGCCTCGCCAGGCAGTTCCTGCCCGGTGACCAGGCCGAGCCCCGCTCCGCTCCCGTCGGCTGCGCGTCAGGGTGGCCCGCCGCCGGAGCGACTGCTGGCGCGGGCCCACCAGAGGTTTCCGTCGGCTCCCGGATCAGGGAGCCAGAGACGGGGTGTTTGCGTTGCAGAAATCATGCAGTGCCTTTTTGTTGTTCTGGTCGTGGCAGTTTTGCCACCTGGATCCCATGGTGGGTCTGTCACCCCGTTTAGGCGTCACCCGTCTTAGTGCTCCCTGACCAGAGTCTACTCTGGGTTTGTTAGTACGTAAGCGTCGGGGGGACCCCCCCGACGGGGGTCGACCTCGCCTCGTTGTCGCGCCGCGACGGGGGTCGGAGCGCCTTCGGCGCGCGGAGGCTGCCCGCGACGGGGGTCGATGTGGGGCTGTCGGCGGGGGTGACGCCCACCCGACGCTTATTAAGAAACTCGGAGTGGGCCTCCCAGATGTGGTCCCAGTAGATGGGGTCGAAGGATCGCGCCGCATCGTCGATGCATCGGCGATGCAGCTCGATGCGGAGCCCGACTTTCGCCATGCCGACGGCGCCAATGCATCGCCGACATCGCTGGTGCATCGCCAATGCATCGCCGATGCATCAGCGATGCGGCGCGACCCTTCGACCCCATCTACTTCGACCCCATCCAGGAGGCTTCCACAGAGGCTGTCCAGTCTCGAGATTCGGGGGGCCCCAACGGCGTAGTGACCACCCCGCGTGGTGAGTCAGTGGGGAGTCGGTGTCCCCGCACGGTTTGGGGGGCCCCGACGAGGTGCTTCTCAGCAGGTGCGCCTCGTCCAGGGCGTGCGGGGAGGGCCCGAGTCGAGTCGTGGCCCGAAAGCCACTGGGATCCAGACTTCTTCTGTGCGGGCCCGGGTTTCACGGAAGGGCGTAGGCGACCCGTCCTCCTCCTCCTCCTCCTCCTCCTCCTCCTCCTCCTCCTCCTCCTCCTCCTCCTCCATCTCCTCCATCTCCTCCGCCCCCTCCTCCTCCTCCATCTCCTCCTCCTCCTCCCCCTCCATCTCCTCCTCCCCCTTCCCCTCCTCCTCCTCCTCCTCCTCCTCCTTCCCGTCCTCCTCCCCTCCTCCTCCTCCTCCTCCTCCTCCTCCTCCTCTCCTCCTCCTCCTCCTCCATCTCCTCCTCCTCCTCCTCCTCTCTTTCCGTAGCCATTTTGGCTCAAGCTGTCCTGTGCCCGAGCTTCGGGCATTGCACACACCAACTTCAGGACAGCATTGTGTGTGCGAGCCTTTTTTGGCTTCGGTTTCCTTCTCGCATGTCCAAGAATGCTTGGCAGCTTCGCAGCAATGGCGGTGGGGCGTGGTCGACGCAGGCTCCCTGGAGAGCAGGGTCGGCGGCGGCCAGGGCTGTGCCATCGTCAGGTCAGTGGGACACTCAGGCTGGCGACGACAGACGCTGGAGCTGGACTCCTTCCCGCCAAGACACAGTGTCGTGGTCAGGCCGCCGCTGGCGTTGCGAAGCTTGTGGATGCAAGAAGAACCTCGAGGGTTGGATCGCCTGCAAGCACTGCGGCGAGATGCGTGAAGGCTTCCCAGGTCCCGTCGGGCAAGGCTGGCCGAAGCCGGGGACCCACTGGCCTGTCCTCAAGCCTGGGCTTGTTCCTGCTCCTGGCGGCCATGGCGGCGCTGGCGGGCATCCAGGCGGCGGCGGCTCAGCTTCAGCCCAGCTGTCCGAGTCCGAGCTGCGTACGCTCATCGGCCTGTGCGAGAAGTCGGGCGACGGCGAGGCGGCCTCCCGCCACAAGTCCGCGCTCGACAAGCTGCTCCGCACCTCCACGCCTGCCCCCGTCCAGCAGCGCGCGGCCAAGGCCCACAGCAGCGTGCAGTACTGGGAGCGCAAGCTGTCCACGGAGCTCGACAAGCTCACCAAGCTCGAGAGGCAGGTGGAGGAGCAGAAGGTTGCGACGGCGGCGGCCCAGCAGTCCTTGCAGGCGGCCGACGACAACTACAAGGACCTGGTCCGTGAGCTTGCCGGGAACGTGGTCGACCACACCCCCGCAGTGCCGCTCGGCCGCGCCAAGGTGGACGTGTCGGAACTCATGCAGGGCTCGTGCAATGTGCTGGATATGGTCTCGCTGGACTCGATCTTCCTCTTCGACGAGGGCGAGTATGAGGTTTCCGACGACGACAAGGAGCAAATGGCAGCTAGGCGGGCAGCGCTCAACGAGCAGTTCCGCGAGGCGTGCAACTCCCTCTTCAAAGGGGCGCTGGAGAAGGCCCAGGCTGCCCGTGAGGAGCAAGCCAAGCATGTTCAGCGTCTTGGCAAGAAGAGGAAGGGCGAGGACGGCGCGGCCGTGGCTGGCGGCGGCGCTGGGTCTACCACGGCGGGCCCGCCCGACGGCGAGGGGGCCAAGCTGCCTGGCGACTCCAGCGAGGCACCTCCCGACGTCCGTGCACGTGCTGAGGCCGCCCTGGGCACCACCAAGTGCCCGTTGCCCCCTCCCGCGTGACTCCTCTGTGAGCGCGGGCAGGGGGGCCCATCTGTCCATTTCTTCCCAATCTCCACGCTGGGCTAGAGTGAATCGAGCGGAGCTCGAGGATCGCCTGGCCCTGTCCATTCGTTATCTTGATTTATATATAGCTTCGCTGTTGTGTTCCGCCAACAGTACCCCAGGCGTCTGCAAACAGGGGGACTTTTGCAAAAAGGGGGCAGGTGTTCTGCCCAATCTTGCGTTTTCCCCTGTCGGCCTGCAGTCTCCTGGTCCCTCAGGTGCGTTTTCTCGACCTGAAAGTTTTGATGTTTTTAGGGCACCCCCAGCCCCTGGGGGGGATGCCATCAACCTGAAGATAGTCACTTGCAACTGCACGGCCTGGAGTTCTGCTAAGGATTGGCTCTTGCAGACGGCGGCGCACGTGGTGTTGCTCCAGGAGCACCACTTGCTCGCGCACCAGACCTTAGATGCTCAGCGCTGGGCCCTTAATCACGGTTGGAAATCGATCTTCGGGAGTGCTAAGGCTTCGTCCGACTTAGGTACTTCTGGAGGTGTGGCTATTCTAGCTCGTGCTGGCCTGGGCCTTCATTGGCCCCCAGGGGGTTATGAGGTTGAAGACTCTCGTGCTGTTGCTGGGGTTGTTCATGTTGGGGACCTTCCTCCCATCCTGCGCATCTCCTGCTACTTGTCGTGCTGCGAGGGGCTGTCCGACAGGAATTTGGCCCTGCTTTCGAAGATCGGTTCGATGGCCAGTAGCAGCCTCAGCAGTTTTGTGATCGGAGGTGATTTCAATATGGAGCCCTCGCTGCTTGACGACTCCAATTTCGTTCAGCAGTTAGAGGGTCAGGTGATCACGGCAGGTGTGTCCACCTGCCTTAGTTCAGCTGGTGGAAGGGTGTATGATTTTTTCGTGGTGTCTGGTGGTTTATCTAAAGGCATCAGGGAGACGTGGGTCGACAGGTTTGCTCCGACGTCTCCCCACTCGCCCGCGGGGGTCGATTTCCATACCAGGCTTGCCGATCTTAGAGTTTTACAGTTCAGGAAGCCTCCTCCTTTGCCTGTGGAAGTCCCTGTCGGGCCTGGACCTGCGCCCCAGGACTGGGATTCTACGCTGGACCTGGCCCATGAAGTCCTTGTTTGCGCCCGTCGGGGTTCTCTGGATGCTCGCTACGGGCTCACCGACTTGCATAGGCGATGGGCCAACCTTGCCGAAGCCGAGCTCGCTGATCAACTTCAGGTAAAGCTCCCCCAGACTGGGTGTCGTGGTGAGATTCCCAAGGCCTGGTGGGTTCCTGTCTTGGGGCGTGACCAGCGGCCAGCTCGGCATCCTGAACTTTTTGTTTGTAGATGGCTTTCTCAGAGTTTCAGGGATTGGACCATTTCCTGGAGGTCCTTGCATCGCAAATGTTCTGGTGGGATCCCTATCATGAGTGCCAAGAAGGTTCTGGAGTACCCCTCGCCGTTCATCCAGAAGCACATGGGGTCTGGAGCTATCTTCGAGGCCCACCGTAGAGTCTTGGACTTCATTAGGCAGGACAAGGTCACCCTGGAGGCCATAGGCGGCGTGTCCATCGAGTTAGCTGACCTTCTGGACTCGACCGCCAAGGCGGCTCGAGCTGCAGGTGAGCGGTCGTGGAAGGAGTGGCTTCTAAGGGACATTGACCAGGGCGGCGGCCGCAACGCGCACGCCTGGACGCGTCCTGTAGAGGCTTGGGTTCCCTCCACGACCCTCAGTGCTGCGGGCCAGGTTGTGTCCGATCCTCGTTCCCTTCTGCGTGCTGAAGGGGAACGTTTTCAGAAGCTATGGCTGGCCGGAACTGAGCTGTTCGATTTTATGGGCCCCAAGCCCTACCAACCCCTTGAACATCTTCCCCTGGTTTCGCCCGAGTACTTGAGGGAGAAGAGCAGGGGTTATTCCAGGCGGTCGGCTGTGTCGGTTGACGGCTTTCACCTTCGGCATTACGCGCTGCTGTGTGACAAGGCCCTGCAAGTTGTCTCGCTGCTTTTCGCCATCATGGAGACGATGGCCGTTTTGCCTGAGCAGCTTCGTTTAGTCATGCTGGCAATGCTGGCCAAGCCGTCTGGCGGCCTCCGCCCCATAGGCATCTTCACCTCGCCCTACAGACTTTGGGGGAGATGCAGGAGGAGGGAGGCGATGATGTGGGAGGAGGCTAACCAGCATGCTATGTTCGCTGCACACGGTTTCAAGTCGGCTTCGGATGTTGTCTGGCGGCAGACTACTAAGAGTGAAGGGGCTGTGCAGCTTGGCAAGTGCTCGGCGTCCCTCCTCTGGGACATGTATAAGTTTTACGAAACCATGGATCTTGAGGACCTCGCTACCAGATGTGATGAGTTGGAGTTCCCCCAGGTTGTTTCCAGGCCCTGCATCGCGGCCTATCGGGCCCCCAGGTACCTGAACATCAGCGGTTTCATCCAGGGGCCTTACCTGGCGATTCGTGGTGTCATTGCTGGATGCAGTATTGCCACCAGTTTTGTCAGGGCCGATTACATGAAAGCCTTTTTGAATGTCGAGCTGCACCCGTCGTCCGTCTTGGATCTTTACATTGATGACCTGGGCCTGTCAGCTCAGGGTAGTTTTCATGAAGTTTATTCGGCCATCACCGTCGGGGCTGTGGGCTTGTTCAAGGCTGTGGAGGCCGATATTAAGTGCAAGGTCGCCCCCGACAAGGCGAGCCTCGTATGCAGTCAGCGGCGTCTTGGGGATAAACTCCTGGCCTTCTTGGGTGTCTGGGCTGGCCCTGGTGGGACCTCCTCGGCTGTCAACCTGGGGACTGACGACACCGCTGGACTGCCTAGGAGGGTCAAGGGCCGTTGTAGGAAAGCCAAGCAGCGCCGCACCACTTTCGACAAGCGTGTCAACAGGATCTGCAAACAGCGTCAGGTCCTGGGCCGTTCAGCTAAGAAGATCTTCACCAGTGGGGCTTTGGCTGGGATAAATTTTGGCTGCGAGATCCACGGGGTCAGCGACGCCGAGCTTGGTCACATCCGCCGTCAAGCGGGTAAATGTATCAGACCGTCTTGTGGCGGGCGTAGCCTCTCTTCCGCTTTGGTCTGCGAGGACGACCCCACGTACTATGGGATGGTTGCTCCTATCGTTCGTTGGGGGAAGGAGGTGTGGGCGGCCCAGTATCACCAGTACTTAGGGGGTATGACTCATAAGGAGCTCAGGAGGTGTTGGTCGTCGGTTTTCGAGGGAAAGCTGCAGCCCAAGACATGGCGTTCTGTCGCTGGCCCTATTTCTGCCCTCTTCTTGTCTGTCAAGCGCATCGGTTGGTCCATGCCCAACTACGCCACTCTCGCCATGCATGACGGCACACCAGTCTCTCTCACCTTCGTCAGCCCTACCCTCTTGAAGGACATCCTCAGGCGGGCGGTGGTTAGGGACCTGGAGATGCATGTGGGAAGGAGTTTGGATGTTGGGTGGGATCGGGCTTGTTTCGATATCTGCAAGAGCCAGCTTCGTTCGAAGAAATATTCTGCTCTGGAGAAGGGTTCGATCAGGAACCTGTGCTGCGGTGGAGCCTGGACAGCCGACAGAGCCGCTGAGGTGGGCTACCAGCTCAGCGTCGAGCAGTTGCTCTGCCCACTATGTCGTGCTCATCCAGACTCTGTGCATCACAGGCTTTATGAGTGCCCAGAGGTGTCTGAGACTCGTAGCGAGCTTATTCCTCCAGAGATCCTTGAGATTGCCCTGGGTCCGCTGTCGGATGGGGATCGCATCCTTTTCGATCGGGGGATCTTTGAGCATCCTGAATCGTTCTGGCCAAGGGCCCTTAGCTCGGGGGGTGGGGCCATCCTGCCAGCTACTGAGGAAGAGGACTTCTCGGAGGAGCTCGCTAATGGGGACCTGCAGGGCAGTATCTATGTTGATGGGAGTTGTTTTTGGCATCCCATCCCAGAACTTTCAAGGGCGGGCTGGGGGGTTTGCATGGTCTCCCCCCAGGGCTCCCTCCTGTGCGCCCTGCATGGTCCTGTGCACCACCCGATCAGCCAGACAGCACCAGCTGGGGAGTATTGTGCCCTCGCCATGGCCGCTCTCCATGTTGTTGCCAATTCTGAGGTTTTTTTCTGACTGCCTTGCGGTAGTGAATCATTTCCGCCTGCCCCCCAGCGAACGTGTTTCGTTCAGGAGGCGTTATGCTGGCCAGTTCCTGTATATCAATAATGCCCCGTTTGTCCAGTCAGTGGTGAAAGTTAAAGCCCACCAGGACAAGGGCGAGGCGGGCATTTCGGATGATGAGAGAATCCGTAGGGTCGGTAACGATTTCGCCGACAAAGCTGCGCAGCGCGGGGCCCGCTCTCACCCCCAACCTTCGCCCGAAGAAGAAGAGCGTGTGAACCGTGCTGTCAAGATTAGTAAAGTTGTGTGCCGACTAGCGGCCAAGTTGCTTCCAATGTGGCCACGATTGAACTTGGAGGGTGCTCCGTTTGTCTCTCCTTGCCGCACCACCCGTGGTCCCGAGGAGCCCGTGGTCCAGCATCAGTGGCAGTGGCAACGCTCTGTGTGGAGGTGCGTTGTGTGCAGGTTAGGCTCCCGTTTTTGTTTAAAGCCGCCTGGTGGTTCGTGCATCGGCGTAGCCAGAGCAGATCTGGACATCGCCGACTCTCTTTCGCACAGCGTCGTGATTCTGCCATGCACGGATGGTTCTGATTTTTATTTCTGCCCCAAGTGCGGGGGATTTATGCATCAAGCTGTGTTTGTCAAGACCGCTTTGTCCAAGGAATGTCCTAACGAGTTGCGCGGCCATGGCCGCACGAATTTTAACAAAGTCATGCTAGGCCGCCACCCAAGGAAGAACCTGGGGGTAGGCCGACCTGAGGAGTTGCCAGCAGGGGCGATTCCCGCCCTTGCGCCCTCGTCCTCTTTGCCCGTCCCCAACTTTTGATCGGATTGTTCGAAATCATTGGTCTCAGAGCGCTTTCCCTTTTCAGGGTTGTGTTTTAGTTTTGTCTCGTCCCCTCTGCGGGGGTCGAGGAGCATCCAGCCCTTTTGGCGTCGTGTAGCGGCCCAACCGGGTTGCCTCGCTCCGCCATCAGCGTGGAGCGTGCGCAGCAGGCTGAGATGTTTTTCCCCCTGCTCCCCCCAATGCGGGTGTGGGCGAGGGGGTCGCCGCTGTTTCCACGGCACTGCGGGACTGGCAGCCGTTCGGCGTGAGTCCCCCCGCAGTTGCCGTGACGTCAGCGGCGGGGCAGGGCTGGTGGCGTAAGTGGCATGAGGCGCCACCCAGCCCAGCCCCTCCTCTGGGGGGAGGCGCCGTCCCCCCAGAGAGTACGGCTTGGCAGTTGTTGATGTTAAATAAAAAAATCCTCCTCCTCCTCCCCCTCCTTTTCCTCTTCCTCCTCCTCCTCCTCCTCCTCCTCCTCCTCCTCGGGTCGCCTATTTCCCCCCCGGGGGAAACCGTGCAGCCCACAGGAGTCCTCCCAGAACTGGCCTGCGACCTTGGACGTTCCCCTTCGCCCCCCCCCGCGCTTCACGTGCTGCCGCTGGGACAGGCTTCCCCTCGGCGCCGAGAATGGCGGTTTTCTATTGTCCTATGTCTGCCAACCACCGCTCCCTCCACTCCTCTCGCTTCTCTCCCGGGCTCCTCTCGTGGAAGGATGATGCCGTGAGACGCCCCCTTGATATGACTACGCACGATTGCCAATGGCTCTGTGTAAGGACCGTCTCCAGGTTAACGCGCTTCCGCGTCGACTTGGCCCTCGAAAGATTGAAGGCGTTCGTCAGAGTCTAAGCCAAGCTTTCTTCGTTCCATAAGAGCTGCGATTGATCTCGACTCTAAATTTCTTTGCTTGCTTGCCATCCCTGCTTCCATTGCTTCCTGCGGCAAGATCCACGGCATGCTCGTGGAGGAGACTGACCCGAGGAGCAACGAGTTGCGGCTCTCCTTGGAGGCCAGCGCGAAGCGCGACGGGTCTCGGGATCAGACTTGTGCCCCACGATCTTGCATGCCATGGCCTAGTCCCCACCACGGCCACATCCACCAGGCCACCCCGGCGCCTCGCGTGCCGCCACGGGGCACCGCGATATGGCATGGCGTGAAGGTCATCGTACCTCCAGCCTCGCGAAGCGCGCGCGGCGCGAAGATTGTTGGGCCACGTGGGCAGCCTCGGCAGGCCCCCATTGGAGGGTTTCTCCGAAGGGCTTAGGCGACCCCTCCTCCTTCCTCCTCCTCCTCCTCCTCCTCCTCCACCTCCTCCTCCCCCTCCTCCTCCACCTCCTCCTCCTCCGATCGCCTGCGGCCCCGGGGGAAGCCGTGCAGCCCCGATCCCTCGGTGTAGGGACGTGCTCTGGTGGTTGCCGATCTGCGGGTCGACCCGGATCGGGGCGAGGTCGATCGGCGCAGCGCGGGGCGCCTCCCGGAGGGCGGAGGGCGGGGCCGGGCGGATCTCCCGAGCGGGCCTCGGGCCGCGGGGGCGGTCTGGAGCGAGGCGCGGCGGGATGCCGATCGGCCCCTCCCGGTCGGGGTCGCAGCGGGAGCGTCCAGAGGGCCTCGCCAGTCCGTTGTGGGCCTCCCGGGTGGGGTCGGAGTGCAGTGGAGGTGCGCCTCGAGAAGCCATGTGATTTTCGTCGGGGCATCCTGGGTTTCTTCGCTCCGCGAGCTGCGCGGTGACTTCCCGCAGCCGTGGAAGAAGCCGGTGCGTTGAGGGTGCTCTGGGTTTCCCCTCAGGTGCACCTCGCGCGCGGGTTTCCAGGGTAGGGTTTCTTGCGAGGGTTTCTTGCGGCCGCGCTCGCACTGTAGGCGGGGTCGCAGGATCGCGCCGCATCGCCGATGCATCGCCGGTGCGCTCGATGTGCAGCTCGGTTTGCTTCACGTCGACGTCGCCGATGCATCGCCGACGTCGACGATGCATCGCTGGTGCATCGCCGGTGCATCGCCGACGTATCGCCGATGCATCGGCGATGCGGCGGAGATCTTCCGACCCCATCTACTCCGACCCCATCTAGGAGGCCTCTAGTCTGGCACCTGAATGCCTCACGCGGGTGCGGTCGATCAGCGGAGTGCCGTTGTTCTCCGGGGCAGATCGGGTCGGGCTAGATCCAGGTCGGAGATGGGCTGCGAGTCGGTCTGGATTGGGGCGCGGCCAGGTCTCAGGCAGGCCAAGACGAGGACAGCGTTCCAGAGCATCCCAGGACGATCTCGGAGCGCTTCAGCGCGCCAGTCGACTGGAGTCGGGCCTGTCCCCCTGCAGGGGGATGTTCGACGAAAAATAAAAGATACCCCAAAAATAGTCTGGGGACTATGTTTGTGTATTTTTTTGACCTTTTTGGGGCATTTTTGGTGTATTGTTCATTTTTCGTCGAAAATCCCCCTGTAGAAGGACACGCCCGACTTAACAGTCGACCCAGGGTCTGGGGCAGAAGGGAGCACGCACCTGAGCCGCGGCGGCCCCCCGAGATCCGACGGCGCAGAGAACCTTACGGCATCGCGAGAACTCGCGGCCGGAGCCCAGACCCTTTCTGGCGCATGTCTCGAGCCGGATCTGCGCGAGTGCCCTGGGGGCCGAAACCAGGCGAAAACGCACGGTGTGAGGAAACAGCAACATTCGGGTCGGACGGAGGGAGGGGATAGGGAATGTGGAGGGGCGTACGACATTTGTTGCATGCGGCTGGTGATGGCACCAAACATGCATTTGGGACCAGTTACGTGAGCTGATACTCTAGTCCCCCCTTTGCTCACTCCCCCTTCGTCCGACCCGAGACACCAGGGTCTTAGGGTCCAGCAGTCCTGCGGAGGGGCATCAAATAGGGAGCTGCGGAGGGGCACCTCCCCGAGCTGCGGAGGGGCAGCTCGCAGCTTCTCTGCGAGCTCGCCGCCCATGCCTCTTGGGCGACACGGCGTGGAAAATCCGACTCGCTCGCTCGCTCGCTCGGCCGTGCATCTGGCAGGACGCGTTGGCAAACGCAGGTTGCAACGATGGCAACCGAACGGAAAAACATGATCTGCAAATTTACAATTAATGCATCAACAAAGAACTAAATAAATGGAGAGAGAAGGGAACGGCGGGAACGGGAAAATCCGACGTCTTGTTTTGTTCACCACGTGGCTCCCAAGAGGTCTGGACACCGTCCACTGGACTGGCTTCTCATCTTGAGCCATGTTCTGGCGGTTCCGAGGCCCGGTAGGAAGGGACCCATGGTGGCCGACGATTGTGAATAGATGCGCGGCCACGTGAGATGAGTAATTTTCATGGGTTCTGCGACCATTTGCGAACCCTACCCCTGCTGGCCCAGTCATGCGCCCGGGTAGCGGACACCCTTGTTGAGCTTCGCATGGTGGCAGACATTCTTCAAGTTCTGACACCTTGCCGATGTTTCACAGATTTGAGATACAGTGCTAGGCTTGACATGTGGCTGCCCAAGGATACCCTTGCATCCTGGCCTCTCGGTCCATCCTGGCCCTCTTCGTGCTTAGCCCTGTGCCGTGAGCCCCTAACCTCGGCCTCGGACTGGGCGCCCGAGGGCCCCTCGGAGCGCCCTCATGATCTGATGGCACCGTGTGACAGCGTCGGCGACCACTACGGCGACGGTTGCGACGGCGACGGCGACGACGACGACGATGGCGAGGACGGAGACGACGGCAACGGCGTCGGCGACGAAAACAGCAGCGAGGACGACGGCGCCAGGGTCGTCGTCGTCGTCGTTGTTGTTAGAAACGTGTGCGAGAGAGACAGGTCGGAACATGTCGGCATCCCTCGCGTGGGGCGCGCGGGCCCTCGCGGGCGCGCCTGCAGGCCCCGCGCCTCGACGTCTGCGGCGGCGCGGCGCCAGAGGCGGAAGGGCGGGGGCCAGTGCTGTTTGCTCGAAGGAGAATCGAGGACAACAAATAGGCATAACCATGAGCTTTCGGAGCTCTGCGCGAATTGCTTGAATCGGCGCTGGACCTCCCTGGCGGCGCCTTTTCCCTGGCGGCGCCTCCGGCGCAGCCTCTGGCGCGCTTCGCGCGCCAGGGAGCGGGGTCCAGCGCGGGCGATGACCTCCGAAGGTTAATGTTGATGCTGTTGTCGCAAAATCATATGTGTTCGGACGACGAAGACGAGGAGGAGGAGGAGGGGGAGGAGGAGGAGGAGGGGGAGGAGGGGGAGGAGGGGGAGGTGATCAAGAGGCTGTCGTGCTTGTGGCCTTTGAGAGCACAGTTCTGCGAATTCGAAGATCGGACAATCGGATAGGGCAACCCGCATGTAATTGTTGCTTCTTTGTCCCCGTCCGAGTCCAAGCCGTAATATTCATTGCGGTCGCAGCGATATTCTTACACAGTGGAGGCAAGCTTCAATATCTCCCCACGGCGTCTTCTTCAGCTGGTCTTTCCGTCATGCCACCCAACAAAAAAATCCTGGTCCGCCCAGCCCAACCCATCCCGGCAAGCCCCCAACCCCCGCGAGCCCGTTGGAGACGGGACCCTATCATGGATCCACCGCTTCGCCCCTGCTTCTTCGGCCGCCCTGGCGATGCGCGGGGAGATCGGAGACGAACCGCCGGCGTAAACAGAAAGCTTCGGAGCTCTGCACGGATTTCTTGGAGCTCTGCACGGAGGCGCGCCAGGGGCGGCGCCTCTGGCGTCGCCCCTGGCGCGCTCCACGCGCCAGGCAGGTGGGTCCAGCGCCGATCCAAGAAATCTGCGCGGACCTCCGAAAGTTTATATTCATGGTGATCTTCCTTCTTGGAGAGACAGTGGTCTTCTCCTTCTCTTTCTAAGCCTTCAGGGCGCCGCCTCGTCGCCACGGCTGGACGCGGCTCGGATACCAGGCCAGCATGGGGTCCAGTGACGGGTTTTTGCAGCATTCTGGGCCATCGCGTAGGAAGAGCTATGATCAGCGCTTTTGTGCGATATCTGCCTCCCAGGGGGGCAGAGCGGGGCGCTGTCGGCCCCGCAGGGCAACGAGAGATCAATGTGTGATGCATGGGGATGGGGTCGAGAGCTCCGGGAGCTCACGCGGCGCGTTCCAGAACGGGCCTCGCCTTGGGCGCGCCTTGCCCTCGGCAGAAGGTCAGCGGATGCCGGCGGAGTTGACCAGCCGGCGGGCCCGCGGGCTCAAGTTGGCCGAAGGCGGTGGGAGTGAAAGCGAGACGTCGAATTGTGTGGGCCTAGAGTTTGTGGAGTTGGCCGCGTTGTGGCAGAGAGCCGCCGCACGTCGGCGGCACGCTCTATTTCTCCATTGCTCGCTGGGGAGTCGAGCGGCGGGCGGAGGGCAAGAGATGTCCTGCGCGTCGGGGTTGGGGGGGTGGTGGGATCGCCTGAGGGGCAGGTGGAGGGCGAGGCGGAGGCGCAGGAGGAGGGCGAGGCGGAGACGCAGGAGGCGGAGAGCAAGATGAGGGCGACGAGAAAAGCGAGGGGAAGGAGGACGAGGACAAGGGGAAGGAGGCAGAAAAGGATGATGATGAGGAGGAGGAGGAGGAGGAGGAGGTGGAGGAGGTGGAGGAGGAGGAGGTCGAGGGGTAGGAAACTGAGGGAGTGGAGGCAAGCTAGGTGCGCTCGCGCCATATCTGGCATCCCATCCCTCCCTCCCGCCGATCCCTTCCACTTGCGCTGAATTCGTGTACCCGTCGACTCGGGGTGTCCTAGACCATGATCCCCCAAGTGACCACATCGCGTGATGCGCAAGTTCGAGGGCGGAGGGGGGGGCCAGGGTCTTGTACATTGGAAGGGACGGAAAATGGCGGCTGATCAAGAGGATGAGCATGATGAGCAGGAGGATGTTGATGAGGAGGGGGGATGCTGATATGGCGGTTGAGCAGGAGGACGAGCATGATGAGCAGGAGGATGCTGATGAGGAAGGAGGAGGAGAAGCAGGAGGACCAGAGTAAACCTAAGACGCGTCGACAATACCGCAATGCACCCTCCCGTCCCAAGTTCCCTCCTCACTAGTCCCTACAAGCATTATTTCTCATTGCGGGAAGCGCCTCCCCAGAAAGACGGGCACCATATGGTTCCGCAATACAGGCGGGAGCTCTGTTTTGAAGGAAATCACCATCCATCCTTCGGGCTATGATGAATGCGACAAGGTGGAACTTGAGATTTCAAGGATGTGGCCAGCGACAGCCCGCTTTGAAGAGCCTCCTTTGCATCCGTGTCGCAGTTGCACGCTGTCATGTCATAGAATCCAGCGAAATGTCAAGTAAGAAACCGCACGGGGTACCCACGAAGCGCATACGGCCGCCCACCAGGCGAGACCTCGCCACACCCGCCCAGCGTGCGAGGCGCCCACGGCCACCCACCAGGCGGAAGCTCGCCCCCCCCGTCACACACAGACACACACACACACACACACACACACACACACACACACACACACACACACACACACGCGCGCGCGCGCGGTCGCACGGTCGCACGGTCGCACGCACGCACGCACGCACGCACGCACGCACACACGCCCGCCCGCCCGCCCGCCCGCCAGCGCGCACGCACGCACGCACGCAGGTTTTTTCGTCGGCGGCGGGGCAGAGTTTCCTGCACCAGCGATACAGCTAAACGGGTGCACCGAGAAGCGAGCTGGCCAGTGCGCAAGAGCGGGAAGAGGAAAGAGGGGGCGGCCGCCGAGGGGGGGAGAGATAAGGCCGTTCAGAGGCGGAATGATTCTCACCTGAGTGTGCTGGCGCGGCCAGCCCCGCCAGCGGGATCCATGGCGACCGCCAGGCCGCGGCGCCGGGGCACCCACTGGCGATGACGGGGCCCAGTGCGTGTAAAGCATGTACATGTTGCAGTGACGCTGCCGCAAAAGTAGGCGAGGTATCTGGACGACAGAAAGAGGGCCGCAAGCCGCCCAGGTGGGTGGCACGTGACAAGGTACGGCAAGCTCGTGAGCAGTCAAGGTTTGGACTGCAAGCAGCAAAAATGTCGGGCTCGTGGAGGGGAACAGGCGGCATGACCAAGCCCAGGTGTCTGGGGAGGCTGCGAGCTGCGGCAACCTCGCGAGCGCCATGGCGGCGCGCGGAGGGAGGGGGGGAAAAGAGAACGGCAGGGAAGGGAGAGAGGGCGAGGAAGAGAAGCGCCCCGTCTGTAGGGAGATGCCCGCAGGCGGGGAGGCAGCGCTGGCGGCAGCGCCGGCGGGCGGTAGGCAGGCCGCCTGTGCACTCTGCTGCTGCGGACGTCTGCGCGCTGTCCCGGTCGGCGGGTCAGGGTGGCTGAGGCACGCCCAGAGTTGGTGACAGTGGAGCGGGCGCGTCTGTAACAAAATTGTGGCCAAGGACGTGAGGCCGCCCGCCCGCTGCCGGGATGGACGGATGGACAGTGCGGGCCAAGACTAGGGGCACCGAATCGGTGCGGAAGCTGTTTGAGTGAGGCGGCCGAGGCCGAAGGCAGCCGCGCGCTGCCGGGGCGGACAGCGCGGGCCAAGACCAGGGGCACCTAATCGGTGCGGAAGCTGTGTATGTACGAAGGCCGAGGCCAAGGGAACCGCGCGCTGCCGGGGTGGACGACACGCGGCCAGGGCACGAAATTGGTGCGGAAACAAATGCGACAAGAACCAATGAAGGGAAAGGTGCCACGCGCCGCCGGGGTGGTTGGCGCGTGGCGTCTAGGTCCGTCGAGTGATTCAGAGGGCGATGAGGGGGCGGCGCTGGTGAGGCTGGGCGCCTCGCATGGTCCTGGGTACACTGCGGGCTGGGCGAGGGCGGCGTGGGAGGGGACCGTTGTCTGCGCCATGGCCTGGGGTTCTGGGCTGAACGGTGGCGCCATCGCGTCAGGGTCCCGCCTGGAGGGGCTGCCGTCTGGGGGAGCTAGGTGCCCTGGTCTGGTCTTGGAGCAAGGGTCTCAGAGACCTAGCAGGCCTGTCGTGTTGGGACGGTACTGCCTCGACTGGCCGGTGTTGAGCCAGGTGGGGTCCGCATGTCTCTTGCCTTCCCGACCGTGTCGTGGCCCTTCCTTTTGCCGTTGCCCTCGTCTCGCTGCTGCTCGCTGCGCCGTAGCATTCTGCCTCAGACGGCGTCCCAGTCCACGTGGACTCCCTTTACTCCACAGGTCCTGCGGATGTCGAGGTACTCATTATACAGTTGGTTTACCAGGTCCTCGCAGAAGGCGTCATGCTTGTCTGGGCTATAGGTTCGTCTACCTGGGGTCCAGTTGTCAATGGCATCGCAGAGAGCGTGCAGCCTTTGACGAAGAGGGCCCCGCAGTCCTTCTTTGGCTTGCTGACGACCTCAGGCCAGGTCTCACGGACGTTGGACCTATAATTCCACGTTCTTTACCAGTTGATCATCCCACGGGGCCGAATGTATAGTTTGTCTTGGGAGTCCTCGTGGCGGGTATATTCACGCACGAACGCGCGCACGCATCCAATTACGCAGTTCCACACCGCATCACAACCCCTACGTACAAGCACTGTTTGGAGAGTGTGCGCGGCGCCAAGGCGAAAACCACATAGTGAAGACCACCGGCATTCCATCAATGTCACTGTTGGGTTTGTAAGCTTTGTGAGTCCGACGTGTCAGGATGTCTCAAGCGATGCGCCCAACCTGGCCCACGGACGCATCTGGTGATGCGACAGGGAAGAGCTACGCATGAGGAAGTGGGACTCAGCAGCAGCAGTAGCAAGAGTACCAGCAGGACCAAGAGAGGGTGGATGAGGCGAAAGGAAGGGGGCGGCGACGACGATGAAGGATCCAGATCGAAAAATGTGTGCTGCGTTGAGGCGGGAGCGCGATTCTGAAAGACGGAAGCACAGCGCCGATCCTGAGATTGTGGCCATCGCTGCAGCAGGAGCACCGCTTGTGAGGCACCCAGAGCCGCCCGACCGAGAGAAACCATTCATAGCCCATAATTTTTCGAATATGCGTCATTCAGCCGGCCCGTTGGACAGGCATCCCCCGCATTGGACAGAATCTGGGGTCAGAGGAGTGGTATTGATATTGTGGAGTCGTGGAATTTGGACAAGGAGAAGGATGTGGAGCAGGAGGAGGAGGAGGAGGCTACGATCAACCAGTGTCTGCGCAACACAAAATGACAAGGAGGAGGAGGAGGAGGAGGAGGAGGAGAAGGAGAAGGAGGATTGTGGGCCAGAGGATGGATGAGTTCTGCGCGGCAGCACAGCCTGGGGTGGCGCGAGGCGCGGGAGTTCCTGGCGCCGACTTGGTCCGCGCCCTCCGGCATGTGGGCGCCGCGCCGCGAGTGGCCCGCCCCGCGCGGGGGCGGCGCGGCGGCGCCGCGGGCGCTGCGCGCGGGGCAGGAGACCGTCTCGGCGGCCTCGTGGCGGCCACTCCGCCGGCGGCCACGCCGGCGGCCTCCCGGCGGGCACTGCAGCGGCATTTGATGTCGGCGGCCCTCCAATCGCTGATCCCCAGCAGTTCTCCTGCCACGCACGGCACAGCTGCCCTCCACCGCATACGACTTTCCAGGGGATCCTGCGAGCGGGGTATACATGGCTGGGCATATTGGAAGGAAGCGAGGAGGGCAAGCAGCAGCCGGAACCTGCTCTCTGTGCCGCTCTCGGAGATCCTCGATTTCACCCTCGTCCGATTTATCCTCACCCTCCGTTCGTCTAGCGTAACCGTACAGCCCCATGATCGGCGAGAGTACCCAGATTCCTTCTCCACGCCCCCGCGGCCTTGATTCCGGGGATGCGGTGTCCGCCCTCCTCCTCCTCCTCCTCCTCCTCCTCCTCCTCCTCCTCCTCCTCTCTCCTCCTCCTCCCTCCTCCTCCTCCTCCTCCTCCTCCTCCTCCTCCCTCCTCCTCCTCCTCCTCCTCCTCCTTCCTCCTCCTCCTCCTCCTCCATCTCCTCCTCCCTCCTCCTCCTCCTCCTTCTCCTCCTCCTCGCTCCTCCTCCTCCTCCTCCTCCTCCTCCTTCTCTCCTCCTCCTCCTCCCCTCCTCCCCTCCTCCTCCCTCCTCTCCTCCTCCTCCTCCCCCTCCTCCTCCCTCCCCCTCCTCCCCCTCCTCCTCCTCCTCCTCCTACTCCTCCTCCTCCTCCTCTCCTCCTCCTCCTTCTCCTCCTCCTCTCCTCCTCCCCCTCCTCCCCCTCCACCTCCCCCTCCCTCCTCCTCTTCCTCCTCCTCCTCCTCCATTCTTCTTCCTCCCCTCCTCCTCCTCCTCCTCCTCCTCCCTCCTCCTCCGCCTCCTCCTCCTCCTCCCTCCTCCTCCTCCTCCTCCTCCTTCCTCCTCCTCCTCCTCCTCCTCCTCCTCCTCCTCCTCCTCCTCCTCCTCCTCCTCCTCCTCTTCCTCCTCCTCCTCCTCCTCCTCCTCCTCCTCCTCCTCCTCCTCCTCCTCCTCCTCCTCCTCCTCCTCCTCCTCCTCCTCCTCCCTCCTCCTCCTCCTCCTCCGTCCTCCTCCCCCCCCCTCCTCCTCCTCCTCCTCCTCTCCTCCTCCTCCTCCTCCTCCTCTCCTCCTCCTCCTCCTCCTCCTCCTCCTCCTCCTCCTCCCCCTTCTCCTCCTCCCTCCTCCTCCTCCTCCTTCCTCCTCCTCCTCCTCCTCCTCCTCTCCTCCTCCTCCTCCTCCTCCTCCTCCTCCTCCCCTCCTCCTCCCCCTCCCCCTCCTCCTCCTCCTCCTCCTCCTCCTCCTCCTCCTCCTCCTCCTCCTCCTCCTCCTCCTCCTCCTCCTCCTCCCTCCGTAGCCATTTTGGCTCAAGGTTTTGGTTTCCCGTGGGAACAAAGTGCATACCGCTAGTCCGCGGCCAGCTTTTATCCTCCGCCTGGTTCGCCCCAGGCAGAGCGGTGCGTGGTCCGCCCCACGCATCGCAGCTTGCGGCACGGCCTCCCAGCACAGGAGCCCGTGGCCCAGTCTCCTGCGAGCGCCATGGCTCCTCGGAGGGTTGCTGCTGACGAACCGTGGATATGCAAGTCGTGCGTCCACTCTGTCACTGGCAAGCCGTGGTTCAATGCAGGAGGTACGTTGTACTGCAAGCAGTGTCAGCTTCATAAGTCGGTGGTGTTCAAAGAGTACAAGCGAGGAAAGACCCCCAGCGTCCATGCTGCGGGATCCAAGAGCCCCAGCCCGGTGGACAAAGGCCTCGCTGCTCGGTGCGCACAGCTCGAAGAACAGGTCAAGAGGCTCACCGCAGAGAAGGCGGAGCCATCACCGCCACCACCATGGGCGCAGTCACAGCCCGACGGAGCTGAGGAGAAACGCAAGCGTATCAAGGAGCTGGACTCTATCATGCGCATGCTCTCCTCCGACAGGGATGCGACGGTGCTGGCCAACTTCAAGAAGGAGAAGGAGACCTTGGAGCGGGAGCTGTTCGACGGACGCCCGATTGAGGACCAGGCTCGATCGCTGGCGGCGAAGCTCCAGCATGCGAGGTCCCACGAGTCCAGCGTACGCAGGGCGGTCGAGGAGCAGAGAGCCACGATCCTGGAGCTGCAGGGACACTTGGACAAGGCTGAGGCCAAGCTCGTGGAGGCTTCCGCTGAAGTGGTCAGGCTCGAGGAGGATACGCGCAAAGCCATGTCCCAGGCCCGCCCGCCCGAGCAGGAACGGCCGCCCACGCTCCATGAGATGCTTCCTGGGTTCGCTGTGTCGGTGGAACAGCTGGGGCGTGTCGCCAGTACTCTGGGCTACAAGCTATGGCGGAGACGGTCACCAAGCTGCAGCAGGCGCCGCAGGCAAAGCCACCCTCGCCCCAGACCCCAGGGCCACCTGCACAAGAGCCTGAAGATGATGAAATTTCAGACATCGAGATGGGGGAGGAGGACATGCGGGCCACGCTCAATGCTGCAGGAATCCCCACGGACGAGAGCGTCTCTGCCGAGACAGTCACGGAGAGGTTCAAGCGGTTCCAGACGACGTACATTGAGGCGTGCAAGAGGGCTCGCAAACAATAGATTCGTCAGCATTGGGATTGGAATGTTACTCAGTTCTGCAGCAGCGATGACGGCAAGCAATGAGGTGTCCCCTCGAAGCGGGGTATCAGCTTCACCTACGACCCCAGGGAGGACTACGGCGTCGGCGGCGAGTACTACACCGTGGGCAAGTGTCTCCTGGGATGGGTCTGAGGTTATTGGCACGCGTCGGCTACCCCCAGGGAGGCTCACTCGGCTTGCCGAGCAGAGGGCTGGGGCGGAACCCTGTGCATCGTGTACGTCACGGGGGGCGGCTGCGTCTGCGTCATCGGCACATGCCTCTTGGGATGAGAATGGTATTGGCACGAGTTGGCTACCCTCAGCAATGCTCACTCGGCCTGCCGAGCAGAGCGCTGGGGAGGAACCCCGTGCACCGTGTACCCTGCAGAGTGCGGCTTCTGCTTCACAGATGGGGGGTGCATCGATGACATTCTCAGCCCCAGGAGGTACGCACTGCTCACCGTCCGTCGACAGCGGGCAAGCAGCATTGGGGACAACTGAGGGCGGAGAGTACCGACCGCGGGAGGCCATGGGCCCCCACGGCACGCACCACTCACCCTCTTCGCCTCGCTGCGAGCCTGCCCCGACATCGGACGGCAGAGGGTGCCGACCTACTGGGGCCATGGTGGGATCAAACATGGACGGGGAGTACGACCCTTTCGGGTTTCTTGACGAAGATCGAGAAGCTGACGACCTCTTCCCCACTAGTTGCCCGAACCCCTTGGCAATACGTCAGTCAGAACGCGATGAGGCTGCAGGTGCAGCCTTGTCATCTCCCTCCGCCCCCGCTGATGAACATTTGGATCTCGGACGTGGTAGCATGAGCGTCGGGTCCGATATATCTAAGACGGGCGAGTTGGAGGGAAAATCTTCTTCACCCGCCATTGCGGGAACAATTGTGTCGGTGAATGCAGGTTCCTTCGGACCACTGTTCGACTTCCTGGCTGTTGCGAAGGCCAAGATCATTTATGCACAGGAGACGAGGATTGTGGAGTCACGCCTCGGGGAGTTCCAGCACCGCGCCAAGGACCTCGGCCTCCACGGGATGTGGGCACCAGCCCTGGCGACCAACGCTAGGGGCCCGCAGGCCAATCACTGCGGGGTCGCAATATTGGCGCCCACGAACGTGATGATCACGAAGCCTCCTGACGGCGACCCCATCATCTACCCAGGCAGAGTGGTTGCCAGCTTTGTCAATTGGGGCGTTCCTGGTGGGGTGATTGTGGTCAGTGCATACTTGGTGACTAGCATTGGGCTGACGGGTGAGAACCTTTCCATACTGTGGGCCATAGCGCAGAGAGCTGCGACCTGGAATGCTGCGGGTTTCGATTGGATCTTAGCAGGTGACTGGAAGTCTGACATAGCAGCTCTGAATGCGAGGAGGTGGATTGAGTCTCTTGCTGGGTTGTCTTACACGCCATCGTCGGCCACGTGCTGCAAGGAGGACGGCAAGTCTACGATCGATTACTTCATCGCGTGTGCAAATTTGTCGTCAAGGCTCGGGGCCGCAGTGGTGGAGGACATGTACGGCACAATACCACCTCCGCATTACCCAGTTAGCATTGACCTCCTGGGCAAAGATAGGCCAGCATGGTGTCTCGTGCCAGACGAGCCAAGGGCTTTCCCTGTTACTCCGCCATGTGGGTGCGCCAGGTTCCCGTACCCGTGGGAGGCAGTGGACCATGTTTTTCTGGAAGTGAGGTTACGGATTTGGCCCTGCTGTGGGACACGGTCCTGGACGGTATCGATTTCGAGCTGGCAGGGCGTTATGACAAGGTTGACAAGGACGCGGTCCCTTTCGTTGGCAGGTCAGGCCCTCCACGTTTCAAGTGGAAGCTGCTGGCATGGGAACCTCCGCGTCGTCGTACGTACCGCGAGCCAAAGGTCTATGCTTGGGCGACGGCCAAGAGATGGTGTCAGCATCTCAGGTCGGAGCGGGACCGGCTGGGCAGGTTTTGTCAACGGTTACAGTTGGCTTCAGTGGTCTGCCAGCTAACGCCCCTGCAGTACACCAAGGTGTTGCACGCCTTCTACGAGGTGGACCAATATTGCCGCAGGATCGCTCGCGACAAGAAGACATGCCACTACCTAGATCAGGACACCGTAGACTTCCTGCTGCGAGGCCTGGGCATGATCGGCGATGCTGACTTCGATTCGGGCCTGGACAACATCACGTGGAAGGCCGATGAGGTGCTGAAGGCAGCGAGAGAGGCCTCGGAGAAGGCTTGGCGAGGTTGGGCCAAGCAGGCTTTTCTAGGTGGGGCCAGTCGGGCCCATGCAGCCTCCAAGGTGCGAGGCAAGCAGGAGCAGCTCAATTTCGACGTGAACGCTCAGCCGTACCTGCTGGCAAACCACACCCTTGACGCGTGGGAAGGCGCATGGCGGCATCACGACCTGTTGCCCCCAGGGCTGCCGCCAGGCCACGAGCTGGCCTGCTCTGCCCGAGCTCGACCACCAGCAAGTGCGGGCGGCCATTCGCAAGTTTTCGACGAGGACGGCAGCTGGGCCGAGCCGAATTTCACCCAGATGCCTGGACGCTCTGTCGGACCAAGCGCTCGAGCGCATGGCCAAGATGTTTATGTTTTTCGAGCAGTGGCTGTCCTGGCCCCCTGAGCGGGTTTACAGTGAAATGGTTCGCTTACCTAAACCTGACGGGGGCACACGATTGATTGTGCTATCTCACGCGTTGGTGCGTATCTGGGGCAAGCTCAGGAGACCAGTCTCGGCAGCGTGGCAGGCTGGCTACCAGTGCGACCAGATGTGGGGCACGAGAGCAGGCCACACGTCTACGGACTCGGCGCTTGATCATAATATTCAGCAGGAGGTTGCGCAGTTGTTGGGGGAACAGACATGCACGATCTTGCTTGATATGAGCAAGTGTTATGACATGGTGGACCCACATGCGTTGCTCCGAGAAGGCCAGGCTCTGGGGTTTCCACTACGTCTGCTGTGGCTCCTCACTCAGAGCTACCAACCGCCCCGTCGTATAAGGGCCTTTGGGAGTGTATCCAGAGGGTTTCGGTCCTTCCAAGGGATCCTAGCTGGGTGTACGCACGCTACTTACGTCGTGTACTTGCTTACCTACAGATCGGTGCAGAGGGTCTCGAAGGTCTCCCCCACGGTGACCCCGAGGACGCTCATGGACGACATTGGGCTCCAACATACCTCCCAGGACCCTACGGAGGCCAAGTACCTTGCGCTGGCGGCGAGGGGTTTCATCCAGGACTCCAAGGGTCTCGGCATGATCTTGAAGGCTTCCAAGTCTGGGGCTGTTGTTGGTTCTCGGAAGTTCTGGAAGGGGGTGCAGCGCCACATGGGCTCCATGAAGATCCCGTACAAAGGCCACATGAGGAACCTAGGTCACGAGCTCACGGGGCCCAAGGTGATTCGGGGCATGGAAAAGAAGCGTCTCAAACAGCTCAGAGAGAGGAAGGCGAGGTTTTCCATGCTGAAGTCTGCGGTCGGCAAGGTCGCGACGGCTCTGTGGCGCACAGGCGCCCTTCCATCAGTGGCGCACGGTGCTGCAGTTGCTGGAGTAAGCGACGTTGCACTTCGAGAGTTGCGTCTTTTCGCCGCCGTCTTGAACGGCGCGCCAGGTAAATTTAACACTGGTGTGACTGCCTACTTGGTCAGCCACAAGAGCGATTTCCACGATCCTATTTACCACGCCACTCTAGCCATTGTCATCAAGTTTGCGGAGTGGGTCTGGGACAGGAGAATACCCGACAGTCGGTTACATCGGGCTTGGGAGGCTCTTCGAGATAGGATTGGCACACTGTCTTGGGCAAATACTCGGGGCCCGATCGGGGCCTGTTGGCTGACCTTACGACGTATCGGGTGGAATCTAGTATCTAGTCATATGGTGGCTGATGATGTAGGCAACGTTTTCGACTTGCGAGTTATGTGCCCTGCCGACCTGAAGGTCTTCCTCACTCAGGGGATCCAGCGTTGGCAGGACGAGCGGCTGCTCAAGCATTTTTACACTGCTGAGCCTGGCGAGCAGATATGGCACCGAGGCTTACGTAACTCGGTGAAGAGTATCAAGTGCGTTCGTAGACTCGGGGCCCTCCAAGCGCACTGGTCGGGAAACCTCCCCATCCCTCAGCTCCAAGATGCCCGCCATAAGGTACCAATCAGGCCGTGTGCTGCTTGTGGGGCCCAGTCTCAGGGTATTTGGGGCCACGTGCTCTACGACTGCCCCGAGCTGCTCAAGCAGCGCGAGGACTTCTTGGACATCTCAGAGGACTTGGAGGCAACCAGAGGCATGCTCCTGAAGGGGGGGGAATGGTATGATGGGCGTCTGGCTTGGGAGTCCAATTATCTGGTCTTCGGGGTCCCTGCTCCTCCTGTGGGTATTCCTGGGCTCGACACTATAAGCACAGAAGTTCTCCTTTGGGGCGACACCGACGGGCCTTGGGGCCCCAAGAGCTACACCGACGGTTCGGGCCTCGCCTCCAGCGTTCCAGAGACTAGGCGGTGCGGGTATTCATGCATCCAGCTTGACCCCACGACTCTTTTGCCTGTCCGTGCTGTGTATGGACCCCTGCCCTTCTATGTGCAGACTGTTGGCCGTGCTGAGAGATATGCGATCAAAATGGGTTTGGAATGTCATCCTGATCACGAGCTGATCGCGTCTGACCTCCTGGGACTGGTTACCGAGGGCAATTCCTGGGATCAATCCCTCCAGCACGGCCGAGGCAAGCACGCCAGGATATGGCGAGAGATTTTTCAGGCTGCGCAGCGTCGGGTACTTGAGTACCCTGTTCGTTTTGAGTGGACTCCTGCACACCGTGACCTCGACAGTGTGCTGGAGAATCCTGAAGAGGTGGAGAACTGGCTCGGCAATGCCTGGGCTGATTATTTCGCCAAGGCGGGTGCGGCGCACCACATGATCGCCAACACGGTTTCCCAGTCGCTCTCGGAGGCCCTGAAGGTCCATAAGGCCACGTTGCAGTTTGTGTCATGGGCGTGCTTACGTGTTATCGCCTCGGAGAGTTGGGGCCGAGGTCCCCCGCCACCCGTTCAGGATCCTGAGGCCCGTGAGATCCTGGGGCAGCCAGTCGTGTTCGGACGGGGTTCTGATCATGAGCTTTGGTGGTGCAAGAGACCCAACGAGCACAGGTGCAGGAGTTGTGGGAGATCGGCTCGATCGGACTCGACCCTAGCGTGGCTTATGACGGGGTCGGGAAGGAGATGTGAGCCCTCTAGCCTCCAGAGGGTAGCCTGTGCGGAATGGTTTAAGAATTCGGTGGAGGTCTGGGTCAAAGTGTCGGACCCCCGCATCGCCCCGTCACAGGTGATTGTCGCGGAGTTTCTTGGGGAAGGGCCTTCAGAGGCCTCGGAGGGTCCCCTTCCTGGGCCCACGGACCCTCCCCAGGAGCCTGCCGTAGGCGAGGTTTCAAACAGTTCGGGGTCGAACGAGTTCATTGCCGAATTTGCGGCACTGGGCCATGACGTTTTTTGTGTGAATTCGGTCTACTGCTGCCGCAAGTGTGCTGGCACGACGACCCTCGAGACGTCACGGAGCGTTCGGAAGCTCCGTCGTCCCTGTGCTGGGCTCTCAGAGAATCCGAGCACGAGGGCTAATCAGCTGGGGTTGATCGACAGGATCTTCCACGGCCGACCAGGGCGCCCCAAGCGCCCCGAGGGCAAGGCGCAGACGTAACTCGTCTCGCCCTCCTGGGAGCGGTTTTGTGGCGTCGGTTTTCCCTGGCCCCCGCCTGCCCTCTCAGTTCATAATATTTCCGCCGCGTTGCGGCCCTCAGGGTCCCATCTGTTCCTGAGGCGTGTTCGGATCGGAAGCTCGCTCCCTCGGTGCCGCCCTCACCTCCTCCTCCTCCTCCTCCTCCTCCTCCTCCTCCTCCTCCTCCTCCTCCTCCTCCTCCTCCTCCTCCTTTCGGCCTCGTGAGGAGAGCCGGGCCGCGCACAGACTCGGCGGGCCGAGGAGCACCCTCTCATCGGGCACCCCCCCCTCTCGAGCCCTGCGGCCTGCAGCGCCCCGCCCCTGCGCTCGGCGCGCGGGGGTGCTCCAGGCCTGCGTGGCGGGCCCAGCCGGCAGGGCCACGAGCTTGGCATCGCCCGGACGTGTGCATTTTTCTTTCGGCGCGGACCATCGAGGAGCATCCTTGATCGCTTGGCGAAAAAACCACGCACGAAACCGAAAAAAAACACAGGGAGTGGACGTCCGAGCGATGGCGAGCGAGTCGGTGGCGAGATCCGAACCCTGCAGCGGAGGCCAGCACGCAAGAGACCTTTAGACCCCAGGACCTTCCACAAGAAGCCCGACCTTGAGACCCCAGGGCGTCCGTCGATGTCTGGCGTGGGAGCGTCGCGCTCTCCATCGCAGGACCATCGACGCCCGAGAAGCCCGGGACACCCTGGAGGCAGGCAGGGGGGCTCTTGGCATGGCCCCCCCACTGCACCCTCGCCGATCCACGATTCGGGCAGCTCGATGGGCGGCATGGGTAGGGTTCGGAACTCGTCGAGCGCGTGGCGACGTCCGAACTTCGCCCCCCCATCCCATCGATGAGGAGGAGGAGGAGGAGGAGGAGGAGGAGGAGGATGAAGAGGACAGGAGAAGGAGGGATGAGAGGAGGAAAAGGGTGAGGAGGAAGGAGGAGGAAGGAGGAGGAGGAAGAGGAGGAGGAGGAGTCCGATGGTTGCTGGGGGTAGGGGTCGGACGTCGCCACGCAACGCGGTGGTCCTGGGGCAGCTGGATGTACCGCACCGGTCTCCGGCGGCATCTGGGCCCCCTCGTCGAGTAAAGAGGCGCCTTTTGGATCTGCGGAGGAGGAGGAGGAGGAGGGGAGGAGGAGAGGACGACATTGGAGACCCATGTCGAGAAGCACCCTGCTTGCCTCCAGGGTGCCGTGGGTTTCTTGGGTTGCGATGGTTCCGATGTCTGGGAAGCGTGACGCCCCCACGCCAAACGTCGATGGACGCCCTGGGGTCTTCGGGTTGGGTTTCTTGTGCAAGGTTTCTTGTGGTCGAGTCCCTTTAAGAGCATGAGCCGGAGTCTCGCCTCCCAGAAATCAGGAGGGAAAAAACACACAGACACAATTCATCGTCGACTCCAAGGAAAATATGGGAAAATTTGGGAAGTGGGGGGGAAAGCAAAAACCCAGAAAATATGTGAAAATATGGGGGGATATTTTCATGTGTGTGTATTTCTTTGTATGTCCTGGGGCCCCTTCAAGAAAGTTGGGCCATTCGTTTGCACTGCCATCCTTAAATATATGTGTGCAGCGGGTGGCCGACCACTCGAAGGTATAGAGGATTTGCACGCGACCGTTCCGATTAGGCTCTGGTCAGGAGGCGGGGGCAGGTTGGATCTTTACTGCAGTTGCCCCCACGTTGTCCCCCTTTTGTGCCGTCTTTTCCACCCCTCCCCCTGCCTGCTATCCTCAGTGGGATTTCTCGCGACGCATACTTGTGCACGATTTGAGCTCTCGAGTCTCAGATCGCCTGCACGCCGGTCTCATCCTGTCTGGTATCCTACTGTCTGTGTCTAGCGCTCCGGGTACAGGACCGCTAGGGCCCAGATGGGGTCGAGAGCATGATCCGTGCTCGCGCCGGAGCGATCGCCAGACGGTCTGCTCGCGCTCGTGCCGTGCTCTCCGGACAGTCTGGGGGGCAGCTGCTTCTCTTCGGCGGGGACGGGTATAGCCCCCGTGAGGGGAAGCGGATTCTGCCCTTGGACGGGCTCTTTTGATGGCAGCGCGTTCCTCCTCCTCCTCTTCCTCTTCCTCCTCTTCCTCCTCCTCCTCCTCCTCCGCCCCCTGTCTGCCTCAGGCATGTGCGTGCGCGCATGTGTTGGTATATGCGCATGCGGGGCGAGCCTGCCTATGACCCGTTCTAGGATTGTTGGGTGCCTGCTTGTGGCGCTCGGAGCTTTCGGAACTGGCCTGAATGGTATTTGAAGCTGTCTTCCATTCTGAGGAGCGTCCGTGACCACTTCAAAGCCGTTTCGGGATTGATCGGGAAGCTATTTCGAAACTATCTCAGGGGCCTGCTGCGGACTTCGGGCCATGTTGGAAGATGTCCTGGTCTATTTATTTGGGGTGATTCTCAAGACCATTTTTCAGAGTCGTCCATTGCTGTTAGGACTTCGGGATCAGGCTGGTGTTGGGAGCTTGTTTGGGTTTCTTGGGGGCCTGGGGCCTGGGGAGCGTCAGACCGTCGGTTTCGATGAGTCTTGGGGCCCGTCTTGCGGTTGTTTTGGGGTCGCCTCGGGTGCTTATCTTGTGCCATTTCGAGGCCGTCTCGGGGGGGAGATCCTGGGCCGTCATGGGACCCGTCTTGTGGGATCACCTCGGTGGCGTTGGTCGCATTTTGGGCATATGTTGGACTTTCGCCGTCCATTGTGACGAAAATTTGCGACTGACAGGACAGGTGGGAGCACTTGATGTTTTTTGAACGCGTTTGACCTCACAGGGGCCTCTTTGGAGGTATATTGGAGGCCTCCAGGGGCTTCTTGAGCGCCTCTAAGGGTCCTCATCCGAAGCTCGGCCAACGAGTTCCTCCTAGTCTCCCCCAGCGTGCATCCAGCTTTTGACGCATGCTAGCTTCATGGCAGGGCATTTGTAGTGTTCCGCAACCTTATCCTTCCCAGAGCTCTTCTTGGCCTCAAGCCTGGCCAAGCAGCCTTCGAGACCACCCAGCAAAGCCACTTTTGGATGGCGGCCACAAGACCACCAAGACAGCTCCGGCAGGCCCCAAGGAAAGCCCCGAAAGGCTTCCCACAAGATCCCATCACAACCGCGGAACAAGATCCAAGAAGCTTCCAATCGGTGCCCAGACGGTTCCACCGTTCCCCATTGACGCTTACCGGACGAGTGATATATATATATATATATATACACAAGACTGCAGTGGCGCTTCGCGCCATGCACCTCGGTCCTTGAAGTTTGGTATGCAGGCTGAATAGCAGGAAGGTCAAGCCGACAATTTAGCGATAAGTTCTTGTTGTTTTTGTTCTGGCATCGCCGCTATGATAATGTTATTGTAGTGGCCTTCGGCCAGTGCCGCCGATCCGGGTCGCTCGGTGTTATTCTCCAGACGCAGACATTATGGGCGCACATTCAAACGCACAAACTTCTCGGGTTACCTTCGAAAGGGCGTAGGAATGCAGTTGGGTCAATAGAGCCATCTCGCAACAGTGGTTCTATCAACGGCGGGGTGCTTGCAGTGACCGTGGGGACGGGAAATAATAATGACATGAAAATTCCATACAGGATGCCGATCACTTTGGAAACTCACGATACGTCGTGCACGGAGTCGTGTTACGAAACATGTGGCCTGGACGATGTGGTGCGAGCGGTGGAGGCGAGCCTATCGGCGCAAGGACGCCCTCTTGGGGCGTTTTTTGAGCCATCGTAGGAGCCTGTCAGGGCGTCGTGGGGGCTTCTTGGGGGCTTTCGGAGGCCCTCTTGGAGGCTCTTGGGGCCTCCTGGGGGCCTCGTGGGCTGGAAGGCTAGATTTTTTCCGCTTTTCGTCCCTCTTTTGGGTCCTCTTGGGGCCGTCTTGGGGGCCTGTTGGGCCGTCTTGGGCGGCTCTTGGGCCGCCTTGGGGCCCTCTTGGGCCGTCTTGGGACTGTCTGGGGGCCTCCTGGGCCGTCTTCGAGCGGTCTTGGGGGCCTCTTGGGCCGTCTTGGAGCGTCGGAAAGCCGAAAAAAGCGACAACCCCTAAAAACATTGAAAAAACAATGGGAATCAACGATTTTTGCCTCTGGGGGCCATCGTGGGAGGCCTCTTGGAGGCCTCTTCAGACGTCGTGGAAGGCTCTTGGGCCGTCTTGGGGCCATCTTGGGCGTGTTCGGGCGATCCTTCGGGGCCTCGGGACTTTCGTAGACCGTCCTCAGAGACTTTTGCGGCCGCGGCCACCCTTCCAGCGCATCCTCGAGATTAGAGCCTTCTGTAAAAGCAGCGCCCCGCATCCGCCGGAAACTCGCCCCCCCCCCCCCGGCATCGCCGCTATGATAATGTTATTCGTTATCTTTCCTCCAAGTTCTTTTTCCTCATTTTCGCAATACCTTGCGCATTCTCCCAATCCTCCTCGGCTCTTTGTTGCGGAGGCTCCTCCTTGGAGAGCCTCTGGGGGCTTCACAAAAGTTGCTTCAGGCTTTCTTAAGGCCTTCTGGAGACCTCCTGGGGATATTCTGGGGGCCTCTGTTGGCTTCCTCGGGCCACCCTGCCTCCAACCGCGGTCTCCCTGAACGACCGGGTCACGATTTGGAATGGTTCGGAGGGTGTCTTGGGGCCATTTTGGGCCGCCATGGGGCTCTCTGAGGGCCATCTTGGACCCGTGTTGTGCCGTTTTGGGGCTCTCTTGGACTACCTGGAAGCCCTTTCGGATGGTTGCGGGGCGATTTTGGCGCCTCCCAGGCGGCTTCGGACGCCCAGAAAACCGCCGTCTTGGAGCGTCGGGAAGCCGAAAAGAGGAGAACCCCAAAATTCACCAAAAACCATCCGAGAATCAATGATTTTTGCCTCTGGGGGCCTTCTTGGGAGTGCTCTTGGAGGCCTCTCTGGGGCCGTCATGGAGGCCTCTTGGGCCATCTTGAGGTCACGTCGGTCACTCTTGGAGCGCTCTTGTGCTGTCTCGGGGGTCTCTGGGACGTCTCCGATGACCCCCCTGATCGCCCTAGGTGTGCTGGGAAGGCTTGGCAAAACGCCCTGCGAGGCCCAGGGGGCCGCTTCGAGGCCCGTCCGGAGGGTCCCAAAGCCCCAGATCCCGGGAGTCCGGGTTTTGGGGGGGGAGGGGTTTTCCCCCCGCACGGGCTTGTAAAAATATAGGAAGAGGCATATACTTACTTTTTCAGCACCCCGCAGTTGCGGAGAATAGTGACGGGGGTGCGGGGGCGTCGGCAGTCTGCGAGGCGCTGAAGAAGCCCACCGCAGTCTCCAAGTTCTTACGAATTGCGCAACGAGCCTGGCGCAAGCGCCTATTTTTGGTTAAAGCAATCTTGGTGGGTCGCGAGGTGGGTCGCAGGTGGATCGCGGGTGGGTCGCGGGTGGGTCGCGGGTGGGTCGCGGGCGGTTCGCGGGGTGGGTCTCGGGTGGGTCGCGGGTGGGTCGCGGATGGGTCGCGGGTGGGTCGTGGGTGGGTCGCGGGCGGGTCCCGGGGTGGTTCGCGGGTGGGTGCGGGCGGTTCGCGGGGCGTATTGCGGGTGGGTTGCGGGTGAGTCGCGGGTGGGTCGCGGGTGGGTCGCGGGTGGGTCGCGGGCCGGGTCGCGGGGGGGAAGACGACAGCAAACAACAACAAACAACAATCCGCACCGCAGAATTCCAATTAAGCCACGCGCCCAGAGATAGTGAATGACCGTCCGGCCCCCTCACAGATAATATATAGATATGTACTTGTATATGTATATGTATATGTATGTGTATGTGTATGTGTATGTGTATGTGTATGTGTATGTGTATGTGTATGTGTATGTGTATATGTATGTGTATATGTATATGTATATGTATATATATGTATATATGTATATATGTATATGTATATGTATATGTATATGTATATGTATATGTGTATATATACACGTCTCTGTCTCTCTCTTTTTCTTTGTTGCTTCTCTTTCTCTCTCTCTTTCTCTCTCTCTCTCTTTCTCTCTCTCTCTCTCTCTTTCTCTCTCTCTCTAATGGCATAGTGGGAGGCTTTTGGAGGCAGTTTGGACGCCTCTTGGGGGCCGTTTGGGTGCCTCTTGGGGCCTCGTTTGGACCTCATGGGGGCCTCTTGGGGCCTCCTGTCGGCCTCTTGGGGGCCTCTTTGGGCCTCCTGGGCGCCTCTTTGGGCCTCCTGGGGGCCTCTTGGGGCGGCAGGCTCGGATTTTCGCTTCGTGTTTCGGTCCCCATTCGGGTACTGCCTTGGGGCGGGGCCATCTTAGGCAGTTTTAAGCGCCTCGTAAAAATCTTGGGGCCCTCTCAAATCATTGTGGGGCCCTCTCGTCTGGGCGCCTTGGGAAGCGCAAAAGGAGAGAACGTCAAAATCATACAACATCCTAAGGGAAATCAATCATTTTGGCCTCTTGGGCCCTCTTTGGAGGCCTCTCGGAGGCCTCTGTAGGCGTCTTGGAGGCCTCTTGGGCCGTCTGGGGGCCATCTTGAGCGTCGTGGACCGATCGTTCGGCGATTCGGGGCCCTCTTGGACCGTCTCTGGGGCTTCCTGGGGCCGCCTTGGCCCATCCTGGGGCCCTCCTGGGTCCGAGGCAGTCGTGCGACAAGGCGCGGGGGAGCCGAGGGGCTCCGAACCCTTTCAGAAGTCCTCAGTGACGACTGGGGCTCAGAGAGGTAGTGGAACGACCTGAGGACACGCCCACCCCGTGCCCTGCGGCACTGAGGCGGATTTTTTTTTATATATATATATATAGAGAGAGAGAGAGAGAGAGAGAGAGAGAGATTTAGATACGTATGACCAGGGCTGTCTCGCTGGGTTTGCATAGTCTGCAGAAGTACCCCCCGCCATCCTCATCGTGCCCTTTCGTTCGCTGGGCACGCCAACGGCTCCCCTCCGAAGTTTCGAAGATGGATTCCGATAGGGGTCCGAGAGCGCGAATATGGCTTGGGTATTGGATAGCGATCCGCGAGCAATTTGACGCGGTACACAGGATGATGAACATATGGAAGAGGAGATGCCGAACATTCAACAGCGACATTGCGAAACACATGCGTGTGCATGTATTTACAATTTCCGTATGTACTTAGAGAGAGAGAGGGTGGGGGAGAACAATCATAGCGCACGTCAAAAAGTGGATTCACATAATTGTGAAACGGGCAATGAAGACAGGGTGAGAACACCAGTTGGGACACAGGCTTGCAAGTATATTTAGGCAGTGCTTGACCAAGATACTCAGAGCTGTCGATGGTCTGCGCAGACACGGGGTCTGCAATGTCCAGGACAAGCAAGCTGCGCAGAGCGATGTGTCGTTGCCAGGGTAGCGCAGCGAGTGCCTAGCCTACGTTGGCTGATGGTTCGCATGGAGTTGTGGAATCGACGATTGCTGCAGCGGCGTGTTAGTGTCATTGCGTCCCCGGTGTGGATTTTTAAAGGTATCGGTTGGATACCTTGTCAGGCAGTGTATCCAGCATTAGTTCGCAGTCAGATTTTCGGGGCGGATTCATGGCTGTTTGCATGCGGCGACGGCTCCCGATGTGGTTGCGATGCCAACGGCGGCGCATCCGCGTTGGGCACCAGCGGCGGCAGCCAGGCCTTCCTGCAGCAGCTGCGCGGTGCCACGACAGTCGCCAGGCTTGGGGCTGGCGCTGGCGGCGCTTCCGAGAAGAAGGCACCGCCGCAGATTTGGCTGCTCTTATCTGGGGTCCGCTTCCAAAGCGAGCCTATAAGGCTCTGCTTATGGTCTACGGTCGGAGTGTGTGGGCAACCCTTTTTTCCACCCCCTCTCTCTCTCTGTCAGTGATCCATTATCCTCCTCCTATGCCCTCTTCTACCTCCGCCATCCTCCGCCCTTTTGTGCCCTACCTCATCCCCCCCACCCTCTCCGTTTCCTATCTCCTCCCTCCCTCTCTCTCTCGCTCTCTCGCCTTCTCTCTCTTCTCCTGCTCCACTCCTGCTCCCGATCCTGATCCTGATCCTGATGCTGACTCTCCCGATCCTGATCCTGATCTTTCTCTCGCTCCCCTCCTCCTGCTCCACTCTTGCTCCTGACCCTGCTCGTTCCCCCTCACTCCTGCTCCACGTGCGCCAGCTCCCCGTCCCTGGGAACGGGCGGCGCCGGGCCCAACTCTCGTGGCCGTTCGCGGGAGGGCCTCCGAGCTCCCTCCTGCTTGCGTGCGAAGATGTACACGGCAGGTTCGCGCCGTGTCGCTTGGCGGCGACCTCGTCGCCGGCGTGCAGCGTTGCACGCCAGCTCGGGAGTCTCGAGACGGGGTTCCATGCAAGAGACACCGCACACGTGCCATTTGTTTTGGCGGGCAGTCGTTTGGCGATGTGGGTTCCCCATACTTCGGAATGATGGGGAATGTGGAGTCGCCGCAACAAAAACAATGTTTTTGTTCGCGGTGATGCCAGGTTTCGCACATTTCGCAGGCCGGCATTCGCGGCCCCCGCGCGTGTCGGGAGCCTTGAGACGGGGGTCCATGCAAACGGGGGTCAGCCAGGGCACCGGAGTCTGCAGGATCCTGCGAAGACCCCTTCTGGATGACCCGGGTTAGCGAGCCGCTCGTGGCCGCGAGGCGGCCACGCCTATTGGCCGACCCGGGTTTGCGATGACCCGCGTTGCAGTTTTTGTTTTTTCTTGCATTGCAGTTTTTTGGTTTCCTGCTGACCCGGGTCGTGGATTGACCCGGGTCGGAAGATCCCCGACCAGCGGCGACCCAGAATCGGTCGATGCTGAACGATCGGAAGTTTCGGGAAGCGGCCGATCGTTCAGGGTCGAACAGTCGCAGCGGTGCCCAGGAGCCAGCGCTGCAGCCGTCACGACGCGAACCCGCCGCAGTGAGCGGCGCGTCCTCTGCATCGAGCGCGGCCGTCCCAGGCAGCCAGCGCCTCGACTTCTCCGAGGCGCGGGCCCCCGAGCTCTCGACCACCTGCCCAGGGACCAGCACCTCTCAGCCCGAGTCTTTCAGGAGGGGAAAAAGCACACAGACACAATCAATCGTCGATTCCCGGGAAAGTATGGGAAGGGGGGGGAAGAAAAAACCCAGACAATATGAAGAAGTATGGGACAGATTGTTATTTGTGTGTGTATTGATTTGTGTGTCCTGGGGCCCCTCGAGTCTTCTCCTGACGGCCCCCGAGAGGCCGGAGGCCGTGGCCTCGATCTCTTCAAGACGCCGGGCGTCCGACACGCTCCAGAGCCGGGCAGTTAAGAAGCCATCGCGTAACCGCAGCCTGAGAGAGCTCGTCGCTCCGTCGTGCAATCCCAGACGTCTGGCGTCTTGATTTTTTCGAGACCACCTCCCCGGGGCCGGCTTCTCTTCGGCCCCGAGGCCCTGGAAGGCCGAGAGCGATGCAGAAAAGCCGTTGTCCCGATCTGCTCGGGACGCTGGATGTCTGGGCATGCCTTCGGCGTCTGGGCGGTAGGGATGTGCACCCATCCAGGCCTCCCGGATGGGGTCCGAGAAGATGGGGTCGGAGGATCGTGCCGCATCGCTGGTGCATCGCCGATGCGGTTCGCCGCGGAACCCGATTGTCTTCACGCGGACGTCGCCGATGCATCGCCAGCGTCGCTGCTGCATCGCTGGTGCATCGCCAGTGCATCGCCGATGTATCGCCGACAAATCGCCGATTCGGCGCGATTCTCCGACCCCATCTACTTCGACACCATCCAGGAGGCCTCTATAAGGAAGGGGCCCTGCCAGGGGTGGGTCTGTGCACCGTGAGAGGCGCCTCGTCCTCAGAGCCCCAAAGCTCTCTGGACCCCACCTTGGGACAACTGACGCTCGCTCCCCAGGCTTCAGCGTCTCGAGCAAAATCGGGACAAAGGTTTTCCATCGTTTTCGGCCTCTCGGGGCCTTGACCGGGCCTCGGGGCCGTCAGAAAACGACTCGGGATGAGAAACCGGCTCCAGGCAAGTGGTCGAGAGGTCGGGGGGCCGTGTCTCGAAAAAATCGAGACGCCGGATGACTGGGGAGGGTGGCGCGCGGGCTGGGGGGCGCCCACCGCCCCCCTCCCTTGTCTGAGTCTCTTGCCCTCGGGAGGGGGCGTCCTCGATACCCCTGGCCTTCTGGGGACCCCCTTGGGCGGTCTTGGGGCCGTCCTGTGAGCCTCGTGGGGCCCCTCGTGGGGCTCTCCTGGGGCGTCGGGTTCGGGTCGGGTCGGGTGGATTGGAATGGTTCTGACTGGGTTGGGTTCGGGTCAGGTTCGGGTCGGGTCGGGTGGGGTGGAGTTGGGTTCGGGTCGAATCGTGTCGGGTCCTCCTTGCTCCCGTGCTCGTCCCTCCTCCCGCCGAGCGCGCACCCTTGGCGCCCCTGCCGGCTCTGCGCTGCACCACCTCCCCGGCTGTCCTGCGCTGCCGCCCCGTGCCGTGCCCATGTTCGACCCGACGGGCCCCCGTGCTCCGGAGCCTCGCTGCCACTGCCACGCAGCGCATGGTTGCGAACACACACTGTCGCATGAGTTGCCACAGGCGTGCAGGCACGCATGTTTTCTGCGCCATCCCTAGCTTCCGAGGCTCGAATCTCTATGTCGCCCGAAATGTTCTAGAGCCAGGTAGGTCAACAGTTTCGCAATCACAGCTCAAGAGCTCTTTGGCTTCATGGTGCAGTTCCAGACATCCGGCATCCCGATTTTTCCGAGGCACGGGCCCCCGACTTCTCGACCTTTTTGCCCAGGACCGGTCTCTCCTCCCGAGCCGTTTTCTGACGGCCCCGAGAACGGGTAAGGGCCCCGAGAGGCCGAAAGCGATGAAAAACCGCTGTCCCGATTTTGCCCCAGGCGCTTGATGTCTGGAGAGGCCTTGGGTTCCATCGTGCAGTCAGCCGACCATCCGGATCGTTTGACCGATCCCCATCCCCATCCCCATCCCCATCCAGACCCCCACCATCTCAGTACCCCATTTGGGGATATACCATCCGAAACCCGAAGGAAACAGCCTACGTCCCGACCTAGGGGGTAAATTGGCCAGTGGGGCCCAGGCCACGCCAGTGGGGAGAGGGATCGGTTCAACGATGCTCAATGACGAAGGGAGGTTGTCGAATGTTTCTGGAGTCTTCGAAAGTCCCCGATGCCCGGGGTGGTTGCCATCCGCTGCGCCTCGTCGATGGGGTTCGAAGTGCCGGAGTCGTCCCGATCGGCCGCTGGAGGCCTGATTTGCGGCCCCGGAGCCAGGGAGGGTGATCGGGGGCCGACCGTATCGGGCGGGAGGGTGATGGTCAGGGGCCACGGCAAGCGGGATACGGGAGACGCTCAGGGGGCGAGAAGTGCGATGCGGGGGCGGGGGGGTACAGTGCCGTTTTCAATGCATGCTCCGCGTAAAAACAACGATGAGTTCATGCAGAATTTTTGTTCATCAATGAATCATGTATTAAAACATCCTATATTTTTAAAAATCCTGTGTATTAGAAACTGCCCTGTATGTGTCGGGGGTGGACAGCCCTCCTGCCCTGACACGTCGATTAGTGAATTGGCCGTTTTCGGTTCTCGAAAGGGCGCCGCGGCCGTTACTTTCCAGGCCTGCGCCCGCCAGGTTTGGGCCCGAGGCCGTTTCCACTATGGAAACCACGCTCTACTGAAGGGAGGTCTGTCCATCCCCGAAGGTGGGGATGGACAGATGGAAGGGGCACACAGGAGGAGGAGGAGGAGGAGGAGGAGGAGGAGGGAGGAGGAGGAGGAGGAGGAGGGAGGAGGAGGAGGAGGGAGGAGGGAGGAGGAGGAGGGAGAGGAGGAGGGGAGGAGGAGGTGGGGCCACGTCGGGAGGGCATGGGCCAGGGCGGCAGGCGTCGACCCGCCGTCGCCCCCTCCTCGCCGCGGGGGGGGGGGCCGCCGCCCGCCCAGGGCGCGGCCGCCTCGCGGGCGCCCCGGCGCGGGGGCGCGCCGCCCCGCGGCGGGCGGCCGCGCGGCGCGGCGCGGCCGCCGCGAGGGCGCGGCGGCGGCCGCGCGGGAGGCCGCCCCGGGGGCGGGGCCGAGTGCCAGGAGGGGGAAGACAGAAGCCCAGAAAAGATGGGGAAATGTCGGGAATCTATTTTTATTTGTGTGTGCTTGTTTGTGTGTCCTGGGGCCCCGTCAGGAATGACGACGCCGCCCCTGCCACCAGGGGGGCCACCCTCTTGACTGCTGCCGACCTCGGCCCGCGGCTCGTGCTCGGTGCGGCCCGTGGCCAGGACCTGGTGGGCCGCCGCGTCCAGGGCTCGCCGCTCGGCATTGCTCAGGAGGGAGAGAAGCACACAGACACAATGCGTCGTCGATTCCCAGGAAAAGAGGGACACATATGGGAAGGGGGGGGGGGGCAGACAGAGACCCCGAACATGTGGGACAAGACGGGGGGTCCTGTTATTTGTGTCTATCGAATCGGGTGTCCCAGGGCCCCTTCAGAGTGGGAGCTCGGGGGCCGGGGGGTTGCAGAGGCAGGCGATCGCGAACACGGATCAGGGGGGGGGCGTGGATGAGCGACGAGCCCGTGGCCACGGGAGATCGCGGAAGGCCGCCGCCGAGCGAGGCGGCACCAGCCGCAGTTTTGGGGGAGGCCACCTCCCCCGATCCATGGATTTGGCGGCCGCGCGCCAAATCCATGGATCGCTAATCCATGTCTGCGCGCCCCCGACAAATGAGAACAGGTATCGGGGCTCAAGAGACGGGGTCAATGCAAACGGGGGTCAGCCAGAGCGCCGGATCTTGCAGGATCCTCAGGGCAAGGGTCGCACTGATCCAGGCTTGGGTGCAGGACCCTGCAGGATCAGGATCTTCCAGGATCTGCTGGATTCTGCAAGGCCTGGCTGACCCGGGTCTGGATTGATCCGGGTCAGGAGATCCCCGAAGGTACCCATACCGCTACCCTTGCCTCGTTCCCCCCCTTTCTGGGCCTCCTGGGAGGCCCTCGTCGCCACCGCTGGATTCGCGTCGAAATTCTGGTCAGAAGCCACCCCGGGATAGGTCCCAGGAATAGCGGTATCGTTACTGTTTGGTTTCCCCAGGACTCAGTATCGACGACGACGACCGACGACCGACGACCGACGACCGACGACGACCGACGACCAATGATCGACGACGACGACGACGTCGACGAGAGCTCGGGGACTGCCCATATTGGGCTGTCGTGGGCTGTCGTGAGCCTTGAACTGCGAGAACATTGTTAATTTGAAAAACTCAATCGGACATGTAATATGGGTTGCGTCTTGGGGCCCTCTTGGATCGTTCTGGGGGTCTCTTGGCCCGCTTGGTCGCTCATGAGGGGCTCTTGGTGGCATGCTGGCGGCCTCTGAGGCCCTCTGGGGCTTCTTGGGCCGTCTAGGCCGTCTTGTGGCTCTCTTGGGGGCCTCTCGGGCCGTCTTGGAGCGAGTTCGGTGACATATCGGCCGTCTTGGACAGTCAGAAGCCTAGAACATTTGGATCGTTGAAGCTTTGACCGGTTTCTAAGAAATTAGAAAACTCGTTGCGCCTTGAGATCCTCTTAGGGGGTCACATCTTGAGGCCGTGTTGGAGCGCTCTTGGGACGTCTGGGTAGCCTTTCGAGCTTCCTTGAGGCGCTTTTGGGGTTGTAGTAGTCCGCGCGCAGGAGTTCCAGCATCTCTCGCCAGCAATTTTTCCTGATGTCCCCCAGTGGCCGCCAAGCGCGCGAACCAGTAATATACGAATGTTCGAAGCTCTTCTACAAGAGGTTCTAGCACGCTCTTGGCTAGTTGGGCCGGCGAGTTGTGATATTGTCACGGCGCGGCACGTCTGCATAGTGTCTTATTCGGGTGCATCACGCGGTGTGGCAAGGGTCAGGCATTCTGCTGTGTTACCGCGCAGCCGCCGCTACCGTGACCACCCCCCGCCGTTTCCCCCCTCCACCCCCCAGTGTAACATGCGCTAGCCCCCCCACTCGAAGAAAATGTCGACGTCTCAGCGCTCAGCGTAACCTCTGGACTTTCGGTCAACCGACAGGCGAGCCGCCGCATCGCGGGCGCAGCGGCGGCCGTGCTGCAAGCCACCAGGGCGCGCGGAGCAGTGCGAGCTCCGAGCTGGAGCAAGGAGCCTCCCTGGAGCTCTCTGACGGGGGGCATTGTGGCCGCTGCCGGCGTCGGCTCCAGCGGATTCTTTGACACCAGGTTGCACTCAGTTACACTAAGCTACATCCATATACATTGAGTTACATTAAGTTTCACAAAATTGCATTCAGTTGCACTCAGCTAAATTCAGTTACACGGATTTGAACAGTTTTGGAATACCGTTGACGCATTGGCACAGGCTCACTCAGCTCTATCAAATATTCACATGTATACAGCAGTTGGACAACCGTTTTATTATGTTCACCCAGCTACACGCGTGCATACGCGTTTGTACGATGTGTAAGTTTATAACATGCATGTTTGGGAACAGCGTTTGCAAGATTGTGGTCAAAGGCCCGATCGATGAAGGCTTCTTTATACCCGGCGGTGTCCGGCAGGGACGTCCTTTGTCGCCATTGTTGTTCGTGCTCGTCACAGACATGTTGCTGCATCACATTCTGCAGCAAGCTTCCGGGACCGCCGTACGCGCTTACGCGGACGATGTTGCGGTCGTCCTTCGCAAGTTTTGGCGCGACGTTTCTATGGTTTTGAATGGATGTTTTGATTTATTTATTTTTTTCTGGTCCTCGTTTGACTATGCCAATAACAGGAGTGAAGAAGCGTCGCCGCACCTTGCGGGACATGATGACCCAGTGGTCCAGCGCAGAGGTCGCGATGCACGCTGCGCATTTTGGGTTTCAATTCGGACCTCCTTCGTTGCAGGCGGAGGAAGTTCAAGCAGCAATGAAACATGTCGAGCGGGCCCGCCTCTGGCCGGAACTGGGGCTCGGGCTGCAGCTCAACGGGCGCGGATACCACGCGTTCGCGACGCCGGCGTTCTCCTAATGACGTAGGTCAACTGCGCGATGCTCCCCCAGCGCTGTTGGCAGTTGAGGCGTCTGCGCTCTCCCGGCGCTCCTCGGGCCCAGGCGGGTGGAGCACCGCGGCCGACCTGCGCAGCCTGAAGTCTTCGCTGTGTCCAATTGATGTCAGCAGCGCTGCAGACTACGCGTGGGCTGCGAAGCTCTGGATTGCCGCCGCGGTGCTTCAAAGCCACGCGGACTGTGCGGCGGGAGTTGGGCACTGGCGCGGTGGGAAAGCCCGTATGAGGGTCGCGCTGCTAGTTGGTCTGCTTGGTACGACTCAAATGTTGCGTGCGTTTCGCAGGCCCAGAGATTGACACCAACACCAATATCGGCGGTGTGCATCTACCGAGGGAAGAAGATCCCGATCTCGGTGATGGTGGTATTATTCGGGCTTCCAAGGTGGCCGAAATATTGCCACCAACACCGAAATCTAGGATCGTCTTCCCCATGTGGAGGCAACCCCCTGTGTTGGTGTTGGTGCCCATTTCTAGGCCTCCAAGCGTTGTCGCGGCAGCAGCAGGCCGGGCGAGCGAAGCCAGAAGTCGTGCATTGGTCGACCAGCGGGCGTTTCACGAAGCAGTGCGCGCACCCTGCCGGATCTTTGTGGATCGAGCCCCGGTCCCGCAGCAAATTGAGCAGGTGGTTCTTCGGGGGCGGCAAAGAGGGGGGTGATGACTAGGGGGGGGATCTCATGGCGGGGGCCATGATATTTCCCCAGATCTCATGGCGCGTCTTCTTATTTCATTACGTCCCTGGTCCCCCCGCTGGGCCGCGCACATGCCGCCGGTCATGATTTGCACCCCCCCCTCTTGGACACCCCCCTCTTGGCCGCTCCCGAAGGTGGGTTCTCCCGTGTCCGATCGGCCAGCTCGCGCGCCGAGCGCCAATTGTGGTCCAAAGTTTTGGCCGGTTAGCACCTCCGCGTGTAGTAGCAGCTGTCGGGAGAACGCAGTGGAACGGATGGTATACTGCGCGCCGGTTCCAGAAACTAGGACAGTGTTGTTTCGGGCGCCCCCCGCTTGCGCAGGACAGCCTTGAACACGATGCTGTATGCAATTTTGTGGCGAAATTGAAGCGTCGCTACCTAGGCCTCCGAAGTATCAATTTAGGGAGATTCCTTCGCCTCGGTTCAGCCGCGAACGAGGCGTTTACATTGTCGGCGCTTACAATGTACGCCGCGCTCGGAGCGTCCAACCGTTTCCGAGGGCCCTTCCTCTTCAGGAAGCAGCTGTGAATGATGCCCAAAAGCACTTTTGCAACACGGGGGCGGCTAGGCACAGGCTCGCTGTGCAGATGTTAGGCGCGCGCTGGGCTCAGTAGGCTTTGCCTCGGTGCCCTCCCCTTATCCTCCTCCCTCGGCTCCTCCCACTTTTCCTCGCTTCGCCTTATCTAATCAGTGGTAGTCCTGCGATTCTGCTGTCCCCCAGGCCAAGGTCCACTACGTGCGCTTGCCCCATCGCAGGTCGGCGCACGCAGTGTATCTCGATTGCCTGGCGATCTGTCGTTTCATCTGGATGGAGGCGTGGTGGAGCTTTTCGGGCATGTTTTAAATAGTCTATATGAGCAGCTCGTTCGCCTTGCATTGCCGCTGTGTGTCATCGCATGTTTCCTTGATTTATCTCACAGGGGGTCTGCACCAACGAAAGGTGCCGCAATGTGTTCCTTCGGAGCTGGCGGCCGCGGTTCGGGGACCACCAGACAGCGTCGATAAGCAGCCGGAGACCGTTGCATGTGAACAGCGTTTTATTCCCGAAGACGGGTCCATTCTGGAACGCCGTTCCGTTTGTGCCCGGTCCAATCTTTCTGCCAGAATTGCGTGCACAGACGCGCCCGTTCATTTTCAGTAGCGTCGGTCACGAAACAAGTTACATTAATGTACACCTGGGCCGCAGTGGGTCACACTGCGTAGTTAGTGCTGGACTACATTAAGTTGTGTTGAGTTGCGCTAAATTGCATTATGCGCGAAGCTAGACTATGTTATCCGAGTTTGCAGAGTGGCTGCATTCGGCTACGCTTGGTTGCGTTCAGTCCCCCTCGCCAGCGCCCAGTTACACCAGTTGCGCGTAGTAGCACGTGGTCTCACGATTCGCGATGGAAACCATGTGTAACTTGGTGCACGGGGGCCGTCCCTCGCTATTCCTGCAACAGCCAAGCAGCTACACCAAGTTACGCGACGGTACACGAAGTTAACCCCAGTTACATCCAGTTGCGCTCAGGTGCGTTTGTGTTGCACTCGGCTGCATTCGGGCACGCACGGCTAAGGGGAGCTGCGTTCCGACACGCCCACTTACATTCAGTTACATCCAATGATACAAGTACTTGTAGCTGGTGTTCGAAATCGGCGCATGTTGTTGGCCTCTTGTGTACAGGTGGCACTCACGCACGCTCAGTTGCATTCACCACCGGAGTACCCGTGGTTGGTTGAAGAACTGCGCCCTTGGTGGGCCTCCTGCGCACGCGCTGCATTCATTTGCATGCAGTTTTTTTTGCTGCCAAATTACCGGCGGCTGCTGTTCAAATTCGGCCCCGGCTACGGGCCTCACGTTCAGTTTCTTTCAAGAACCAAGCGCCTGTGGCTGGTATTCGAATTTGTCGCCTGCGGCAGGCTCACTACACTACATTATCTTTCCTCCTCTCCCTCACTCCCCATTCTTGCGGAGAGGGGGGCCAGACGACGCAGCAGGAACACATCCCATAGCTTTGGACATATTTGCTTGACGCTTCGCGTATCCCCACCAGTATTTAGGCCGTTGCATTGACGCTTCGTTCTGACGGCGCCCAGCGTCTTCCAGTGCGCTTGCGATCAATCTAGTATCCCCACCAGCCCTTCCGGACACCATCGGAGGCTTTCGTAAGGCCTTTTGGAGGCCATATTGAGCCATGCTCGGATAAAGGCTGTCGGAGGCTATCCTGAGCCATGCTCAGCGATCTCGGGCCATATTGAGGCTGTTTCGGGGCCTCTCGGAGGTCAGTCGGAAACTTTCTTGAGCCACGCTCGACCTCTTGGGATCATCTTGCGGTTCGGAGGATGGGGCGGAGGAGGAAGAGGAGGAGGAGGAGGAGGCGGAGGAGGAGGAGGAGGAGGAAGAGGAGGAGGAGAAGGAGGAGGAGACGGTGGAGGTGGAGCAGGAGGGGGAGGAGGAGGAGGAGGACGAGGAGGAAGTGTCGGACTCGCTCGTTGCAGCGGCTGGGTTGCAAGCGTTCGTGGCGAGCTTGTTCGGGCTGTCCCATTCCCACCGTTTCGACCGCTGCGCGCGCCGCCAATTCTGGACGCAACTCTGCGGGTGCATCGCGGGGTGTCCGCGCGTGCGCAAATGGCATGATGACGCTCTTCTCGCATAGCCGCTCGGCCGTCGGCACGCCAGGCGGCACGGGCATCGGACCTAGATAACCCGAGAATTCGCCCCAACAAGGCTACTATTAAGTCGGACCTGTCCCTCTACAGGGGGGATATTCAAAAGTAGTCAAAAATTAGTATGGGAACTATTTTTCGAATATTGTTGGGCATCCTTTGAGCATTTTTGAAGTATTTTTTGTTTGTCGTTCAAAATCCCCCTGTAGGGGGACAGGCCCGACCTGAGGCAAGTACTCTCACCCCCCTCTGTGCCACCCTTGTTTCCTTTTTCTTCGGCCATTGTGCCACGAACGCTCAGGTTACCCAGGGCCCGCTGTCCCTGCCGCCTGGTGCTGGAGAGGGTCCGGAAGTACAAGCGCGTTTGCAAGAAGGGCGTCGTCGTGCAATTGGGCAAGCGCGGGGAACCCTTCTTGGACCCGCAGGCTTGCGTCCAGACTTGTTTGATCCTGCAGCGGCCAGGGGCGCGGAACAAGGACAACGCAGGCATCTTCTCCTGCAGCGCTGCCGCTGTTGCGGGCGAGTCGGGCACCCCACATAGAAATGTGGACCTCAGCCCTCCCTGCGGGGGGAGGAGGGAAGAGGGTGGAGGGATGGCGGATGATGGCCGGTGGAGAGGGGAGGGGGTACGAGGAGGGAGTGAGTGGAAGGAGGGCCCCGGGGGAGGAACGAGCGAGGGGGGGAGGAGGCAGGAACAGCGAGGAGAGGAAGAGAGAGGGGAGGGAGGACCAGGGCAGGCGGAGAAGTGGAGGAGGTAAGCGGGCAGAAGGAAGGGGGGAAGGGTAGGTGCAAGCGGAGGTGGGGGGCAGGACAGGAGGTACGAGGCGAGGATGGATGAGGGGAGGAGGAAGAACACCATGATGATGATGATGATGATGATGATGATGATGATGCTGATGCTGATGCTGATGCTGATGCTGATGCTGATGCTGATGCTGATGCTGATGCTGATGATGATGCTGATGATGAAGATGATGATGATGCTGCTGCTGCTGATGCTGATGCTGATGCTGATGATGATGAGGAGGAGGAGGACAAAGAAAAGGACTTAAACCATAAAGGAATTCAAAATGGCGCCGTGCGTCAAGAAGGTGGAGTTGTCTGGCCCCCGTCCGTAAGAGTAGATAAGCAGGTGAGACAAGTAGTTGGCAGGAGCTACTTGCGAACAGCCCAGCTGTTGAAGTACCCCGTAAAATCTGTGCGTCTTCGTCGCCGCTCTGTTCTGCTCATTGATAGATTGCCGGCGTGATGTTGGTACCCGTCGTTCATTCCTACAGCGTGTCGAAGAAGCATATTCGTATCTTAACATGGATCTGAATTCAGGATAACCGATGCGATGCAGAGCTTCACCTCCCCCCCTTTCCTCGAACATTGATGCAATTGTTCGTGCCGTTGAACGCAAGTATTCGTATTCGAAGGGCACCGCCGTAAAACCTTCTCTTGATTCAGATAAGAGCCGATTGTCAAAATGAGACCAGGTGACTGTCATTGTAAAATAATCGTTGTGGTGTTTAGTTGCTCAAGAGACCCGAACGCATTCAGTATACATGCTCATGTCGACATAGTCATTGGGACAAGCTTGGGGCAATGCCGACAAGGACACGGATGGTGTCGTCCTTCATAATTTTCCCGAATTCGAACCAATTCGAGCAAAGACGGTGGATGGCCCGACTACACATACCCGTTATTAGTACATGATTTCGCTAGTCAGAGTTGGGTGTTCAGTTCGAATAGGAATGCCCATCGGTCTATGTCCGTTACGGTCGAGGTTGTCTCCAACATCGAGTCAGATTGGTTAGTTTTCGGTGAGCGAGTTCAATGTTCAACCCTTCGGGCCTGGGGGCGTATCGAGGAGCATCCTGCACAACCGAACATCAGTACCCATGAGACACCGCAAGGCCGCTGCCCAGTTTCGCACGCGATGCGTAGGCGTCAATGTTATCTCAACGTAGCTCCCGCTGGACCGCTCTATTCCTCAACCTCCCTCTCCTCGTCCTGCTTATGTTCCTCTTCCTCCTCATCCCCGTATCCTCGCCGCCCTGTACCTCTGGAGGAGCCGGGCGGGTGCGCAGCATCGCGATGACTCGCCCGGGCGGTTACGTGTATTACCACGCGCAGGCCTTCTTTTGTGATTTGCCCCAGCCGGGGTCGGGAGAGCCCACGAGCGGTCGGCAGAGGCATTTGGGCGGGGCAGTCGGGGGCACGTGGCCAGCACAGGGAGGCAGGGGAGTGCAGCAGGAACAGGCGGAGGGGTGCACTCAGCTGCCGCCAGCTATGAGGAGCGGGTGCCTCACGAGGTTGGGCAGATCGCTTCACTCTTGCTCGGCCAGGCATCTTTCAGCATGCGACGGTAAGAAGAGGCATGCAGTGTCAAGATGAGGTCGCAGACATAGCAAACTACCAAGCAGGGGAAGCAGGGCAGCGACGGGGAAGAGGGCGATGGCAAGAATGAGCATCCGGGGCAGAGGATTGCAGGGTCAGCCAAGGCTTTGAATAGGTAAGCAGCGCAGGAGCGAGCATGGTTTGATCCTTCGGCGGCGCGCTTGGGCGGGAAGGCAGAGGGGGCAGGCCTTCGAGAAGGCTCGGCGGCCCCTGGCTTTCTGAAACTCCTTCTAAACCTTCTCCGAAGCCGCAGAAGGCTGCTCAGAAGGCCAGAGGGCTCCCAGAAACCCCGCTGCTTTTTGAGAAGGCTTCCAGAAGGCTCAGACGGTCTCTGGCATATCGAGAAGCCTTCTCAACCTTCTCCGAAGCCGCAGAAGGCTTCTCATAAGGCCCGAGGGCTCCTAGAAGCCCCGCCGCCTTCTGAAAAGGCCGCATCTGAAAAGTCCCGTCGCCCCCTCACGTTCCCCATCGAAACGCCGCCGAGCTGAGTTCTGGCACATCCCTCGCTCGTCCTCCGGCAAGGTCGGCTTCGCATACCTCACGCTGAGGGGCAGGGCGCGCAGGACGCTGGCGCAGGCGGGTGGCGGTTCGGAGCCTGCTCGGGGGCCGAGGATGCCCGTCGTTCGTTCCCGTCCTCCTCTTTCTCCTCCTCATTCCTCTTCGTTCCTCCTCCTCCTCCTCCTCCTCCTCCTCCTCCTACTCCTCCTCCTAGCCGCCGTCCCTGCCCGAGAGATTCGCAGGCGGCGCCAGAGACCCCCCCGCAGACAGCAGAGGGGGGCGCTCAGCCATGGGAGCTGGGCTCTGTGGCCGAGGATGCTACGTCTGATCGGTGGGGCAGCCCTGATCAAGCATGGGGACGAGCACTAGGCATGAGGATCAAGCGACAACATCTAGATTATTGTTCCATCGTCATCTACTTCCCCCCCCCCCAGCCGAAGGGCAGGAACGATGTGGGTCACTAGCTCACCACCGTGCGCACCCTCTCCACGTGGCTGGACAGAATACTTGATTCGCTCCCACATCGTTGCTGTCCAATACTGTACAAAGATGCGAATTATGGCATTGGCCTGTGCAGATATACTACTGTATGGCAAACATGTGAGGAGAACGTAGTGGAGAACACAGCTCGCGAGGCACGCAGAGGCGGCGCAGGTGAAACACTTCGACGAATCGCCGCAAGACACCACATGCTTGCGTTCAACACTCGAGGGCGTCGGGAGCACACCTTTTTTCAGCGAGAGAGGCAGCAGTCTCATCGATTATTTTTCCGCGCCGTGGGGTTATGCAGATCAGATCAATAGATGTCATACTCTCCGACGATTGGGGGCACAACTTCAAGCGTATCGTTGTAAGCCCCCGCTCGATCACCTATCTCTTTTTCTCAACCTCAATGTCTCAAAGGATCCCACGGTAGCCCGACCAAGTCGAGAGCCGTATTTCGACAAAGACAAGCTTCTGGACGCGCTGCAGGGCGAGGGGGACGGCTAACCATCTTTTCTTACCCAGGTCGAACGTAGTACTCTTGAGGGCCAAGTGGGGATATGGCGGCCCTTTCTGGACAGCGGTGCCCCTGATGCGTTCTTTGTTTATCTCGATCAGGTACGGATGAGAGCTGGATTAGATTTATTTCGTGAACAAGCTGACCCAGTCCGCCAAGAACAGAACCACCAGCGTCGCGAACTCTTTAGACGGCGAGCCGAACTCAGGGAACGGAGGAGTGAGGACCACGCAGATTTGCACGACACTGACACACAGTTTGAAGGCACTCTCTCTCAGACCCTCAAACTAAGTCGCCGCCAGGAGGCCTTGACGCGCAGGAAGTAGATCCAAGAGGACATCGAGGCAACGTAGGAGCAGCGAAAGACGGCACTGGCAATGAGACTCTCGCGCCAGGCAGTCAGGTGCCGCTTCGGTCCAAAAAAGCGAGACCTCAGATTAGTTCGCGCGAGTATGCCCAGTCGTGTTGAAAGGCTTCAGGTTTGGACCTTTCCAGGAGGACAAGGGGGTATGTCAGTAGTCGAAGTTTTTCCTCCCGCACCCCCATAAGCTGTTTTCCCTGGCCCGCTCCACCCGCCCACCCCCGACGTGATCAACGCGGCCCAGGAGGATGACGAAAGCGCCCAGGAGGCGACCCAGAAGGCCCCGAGAAGGAGATGAGCCCAAACAAATGCACCCCGCCCGTCGAGTTGTGGCAGATGTGTATGCACATAAAGAAAAAAACTCGCTCGGCAACGTCTGGGTCTCGGAGTTTCAGACAATATTCCAGATATGCATTGTGGTGAAGGGGCGTTGGCGGCAGGCTTTGGAATGATACGGAACCTCGATCTCGCTCCATCCCAATGTCATCACAGTAATGGAGTTGCATTGCGTGGGAGCACTGCTCACGGCCCCAAGGGCAAGAGATGCGTGCATCTTGTCCCAGCTCTAAGGACGTCTTTTTACGGCAGCTTGCTGCACGTTCCCGCCGGTGAGTTCGACTTCGGCTTTGTCAGGTGGAGACGCCGAGAAGGCGCCATTCTTGCCGCGCAAGCTACCGCATGGAGACTCACAAGAGCAGGCAGAAGTTTCGCTGCAGGTTTCAAGGATTTGCCAAACGCCTTCTGGGCGGGGGGCTGGAGGGAGCTCGACAAGACGGTGGGGATTTTCGCCCCGACGATCGATGACATCGCAATGGTGGAACAGAGGCATCGAGAAACACGAGTTAGACTACCGACCAACGATGGCGAGGACGTATGATGGGTGGCACCGAGGGATGGAGGAACGATGGGAGACCCTTATTTGGTGAAACTCTTCTTGGGAACATTCCGACGGCCAGTACAGCGATGGATGCAGCTAGATCAACACCCCACCTTTTCTGACCGACAGGCGATTTTCAGATTGCCAGGAGCAGGCGAGGACATTGCTACCGACCTCAGCCTTTAAGTACGCAGACGACTTGCTGAAGTTCACGCTTGCGCACGATTCTCAGCCCGTCTCTTTTTTTCCCGTTCATTTCCTTTTTTCTTTTTTCTTTTCAGGTGCTCAAGCGCTCAGACCAGATCCTCGATGAGGCCCTGGAGACCATAGGCTGTAAGCAGAACCTCGACAAACAAGTTTTTTCTGTTCCATGTGGGAGGGGGGGGGGGGGGTCTATGGCATGTAGAAGATGGGTGCGACCACATGCAGTTAGGGGGCTCGGGGGCAGTCTCCAAGAGGAAGCTCGATACCTAGGCCCGCATATCAACCTATCCTGCACGTCATCCTCGGAAGTTCAGAGGCGTCTAGAAACAGCTTCGAATGGGTTCTACAGCATGGGAGGCTTCTGGGGGCTCTCGGCCCCATGGAAATGGCCACGCACAGTGTTCATCAGCATGGTCCAGAATGCTATGCTGAGCGGCCTTGGGGCGCTCGACATTTCAGATGTACAGCACCAGAGGATGGGCTCGCGACTTGCTCAGCGCGCCCGCGCCCCTCTCCGAGGACGAGGAATGAAGGGGGAGGTCATCTCGGGGCAGGGGGTGGGGGGGGGTCCAGAAGAAGATCCGCACATGGACGAACGACCAGATTCTAAAGTTTTGGAAGGTCGCCCGTAGCGAGATCGAAATGCGAGCGCGACGACTTCGATGGCATCAGGACTGGGGTAAACACCCAAAGGAAAATTCCCATGCGCCCTGCTCTCTGTGCGGCACGATCGAGTTTGAACACGGGAATGGGTCCCACCCATGCCAGCCGACGGTCTACCCAAGGCTGTCGAGACATGCTTCCCCCTGGGACAGACGTGTTCAGGGCGACTTCCGCGTGGCGGCCGCTCAGATGAAGTCTGATCTGCTGGCGCACCTCGCCGACAGCCCTCTGGAGTTCTTGGACCCACATGTGGCTAAAGAATTCCGTCGGCTTGATTTCACCGGGTTGCGAGCACGCGAGCTCCGCGCAGCCACCCCTCCCCCCAAGCATGCACCAGTGGCGCCTGCTGGAGAGGACCAGGCGCCGCCCTTGCCGTGGAAGTGCGAATTGCCTGACGGGGAAACAGCATGTCCTGATGCCTTTCGCACAAGGCGAGATTTACTTGAGTATATTCGACATCGACACAGAGTTCGAAACCTCGGCCATCTATCTTCGCCGACCAATGTATGTATCTAGTGTCGCCGCTCGTTCGCTTCCAGGACCATCGCTGTTCGCCACTCATCGCAGTCGGTTACAAAAGGCATATGCAGTACCAGGGGCCCCACGACATTCTACAATGTCCAAACGCCGACCAGCCCAGCATGCACGATATGCGAGTTCGAGGGATCCGACCTTGCTGGCCTCTGTAGCCATATTGCCCAACATCTTCCTGAGCGGCTGACTCCATCAGATCGTGACAATGAGCACGGCCGACGTAGCGATGCCAGGATGGATGAAGCAGCTGCGTCAGAGCCCACCTTTGGCAGTGCCACCCGCCTCCAAGAGGCCGCGCGCGGGGGGGCCCAAGTCGGAGGGCGACAAGAAGCTGCCCTACGTGCTGGCGCGCCTGGCCCTGGCCGACAGCCGCGCCGTCGCAGAGGTTATCGGCGCGGTCTTCGCCACGTTCGAGGTCGCCGACGTAGACGACGGCATGCCCACGGCCCTCCGCGAGGCTGGCAAGCGCTACGACGCGCAGAGCAAGGACTGGAGAGGGAAGCAGGCCCAGGGGCAGAGCATCGACTGGGGCTCGAGGGGCCCGCCGCGCGTTCAGATCTTCTCCGCGGGCGTCCTGTGGGCCGCGAACGAGTTCGAGGGCGGGCTGCAGGAGGGGTGGCGCGAGTTTTGGGGCGCCGTGATCACGAAGTCCACGCCGCAGCAGCTGTCGGAGCTAGTCCTTCACTTCCGTTGGCGCCCAAACAAGGGCAAGAAAGAGAATGCAGACGAGCCGATGGGGGGGGATTTTCTGGGCGTTGGGCCCGCACCGCGGGCACGCGACCAACCTGCGCCAGCTGATCTTGCAGCCGATGACGGCACTCAACGGAGCACGCAAGACAGGAGCCGCTCCCCGAGGCCCACTAGAGGGGGAGGTCGCCCGCACTATCGAGGCCCAGGGCAAAGGGAAGTTGTTCTGAGTGAAGGCAGCGTAGTGAGGGTGAGTTCAGATTTTTTCCTGTGGGGTGCTGAGGAACATTTTTTTGCCCTCGGGGCTCGGACGGTGGTTCTTGTTCCTTCGGAGGCCGAGCCCAACTTTACAGCCATCCCCAGCCGCCCCCCCAAACTATGATAAGCACGAGCTCCGAGCATGCGCGTTTTAGTGTAGCAGCATCGGTAAACATCGCAACCAGTATGACAGCAGCAGCGTCTAGCCAGCAGCCTAGCGATTACGATCGCGGGCGGGGGGGTGGGACTACGGTTGGGCGGGCCATCTCGAGCAGACGACGGGCGACCCCTCGGTACCGAGAGGTGCGAGCTCGACCGCTTGGTCTACTAGCGTTAGGTATCAAGAGCTTTTGAGGAGCGGGAGGCCCCCACGGCCACGAATCCCTGGGGGGGAGGCCCCTACCGCCCCCACCGTCCCCCCCCCCCCCCCCCCTCGTCCTCCGAGGGGGGGGGGGGGGGGGAGGGGAGCGGGGTGCGCGCCTCGGGCCCCTGAGGGCGCCCTCCAGGGATGCGTGCCTGCTGGACATGAAGTTCGGCACGCTACGGGGGGCGCCCGTCCTCCTCTCCCCCCCTGGGGGTTAGGGCGGTCCTTCGCGTGTGCGCGTGGTGCGTGAGCGTGCGTCGGAGCGTGAGTGCGTGGTTCGCCCTGCCCCCCCCCCCCCCCCTCGAGAGTGGGATAGGCCCTGGTACCACCCTGCTCCTGCGCTGGCCCCCAGCGGGGGCCAGTATGCATGGACTGGGGAGTGGCTGCGTCTCTGGCGCAGGCACAGGTGCCAGGGGACTTATATCACCTCTTCGTCCCGCCGTCTTTTCGCGGCCGTTCCACAAGTTCGAGGACGGCCGCCCCGCCTGCCGCAGCCGCCGCCGCCGTCGACGCAGCGAGCTCGGGGTGCAGGAGCGGGGGTGTATAGGGGGGGGTGCGCTCGCAGAGCGACTCGGGCAGCCTCCCCCTCCCGCTTTTTCAGTGCCTCGAAGCGTGCAGGGGTCCCCCCCTGCTGGACCTGCACCTCTCGCCTGGTTAGTCCCAGGCAAGAGGGCGCAGTAGGCCTGTGACGCCAGCCCTTAGGGCCGACGAGCACAGGCGCTCATTATGAGCGTACCCGCAGGGGTGCTAGTGAGCTGCAAGTGTCTGACAGCTGCACCCCCAAGCGCCGATTCCGATTCCGATTCCTCCTCCTCCTCCTCCTCCTCCCCCTCCTCCTCCTCCTCCTCCTCCTCCTCCTCCTCCTCCTCCCTCCCCCTGCCCGCTGCCGTCCGCAAAACAAGGTCGGGGGTTCGGCAAGGGGGTCGGGGATTTTGTTCGTGGCCGAGGTTCGTCGTGGCCAGGAAAAAAAGACGCTTCGTTCCTGAGCCAGCTGTCCCCATGGCAGAAGGATGATTGCACGGCGGAGGCGATGATGCTCCAACATACGCTAGCCTTGACCACCAGAAAGACTTCCGAGCAAGGAGAACATGCCGATACTGCAGGGTGTTCACACGTCTGGCCTTGAGGGGCGATGCTCGTTCGACACTGTTTCGATATTGTTCTGGGTGGTCGGAATGATTTTTGGGACGTGGTCCTGAAGTGCCCCGCTCCCTCTGGTGCAAGGATGATGTTGCACGGGGGGGGGGTCATTGTACACATCGGTTGTTGAAAATCTGTATCTTTGGATCCCCAGATTCCAACTACTTTCAGCGCCCTCCTACTTTACGAGTCGAGTGGTGTTCCCTCTTCCCTCTTCTTCTGGAGGCGGGCAGAAATCCAATCAATTTCCACTTTCCTACTTCATGTTTCTACCTACTTTCCCCGACCGGTTGGTGCAGATTTCACCCCCACTCTCCCCTCCATGCCGCCCGTCTGCTTCTCACTTGGTCAGCTGTCTTGGCGCCTGTCGAACGCAGAGACCCCCGCCCGTTTCAGGGGACCTGCTTGCGTCCACACCCACCTCTTGCACGGAACAGTTCCGCACAATTTCATCTTGGCAGTTTCTTGGATGTTTGCGCCTTTGGGGGTGTTCCTGTTGTTTCTTGGCTGGTGGCCTCGTGGCTTCTGTGGTAGCAGAACCAAGCGTCGACTGAGTTACCCATTGCTTGCATAGGCGCACGGGTTCTCTGCACTGCGCGACGCTCCTCTGCAGTGGCTCGAGCACAAGCCCACGCCGACAGGGCAGACTACCGCCGGCCTTCAGCCAGGGCGAGCAGGCATGGCGCTTGCCAGATGGGTCGGGTGAAAAATACTCATTGGGTTTTTATGGTGTCATTTGGCCTGCCGGTGTTGGTATTCCGTGGATCCCTCAAACAATCGCACCTCTCTCGAACAAACCATTGGACTTGAGGTGGCGCATCGCTGGTTGCGGCCATGGGTTGCGCCATGGGTGCCGCAGACGTCTGGGTGCTATTCGCTGTGCCCACGGTTTCGCCATGTGTTGTGGCCATGAGATGAGGTCATGAGTTGTTTCAGATCTCTCGGTGCAGGGTTTGTTCCCGCGGGTCGCACTTGGCCATTGTTCTTGAATGGCGTCTGTTGTTTTGCGTTGCTTTGCATTGCTTCGCACCGTTTCCCATTGATTTGCACTGAGCCTGCATTGCCCAACATCTACTGCCCTGATTCAGTGTTCTGGGTCCGCGCTGGAATCACACCGAGTTGGGTATCGGAGGAGGGAGGAGGAGGAGGCGGAGGAGGCGGAGGAGGAGGCGGAGGAGGAGAGGAGGGAGGAGGAGGAGGGAGGAGGGAGGAGGGGGAGGAGGCGGAGGAGGAGGCGGAGGAGGAGGAGGAGGAGGCGATGGAGGGAGTGGTGAGCAGGCAGGGTGCAGAACGTCAGGGGACAGGGCGCCTGCGCCGTCGCCGACTCGCTGCTCTGTTCGGGTGTCGTGCCCGTGCAGCGGCCGCCTGGTGAAACACCACGCCGTCTGCCTTGCACCCAGACACATGGGGAGAGGGGGAAGAGGGGCAGAGAGAGGGAGAGGGAGAGAACGAGGGAGAGAGAGAGAGAGAGAGAGAGTGAGAGAGAGAGAGAAAAACATGCCAAGAGAGGCAGATGGCCAGGCAGGCAGGCAGGCAGGCGATGTATACATATATATATGTATACCTATACATATAGATGTGTATGTTTGTAAGCGTATCTGGCGGTCTAGAAAGAGAGAGAGAGAGAGAGCAAACAAACAAAAACGAGAAGAAATTCAGAGGACCGCCAGGTCCAGTGTGTTTGGGCAGCTTCAGAACGGGCAGAATGAACTAGCATACTTGTTGCAGCTTCGAGCCTACCTGCTCGGGTTTTGGACTTGACGACCCTCCAGGATAGACATATGCCGACAGAGACCAAAACAGCGTGATAGAGAGAGAGAGAGAGAGAAAGATGGACTGAGCGAGACTTCCCAGTGCGGGACGGGGGCAAGGCCATCGAAGACCGCACCGTGCTGCTCGACGTCAAGCGCCGGGCCCTGGGACCCACTGCGGCCGCGGCTGCAGCTGAGGCCCGGGGGAGGGGGGAGGGGGGGGGAAGGGATGCGGAAGGGGATGGAGTTGGGATGGCGCTCGGGAAGGGAGGGCTGGGCGGGGAGGCGGGGGGTGGCGGGCGAGAGCAGGGGTGGGCGTCGAGGGGCGGGGTGGGTCAGAGGGGGAGGCTGGGCGGAGACGCCTCCCCCCACCCCTGCAGCACTCCCGGCAGGCCCCGCACCCCGCGGCGGCTGCAGCGGCGGGGGCCGCCGCCGCTCGCGAGCAGGCGCTGTGTCCTCCCCGCTCCGCCTCTGCCCCGCCGCGCCTCCCCTCCGGGAGGGGGGCAGGGAGGATGCGGGCCCTCTGCGGGCTCTCGGCGGGGCTCCACGGGCTCCGCCTCCTCCTCCTGCCGTGGCCTCCACGCCCCACGCAGCCGTACCCGTGCTGGCTCAAGCTGGGGGGGATGAGGAGGAGGAGGAGGAGGAGGAGGAGGAGGAGGAGGAGGCGCACCCCGAACTTTGCCACAAAGGGGGGGGCCGATGTCTTTGGGGGTCTGGTCTGAGCTGCCCGCCTGCGTGGCCGGGCGCGCGGCGCCGCCCGCCGTGCTCCCCCTCGGAGCCGCCCGCCCCGCCTCCGCACAGTGGCCGCCACCGCGCCCGCGGCGGGGCGCCGCGGGCGCTCGCCCCGCAGCACCGGCACGCCGGCCGCGGCCCTCGGGCGGGCGTGTCTTACTGCAGTTATGTCGGGCGTGTCCCTCGACAGTGGGAATTTCGACGAAAAGTTCAAAAATACCCAAAGAATGCCCCAAGAAGGTCAAACAATGTTCAAACAATAGTCCCCAGACTATTTGTTGATTATTTTTTTGTTATTTTTTGGGTATTTCTTATTTTTCGTCGAAAATCCCCCTGTAGGGGGACAGGCCCGACTTCATTCTACAGGAGGGATGTTCGAAGGTGGTGAAACAATTTGCTGGTGACGGCTACAGTGGAGACCCATGCCAAGAAACACCCTGCTTGCCAAGAGGCATCGGCTGGTTGCAGTGAAGACGCCGAAATAACGTGGTCGTTGTCGGTGGATCTTGGTTAATCCAGCGTCGTGGCCCTTCTAATCTGGCCGAGACGCCTTTTTACCGTTCCATCGTTCCCACGAAAACCTCGCAGGAGTTGCCCTCTACAGCCAAGACGCTGAAAGGAAGATCGACCGCTTTGGGTCCCCGGGACCGTTCATTACAGTGGAGACCCATGCCAAGAAACACCCTGTTTGCCTCCAGGGTGCCCTCGGTTTCCTGCGTTTCGATGGATTTGCGACGGAAAGCGCGGCGTTCCCGCACCAGAAATCAGTGGACGTCCTGGGGTCTCGGGGTTGGGCCTCCTGTGGAGGGTCTCGGTGGTCGGGTCCCCACTGTAGTCGTGCCCTTTTGACTCTTCGTGACCCCGTTTTGCTCCGCCTGTAGGGGGACATGCCCGACTTCATCGTGGCCGCTCCCGCGCTGCGCGGCGCCAGAGCGGCGGCCGCGCAGGCCGCGGCCGCCGCGGGGGGCGCCACATCGCCTGGGCAGCCCCGGCGGCGGCCGCGGTGAAGCAGCGCACTGCCGCGCTCGAGGCACAGATCCCGCGGGCTTCATGGCACCGCCGCGCGCAAGCATCAGGAGGGAAACAAAAAACAGACACAATTACTCGTCGATTCCCCAGAACATATGGGAACATCTGGGAAGTGGGGGGGGAGACAAAAACCCAGAACATGCGGGAAAATATGGGAAATTCTGTTACTTTGTGTGTGTGTTGTTTTGTGTGCTTGTGGGCCCCTTCAAAGCAAGCCGAGCGGCCCGCTCTGGCCGCGCCTCTCCGGGCCGCCCGGGCCCGCCGTGGCCAGCTCGCGGCCGCCTCCGCGGCCGCCTCTCGGGCGCCGAGCCCCGCTGCCGCCCTCGCCACCGCCGCGGCGGCACCCGACCGACGACCCGACCTTCGACCGCGGCGCGGAGCACCTGAGCACACCGCCGCCCCACGCTCGTCGTGCTGAGCCTGCCTGCTGATGAAGAGGATTTCCTCGGACTAGCTTTTCGTTCGATTGATGTTGGCTCTGTTTCTGGTTGCTTCAGTCATGACCGGTAACCCTGGCTCTGGACCTCTGAACGTGCATAAGACCTGACAAGAGAAAGAATGATGGCATCGATAGAAAGAGTCAGTTGTCACTCTGCTTCTCAGCCTGCCGAAGACATCCGGTGCCCCACCCCGACCTCTTCCGCGCCGCCCAGGGGGGCCCGGGTGGGCCGCCCGGTCCCCGTGCGCGCCCTGTCTGGCATAGTCCACTGGAGGGGAGCTCCCTCGGAGGGGCCATTTTGCCCCCTGCGCCCGGGCGGGCCGGGGTGGCGGGTGCTGGCCTGCCAGCTGCTTGCCCGGCGAGCCGTTCCAGCGCGCGTGCTTGGACCTTGGAGGAAGGGTCGGGGGCGGAAAAGAGGGGGGTGATGACTAGGGGGAGTGGATATCATGGCGGGGGCCATGATATCTCCCCAGATTTCATGGCGCCTCTTCTTATTTCATTACGTCCCTGGCCCCCCCGCTGGGCCGCGCACATGCCGCCGGTCATGATTTGCACCCCCCCTTCTTGGACACCCCCCTCTTGGCCGCTCCCGAAAGGGTGCGGTGGGTTCGTGTCGTGTCGACAGGCGGCGACCCAGAACGGGTCGCTGTGGAACGATCTGACGTTTCGAAGACGGCCGGTCGCGCAAGGTTGAAAGATCCCCGCGGTGTCAGAAACCAAGGCCGAAGTCGGCACTTCACGAGCCTGTCGTGGTGGTTCGCCCCTCTCGGGAGGCGCCTCGCCGCTCGGCGCACACGCAAAGTTGCCAGCGCCTTTGAGGGTGCCGCCCGCCCGTCTGTCCCGCGGGGCCCTGGATTGCGTGCCGCGGGCAGGACCGGCCGTGTTCCCCCAGGGCAGAAGCCCCAGCCCTTCCCCTTGCCGCGGCATCGCCGATGCCGCCAGTGCATCGCCGACGCGTCGGCGACGCATAGAGGATGCGGCGCGATCCTCCGACCCCATCTGGGAGGCCTCCCCGGAGCCGCCGGCGCTCCCCGTGGAGCGCCGGCGGACCCACGGGCCGCTAGCCTTGACTCCTCGAGGCTGGAGCCTGGAGGGAGGAGAGGCGAGGCTGCGGCGCGGCGTGGGGGGCGGGAGAGAGGTAGCGAGCGCGCAAGGGTCTACTGCTCGCTCTGCTCTCTCTCTCTCTGCTGCTCCTCCTCCTCCTCCTCCTCCTCCTCCTCCTCCTCCTCCTCCTCCTCCGCCTCCGCCTCCCTCCTCCTCCTCCTCCTCCTCCTCCTTCTCCTCCTCCTCCTCCTCCTCCTCCTCCTCCTCCTCCTCCTCCTCCTCCTCCTCCTCCTCTCCCTCCCCTGCTCATTGCTGCCTCCCTCCCCCTCTGCCCCTCCCCCAGGGCCCCCCTGCGCGTTCCGGCGCGCGAGGCTGGGAGGCAGCCTTCCCCGCTGGAGCAGCGGCTGCGCGCCGCGGTGGCGCAGGCGCCGTCCACGCCAACAGATTGAGCACTGCCTCGAGGGACGGAGGGAGGGAGGGAGGGAGGGAGGGAGGCAAGGAGGGAGGCAAGGAGGAGGAGGAGGAGGAGGAGGAGGACGAGGACGAGGACGAGGACGAGGACGAGGACGAGGACGAGGACGAGGACGAGGACGAGGACGAGGACGAGGACGGGGAGGAGGAAGAGGAGAAGGAGGAGAAGGAGGAGAAGGAGGAGGAAGGCGACGAGGGAGGAGAGGAGGGGAGGGGACGGGAGGAGAGGAGGAGGAGGAGGAGGAGGAGGAGGAGTGGAGGGGCGGGGAGGTTGGAGAAGGCATAGGAGGAAAGAGAGAGGAGGGAACGGCCAGACGGTATCCCAACATGGTCCCAAGAGCGCCTGACAAAAGTCTTGGGATGGCCACGGAGGGTTTAATAGAGATCGCGCGCCATCTCTAGGAGCACCATGTCGCACGTTCCACGCGATGTCCGTTGCCGGATCCAACATGACTGGGAGCATAATTCGTTCCATCTGGTGGCTCGATCTGCCCGACAAGAGTGTCATTTGCCACGCGAGGATGAGTCGAATTCTCACGCGCCCTTCCGATTGTAAGGTCATTGAGACTGTATTGCAAGTTGTTCTAGGGCTCCAAGTGTGATTTGATGTGTTAAACGCATGTGACTAGGAACACCAGGACACCAGGACTGGGTCGAGCTGCGAATGGCGTTTAAGTATGGTGTTTTTCATTTGGCGGAGGCGCGATGCGGGACGCGTGCACTTGTCACGTCCCTGAAAGGAAAACCAGCGAGAGAGTCTTCGGCTTCATGTCCAGGCACCCGCGTCAAGTTTCGCCGCCGCGCCAGTGAAGTGTTCTGGTCGGTGGCCCTTCGAGAGCAGCTCAAAAGGCCAGGCCTTGTCATCGGATCTCCCCCCCAGGCTCCGGAGAGCCGTGACATGCCCGGGAATCAAGCAGTGGCGAGGCGTCCCGGCTTGCCTATAGGCCCATCAAAGAATGCTTTAAGAGCTTGTTGTAGTTTGCACCAGATGGCATTATAACATTTCTGTCTGGGGCTGTCTTGTTATTGTTATGACCCATCGGCTTAATGTTCTAAGAGCCTTGCTTGTGTTATTAGAACTTGTTGGGGTTTCAAGAACACTTCGTGGTGGGTCTATAGGAATGCCGGCACGGACAGTCCCTGCTCAAGAGAATGCCGTCAAAGTTGATCAGTGTTGTTTTCGAGGCCAGTATGGCCGTTGCATGTGACATCGTTTCTTTCTGGCCACGAGGACTTGACAGGTCCCTGAACACATCGGAGAAGGCTGTTGGACGTGACAGTTACGAGCCCCGGGGCCCGGATGGCCGTAACATGCGGAAGGTTGATTCTTTAGTTTGGAGAAATTGAGCAGCATGTGGATGTTGTCTTCATGAAGAGGAGGGGCGTCACATGTGATTCGTTGGCTCTCCATGTCCTGGAGGGCTGAAACAGGTGATAGCTCCATTCCCCAGTCTGGATACGACCAGGTCACTTGGCACTTGTACTCCCCAAGGCCCCAAGTGTCGTAACATTTAACGGCTTCTTTTCCAGGCCCCAGAAGGGCGTAGCAACTGATAGTTGTGTCATTGCAGGCCAATGACACCGTAATATTCCCCAATCAGTGCACTAAAGGGGTCCTAGCGGAAGTTGAAGGATTTGGCGAAAGTTCCCCGCCGATTTTGGTGACAGGCTGGGTTCCTAGGTTCCCGGGTTCCCGGTTCCGGGTTCCCGGATTCCCGGTTCCGGGTTCCGGGCCGATTTCGGAGGGCGGCGAGGTTCCCGGGTTCCCGGGTTCCTGGTCGATTTTCTTATCGATCGGTCTCACCATCGATCTCATTACCGATTTCTCGATTGATCTCACCATCGATCTCTCACAATCGATCTCACTATCAATATCACAAGCGATCTCACTAGAGATCGCATGAGCGATCTCGCGATCGATCTTACTATCGAGCTTATTGAATCGATTTCACTCTCGACCTTACAATCGACCTTACAATCGCCCTCACTATCGATTACTTTTTCGATCTCATGATCGATCTCACAATCGATCTCAAGATCCATAGTATCAATTTTCAAATCATCCACTGATTGGGGTTTTCTCAGGTGTAATGTAGTTTCCCAGCCTTCAGTTGTCGCTCGAAGGGGGTTATGTGGCTCCCACCGGATGTTTCTTTAGTTTTGTTGGGTGTTATGGTGGAAGATCTTTGAAGGGCTCGTGAGAACCTCATTCGGGCTTTCTCGGGTGGCCGTGGAGCCATCTGCAAGACCCTGAGGCCGTCCAGGGGGAATTGTGGACATGTATTGGGCGGGGGCATTGGCCTTGGTACGGGGCCAGTAGAGTATGGGAGGGTGTGTGCATTGATAGGGGGCAGTGGTGAGCCCCTCCCCGAAGGTGAAGGAGGGGGCTGAAAACGGAAACGCCCCACACCACCTCCGCCCAGAAGGGCGGTGAGATTACGGCAGTACGGCTCTGGGGATCATTTACAAATTGCCCGCCCAGGTGCTGGATGCGCGGCAGAGTGGTGTGGCTGCGATCGGCGCAGGCAGGCCGGGTGACGAGAAAGTCGGGGGGCGGGCCAACAGGGGCAGGAGAACGTTGAGGAGAGGGGGGGACGAGATGAGGAGGAAGGGTTTTCATGTGTATACGTGAATGTACGTATACATCTATCTATATATATATATATATATAAAAATAGATGTGTCGGCGGTGCCTGGTGCGGAGCGACACCCCCGTTCAGTATCGTTCATCCGGGGGCGTTCGTCCTGGAGACACCGCCGGTGCGGGCCGGTACGACCCCCCCCCCCCCCCTGGGACGCACAGAACCCTTTGGGACGCACCGCCGGTGCGGGCCCGGGTACGAACCCCCCTGGATGCTCCCAACCTCCAGGCCAGGAGCGTGTGGGACCGCCCAGCGCGTGCGAGCGTCTGGCCCCAGCTCCTCGCCACTCCATCGCACTTCTCGGCCCTTCTCGGCACGCCTCCCCGCTCCGCATGTATTTCCTAAAGAGTCTGATGGATTTCCTAGGGGACACATCGGGTTTCCTAGGGAATCCGATGGATGTCACAAGGTATCCTATGGGTGTCCTAAGGAATCACATGGATTTCCGAGGGAATCCTATGGATGTCCTAAGGACTCCTACAGATGTCCTAAGGGATCCTGTGGATTTCCAGATTCCCCCCCCACTCCCACAGGAGCCCCCTACCCCACTACCACGGGGGGGGGGTCCGCCAGCGCGCCTGGTACGAAGCCCCGCGGGAAGGAGGGAAGGCGCGGGGGGGGGGGGGGGGCGTTCGTGCCACGGGGCACCGCCGACATGTGGGTATCTATACCCATGGTCCTCAGCACCATCGGAGCACGTATATCCTCGGGTCAGGCCGCGCAAAGCGGGATAGCTCGTGGTCAAGAGGAGGGAGCAGAAGGAGCGATGGATCGCGCAAGCCCTGTGTGAGCGAAGCACACTGTGCCATGTTTACGTCAGCTCCCGCTCGGAAGGCGAGCGCGAATGCCTTTCTGCTGGGACGAACTTCGCGCTGCCTCGTGTATTCTCTCCGCGCGGACTCGAGCACGCAGCACGGCCAATTCAGTACCAAGTGTTCCCCAGCAGCGACGCCCCTGCGAAATCTCGAAGCACCTTCTGAACACTTGTGTGTGGCCGAGGATTCCCGTCCAGTAATGCCAGACGACTGTTCCTGGGCCGCGGGGCTTGCTCCCAGTGTGCCTGTCCTGTACCAGCCCCAAGTGCTCTGGAGGTCTGTCCTGCGCCTGAGTAGCCATTATCTAAGTGTCATACCAGTGGCCCACGTCGAGTAGGGGATCGACTACAGAATCGACGCACGCTTCTTCCGTCGAATCTACGAAAGGATACGTAGAACGCCCCGTAGATCTACGGATCATTCTACGAATTTGTGGTAGATTCTCCAGGCTGACGCCACATCCGCCGACCCCTTGATTCGTACCGGCGGCTATCGCCGCGTTTCCGCCTTCACTGCTCGTAGCTGCCAGGCGTTACAGTGCAGTGGCAAGTGCCAGAAGCAAAGATTGAGAGGGCCAATTTTTGCGCCGAGGGGCCCTCCTGGGACGCATCTTGGAGGCCTCTTGGGGCCTCTTGGGGCCTCTTGGGGCCGTCTTGGGCCGTCTGGAGGCGATCGTCGGTGTCTTTGATCGCTCTTCGACCGTCTGTGACCATATTGAGCTCTCTTGGAGGCCACTTGAAGCGCTCCTGGAGCGCTCTTGGGGCCGTCTTCGGGGCCCTCTTGGGCAATCTTGGGCGCCTCTTGGGCTGTCTTGGGGCTCTCTTGGGCTGCCTTGGAGCTTCCCTGGAGGCTGCTTGGACCGTCTTGGGGCGGTATTTAGGGCCTCTTGGGCCGTCTGGGAGCGTCGGAAAGCCCAAAAAGCGAATTCGTGAAAAATGTACGTTTTACGAAGGGAATGGGCCAATTTTTGCGTCTAGGGACCCTCGTGGGACGCATCTTGGAGGCCTCTTGGGGCCTCTTGGGGACCTCTTGGGCCGTCTTGGAGGCCTCTTAGCCCGTCTTTGAGCCATCTTGGGCGTCTTGGAGCGCTCGTTTGGCGTCTCGGGGCTCCCGTGGGCCGTCTTGAAGGCCTCTTGGGGCCATCTTGGCCCGTCTTGAGGCTTCCTGGGGCCCGGAAAAGCCCCGGCGGCGCTCGTCCCGGGCCCGGGGGGGGCGCTCGTCCCGGGCCCGGGGGGGGCGCTCGTCCCGGGCCCGGGGGGGGCGCTCGTCCCGGGCCCGGGGGGGGGGGGTCAAATCGCCGGTTTGGGGTCCCGGGGGGGGGACTATAGGGGGGGGAACTATCTCACACGCCTAGAGACCCACAAGGGGTCGGCGGATTCGACGAACAAATTCAATTTAGGGTAGATTGATTATGCAGTCGATCCCCTACTCGAACATGGGTCCCCGCCCACGTGAACAAACCAGAATTGTTGATCCCGGTCGCGTGTCGTGGCCTCACGCCCAAAGCGACCTGGCGATGATCAACGAACGCGGCGCGCAGGACGCCCCGCGGGGGCCACACAACGGGCCGGGCTCGGCGTGGGCGGACGGGGAAAGGGCGAGGAGGCGGAGGGAGCAGGGAGGAGGCGGAGGAGGAGGAAGGAGGAGGTCCCGTCGTTCGGTCGTCCCTTCTTCTATCCCTTGCCTCTTGGCTTTCTTTTGTTCTTCCCTCCCACCGGCGACCGCCGGGTGGGAGGGGCATCGAGGGCATCGGGCCTTTATCGTTTGGCATTGTCCGCGGCTCGAAGCTCGAAGGAGGAGGCAGGGTGCGACGCTACAGCCATTCGGCCAAAGTCAGGCCGACGTCGATCGGGCGCTGCGCAGTGGGGGAACAATGAGTAGAGGGGGGGCGTCGAGGAATGATACACATTCTGTGCACCTCAGGGGCCCTAGGGCCCAGGGGGCCCAACAGGGCCACGAGAGGTTCGCGTTTCTTTGCCCGTGCGTTTATCGCACCCAATTACAATGGAGACCCATGCCAAGAAACACCCTGCTTGCCTCCAGACTGCCCTGGGTTTCTTGGGTTTCGATGGTTCTGCTATGGGAA